CTGTGCATACTCTTTGATAGGCGCTTCAGATGTGTGAGTTCATATCGCGGGTGACGAAACTGTAGAACGGAAGCTCTGCGAGCGCTCTACACGGCCCTCGTACTTCCCATTTTGGACTGGAGTATTGCTCGGCGACCTGGTCCCCGCCCCAGCAGCACCTCTGGGAACGGCTCGAAAGTGTGCAGCGCCGTGCGACACGGATCATCTGTGGCACAGCGGACGGCTCGTACGATGCACGCCTGGTGTGGGTGCCCTTGGTCGGCGACCCCCCACGAGAGGCGACGGGCCTCACGGATGCGCGCACTGTGTGCTCGATGGACCGCTTTCCGGGATCTCGTTGTACTCCGCAGTGCGGACAAGCAAAAGAACTGGGCAGCCTGAGCCTCTCCGTGGGAGGACCACCCGCCACTGCTAGCTCTTCTCTCGCCAACTGGCTTTGAGCTCGTGACGACCAGTGACTTGCACCATTATTTTTCTTGTTGCTGTGTGTGCTTGTTTTGTTTTACCCTACTGAGTCCCCTTTCTCCTGTCTCCTGCACTGTAGGGGGCGGCCTGCTAGTAGGCGCATATGCATAAGGGTTATCACCTTCTTGTCTAGCCTTGCACGTCGTCGCATACACGTCAAATCCGTGTGCAAATAAATTACAATCGCAGTTACAATTACAGAAACAAAAACAATGGTGACAAATATTCCTGCACAACTATACACTGCATTGACCCTTAAATAAGGTGCAGCGAAGGCTACAGCCACTAGACCGCAGCTTTGCAGCGTGAGACGGCCCTTTGGACATGAGTGAGCGAAAGGGCACGTGGTGCATGCATCCTGCTTCGTGGGCGCTTGCTCACTGGGGCCATTCGAAAGCTTTTGAGCTTGCTCGTGCTGCATGCAGGTGTAGCTCTACCAAAACTGAAGTGGCAATTGGGGAGACTGTGCATTCCGTTTACTATTTCTGATTACTGGGAGGCCATGCTCCGTCCATTTTAATTAAATATTCATTAGTTAATTCAGAAATTACTTCAGTAAAACAAAACTGCTACATCCATTCAATGGAGCCCTTTACACACAAAAGTACAATAGTTCCCAGACCTTAGTCTGCAGACTATACCTGCCTAAAAGTTAATATTTCACTCTGCAGACTATCTGCAGGTGCAGAGGATACAATACATTTTGTGTCTTTCGTTCTAGATATTTTACAATACAATATTTACAATATGTTTTGCTTTGCTGAAGTGAGAAACAGGTCATACTGTCAGTGTGTCGTCCAGGCCTTTGATGTCTTGGGGTTGACAGGCTGTTAGCTTAAGTGCCTCCAGGCAATCTTTGTTTGTCAAGCTTAATCCTCATGAGCTCTGTGATTCACCACGACAAGCGGGCTCAAAAGGACCTCTCCCCATAATGTGGACCGTCTAAGAAAACAGATATTCAGTTTGAATTTGCCCCTGTGGACTATACACCGAGTGGGGACTGTATAAGAAAAACACTTTTTTCGAGCCAAAATTAACCCTTGTGGGCTTCACGCCGGGTGCGGACGAAGAAATATTGTAGCGGTTTATTTCCTTAGGGCATTGAGGCATTACAGAGTGGAGTGGACAGAAATATCTAATTGCAAACAAACACATTAAAAACTAAATCAAAATATTGTTAACAAGACCCCGAATTCATTATCACACTGCATCTTTAAATTCGGTGCAATCAGCTATGCCAGCGATAAGTAAGGGGGATGATTCTTGCCTAGTGATGACATAGGCGGGAATGACTGACAATAGGTGGAGGTGTGACAAAGGGGGATGTCATTGTGGTGGTGGATCTTATGAAATAAATACAGGCGAGATATGTTTCTGCCGACAGAAAGGTGTGTTGTCCTCTCAAGTTGCGGGATGTTTTTGTAACATTTTATAAGTTATCACAGATGCATCTCCTTAATGTTACCTTTGAAACATAGGCTCTTTGTTTCTGGATTATATTGCCCTAACATTTCTGCAGCAACATTTCAGTAACATACGTAAAAGTAGTGTAACGTTGCATCTCACTTGTGTAACATTGTGTTGATGTTTCGAAATAATGTTTTTGCAATATGGTTTTAGTAATATTGTCGTTACATTGTTACACGTTGCATAACATTGCACAACATTAGCCACGTTGCAGTAACGTTCCTGCAACATCTCGTGCTACTAGGGGTACTCAGGCGTATTAAGAAAAACAGTAGTTGCAAAAAATAATATTTCGTCTATGGACGCACAAAACAAACAAACTTCCTGACCAGCTGTAAAGGTGCGAGCTCGATGTATGCAAACTTATTGGTCGTTACAGCTTGTTGACTCGTACACAAGCAAGATACCCGAGCTACGCAGCGTCGAGATTCCCAGCACTGGCTCGTTCACATATATCTCGAAACGAAAAATACAACAAGCATGTGTGAAGACAAGCTATACGTCTCGGGCTTGTGCTATAGATTCGAGGTCTGGCCATTTAGGTTAGTTTAGAGACCAAAAATGATGCTCTCGAGACCAAAAAACGTGAGATCACGGCCGTTAAAGGGACACTGACAGCCCCCCAAAATTTTTTTTCATTTTTTGCCAGGCGCTTTATTATGGTGTCGGAGGACTACCCAATTAATATTTTGCAACAGAGTAGCGTATTTTTTTAATAAAGCCAAAAGACGCAACTGCTCGAAACCGAAACCGAAACCCGACGGAGGTCGGAGAAGTGGAAAGAAGAAAGTGAGCGGCGGAAGTCACGTAACTACACCCGACCAGGCGTTTTTTTTTTTTTTTTTTTTTTTTTTTTTTTCTTCTTTCCATAGCAGACGACACGACATGCGGCGTGCGGGAACTGCTCGCCGCGCGATTCTTTTGCAGTTATGTTTGTTCCGCTCGTTGTTCTGTACTCCAAGATGAGTTGTTTTGTACATTGAGGAGTTGGAGATGAGGAGTGAGTGCCCGTGGTGAATTTCATGATGGGCTCCGAAAAGAATACGCCCAAGATGTTGCGTGAAGAGCTGGCTCACATGTCCTGCGTCCGAAAAAAGGGGCATTGTGCGACAGAGTTTCCGAAAGATTAACGGGATCGGGACCAATGGCTGGCTGCAATTCCTGTAGAACATTTACGGGCACCTAGGAAAGCGGACGCTACCTGATTTATATGCTCCTTGCATTTTGTGGAAAGTGATTACATTGAGTTCGCAGGTGTCAAAACGGAAATCCCATACCATTTAATTCAGCGAGGTATCGTCCACAACATTTGTTTGTTATTTTTTTGTTTGTTTCGTCAGTGATGATTGTAAAAAAAAAAAAAATATGAAAAAATGCTTCACGGGGGATCGACCCCGGTCCTTCCGCGTGTGAACCGGACGTCTTTCCCACTGAGCTACCGGAGCATCTCTCCTCTGATGGATCTCTTTCCTTAGTAATAATTCAGCCGGTAAACTAAGTTGGAAAGTTTGCTGTCGATTTTTCTCCAGCAAAAGCACTCCCGGGTCGAAGTCGGGAAGCACCACGCTTTGGGGACATTCGAACCTAGTAAAGAAATCGTACGCGTGCATATTCAACTCGAAGTAGACACGTCGTGCTTGACGTTTGCGCGAGCGATGTCTTCAGCCACGAGAAGGGAGCGACGGCTCGGCGACGTCTTCGTGCAAATCGGCTTGGTGGCCGGGCGTGTCGTACGAAATGAATACCAATTTTGATCAGTCCCAAATTTCTCTTTTAAAGGTAAACAGAATTCGCCGGTGCCGCGAACGGCAGTTCTGAAATAGAGGTCCCACGCCCGTCGTCCGCTGCCATCGCCGTCCCCGCGAGTCGCGAAACGACGAACGCACAGAATGCTTCCGGTTGTCTGTGAAACTTTTTTTTTTTCAATCAACGTGTTTACAGCTTTTTAGAAGCCAGAAAAAATGGGTTTCATATTTTTTTCTATATTTAATATTGAGTGTGTGCCTTCAGTGACCCACGACTTTGATTAAATTTGGTGGTCGCATCGATACCTTAGAAAACGGCCCGTGACCGCGAAAAAGAGAGTGAGCGAGACTCGAACCGGCCAGTTCTTGATCGGCGGTTTTCGGGCGGAAAGAAACCGAATTTCGAGCCGCAAATTCTGTTCTGGGTAGTTGAGCTCTCATATGTCACGTACAACTAAAAACCTCGGCGGGCATAAACACCCTGTCAGTGTCCCTTATTTAATAGTTCACGCTGCCGATCGAAACCGAAACCATGCCACTCTCCTCCCTAGCCAACTAGTTCCCAAAGAGCAACGCGCGCCGTGTTGCACGCAGGGGTTTATGGAAGTAGTCCATTACACTTTCACAATACCAATAAAGATACATACTATCCGGTACAACCGAAATGACAAAAGTTATTCGTGTTATTTTTCGGCGAAGAGACAAAATTGTGGCGGTCCCTGCCATCAGAGCTGACAGCGGGCCTGAGCGAGAAAGAAGATATAAGACCCATCTGCAGGGGGGCAATACCGCACTTGCGGTCCTAAGCAGCACGCAGCCGAGTGTTGTTTTGTTTGTTGTTGTTGTTGTTTTTTTTTTTTTTTTTTTTTTTTTTTTTTGTCGTTTATGTAACTGCGGCACCACAGACCTCCTGGTATGGGCTCCTCGCCTTTTGTGGTGTCGCAACTCTTTCCGAGTTGAATAAATATTATTATTATTATTATTATAAAATTCACGCGCGTTTTCCCGTAGGAATACACAGGGAGGCTGGAAATGTAGACTGCATGCTGTCTGCTTCAATTTGCAACCGGAAGTCCCGTAGACACTAGCGCCAGCTGAGCCTCTAGCGTTTTTTGTAATAACTGTATTATCCATATAGCCGATATGGCCGCAGCAACACTCCCTTCATTTTTACGCAAATTTTAGCAATTAAACTACCAATTTATAAAAGAAATATTTTACTTACTTGTATCTTTACAGGTTTCATCGTAAAAGTAGTAAAAAGTAGTACATGCACTAGCGCCACCTATGCTCACCTGGTATATGTTTTCTGGGTGTGCAGGCCTAGTCACCGTGGTTGCATTCTTAGTGGCATTTTGTAGCAAACGCCGCTGCAAAGTTTGCGGTGTACAATGGAAGATGGTAATTTTGATATGTCCGACGGAGAAATTCAAAACGATGGTGTAAAGGGCGGATTCGGTCATCGGAACAGAGGAACTGATGGTTTTCCACCTAGAGGTCCACCGAGGTAACGTATTGCATTAGATCAGTCAGTTGAGCCGTGGCGAAAACAATGGCGGAACCTCGCCCCATGTTTGCGGCGTTCTAGCACTTCGTTGCGCAGGTTTACGATCGCTTCGTTCCACAAGATTCATACCATCGTTCGCGAGTGCGTGTGGTGTTGCGTTCCCACGGTAGCCTTCGTGTCGCGCACGTTAGTGTGAAGAGCGTGTACCGGGAGAAGGGAAAGGTACTTCGCACTGATGGCTGACTGCAATGCCGGCTTGTTGCATGCACCATGTCAGCTCTCCGTACACCTTGCTATTGCAGTAAAACAGTTGTGCAGTCGGCAGTAATTGAGGCTATAACTTTGCACCGCCCAGTGCTTCGCGTCCCAAATGGGCCTCTAGTTCGCGATGAATCGAATGCCGCAAACCTGTATTCAATCATGGAATTTGTAGAGCGTGAATAATCGGGTTAAAGAATACGTGATTTCGAGGGTTATCATGTTCGTGATACCTGGAACCGGGTTTCGTCACGTTTACCCCGGCATTTTACTTTTCTGAAGATGCCTTCCAAGCTCAATAGCGGAATCCCGTTTGACTTCAGGAATTCGCGCAGCTCCATTCTTTCCATGGCTTGTATTGACTACCATTGTGGTGGTCTTGCTGATGAGCGTGTACCTTCTGCAGCCTTTATTTCGCACGACCGAACTGGTTCTCGTCTCGAACAAGTAGGAATGACCATCAGCGTGGTGGGATAACATCACGTGCAAACCATGCATTGCCCTGCAATTAACTCGCTGCGACATCCCTGTAGACCTGACAACTTTAAATCTCGTGGTCTTTGTACCAATATTCATGCACCGTACAGTTTGTCATGTTGCAATCTATGAGCACCAAGAAAGAGAGATCTAAATGGAAAAATGGCACCAAGAGCACCGTGTCATCAAAAAAGACAAAGGACTACTCGTATTGTGTCTAAAGGTGCTTTCAGCCCATAGGACTCCGTCATGTTATCAGCAACTTCCACCAAAGCAAGCATGAATTCCAACGAGTTGGGCCATACTAAAAAAGCAAAGTGAGCAGCATGTGAACAGTGGCAGCACTACGAATGTGGTTGCATTTTTTCAGGTGGGCCACTTGTTTGCATATTTTCAAAGGTCGAGGTAATCCCCTTGTGCTTGCCACTGGTGCTCGCTGCCTCCTCGCATCCCTCTTACCTTGAGCAGCAGTTTTGTGTTCTGCCTTCGCTGATTGGGATGCCCGCACATGGCTGTTGCCAGTCCACCACTGAGCGTTGCAAGGCAGAGCTTGCCGCATCTTGTATTCAAGTGCCTCTCTTTGTTCTGTTCAAAAGACGGCTTTTGTGGGTATCGTAGCTAAGGAATAAGGACTGTTCTAGGATCAGATGATGTATGAATGAAACTCATCTACTACTGCTTGTGTAAAAGTGTAGGCAAACTACCCGATAATGTCGCTCTTGTCTTACCTTATTTCTTAGACGTGTTCTCTGCACTCACTGAACATCTCTGAGCATTTCATCATTGCGAGTAATCATCTTGGCAGACTGGAAGATATTCCGGAAGCATTGAGTCCAAAGAGAATGAGCCGGAAAGTGACTGGTGATGATGTGGATATGCACAAGAAGAAAGAAGGGACAGAAACATCTTGGATTTACTAAAAATTTTTGTAGTTAATTTTTTAATACTATGTTCTTTACTAACCTTGTCACGTTGATTACATTGCGGTGCAGTTGGTGGGCTCTCTTCGACATATTACTAAGTTGTATGCTTTTGAACCTCCACCCCCTGAGAAAAGCTTTTGTACCATTCCAAGTTCAGTGTTCGTTCTGCTAGCAGAAGTGCAGCTGTGTGATTGCACGACCAATCAACAATTGTCTTTTGTTATTTGTCTACATACATACAGAGGCAGAGATCTTGGTTATCATAATATCCTGAGGATGCTCCACCCCGAAAATAACCCGCCCCTATTTTTAGCAAGCTTCGATTAATTGCAGGGCCCTGGCCACCTTGGCAGAAATGGTGTCACTTAGCCAAGACATGAGTGAACATTGCTGACTGGGCAGGACAGCCATCATTGGCTCATCGCCCCTCCCTGCAATCGCAAGTTTCGCAGGCCACAAAATCTAAAACTAGCATTTTTTCTGCTTTTTTTGATTGCACACCGAAAGTTAGCCTGCTCCTTATTTTCGCCGGATTCGCTTCCGATTTTAGGTGGGCTATCTCGGGAAATTACGGTACGTGGGGCAGTGCCCATCTGATTGGTTCAGCATTTGCATTGCTTCCGTTGCATTGTCAGCTCGGGAGTGAATGTAACATGGTCTGAGCAATCAGGCAAGCCAGCACCTTATTACACTGCAGCTATAGACCTTTCCAGCGGCAGTCTCGAACGAAGCGCTGTACAGCACGTGTCCCTAGTTTTGAGAGTGTACATCAGCGTTGCCCGACCGCGCTGGGCTGTAGGTTTTCTCGTCGGTGAGCTGTGGCAGCTTGCCGAGGCGCAATTCCGGACGCTGGTGGCGGCTAAATTGCCTCGTTTTCTTTTGTGTTCTATGGCGAAGAGAATTTCTCGAGGTTTTTAAGAAAGCATTGCACTATTTTTGGGAACAAAAACAAACAAATGAAAGCTATTTTTGGTGAGTCCGTGTGCAACAGAACAAATGCAACTGAAATGTTTGTTTCATTTAATGTTGATTTTTTTACGGCACCATACACTCGGCCGTGTCAATCTACAAAGGTCTTAACTGCTGAAAATATTTGACCACACCACAGGATAGCCGGACTGCATGGGCATGCCCCGCTTACAACATAAAATTCAACGAGTCTCATCAATTGAACAACATGTATTGTACACGGAGCCACGTAATCTGAACAGGATTTGAGAAAGGTCTCAAATAACACAGCATATCCAATAAACAGTGTCCATGATAGTCACTTCACGAGGATTGAATGGAATCCGGCTTGTCTTAGGGGCACGTTTTGATGAGTGCTGCTTTTTTGCGCAGCACCAAAGCAAATGAACAAATGTGTTTTCCGTCCCCATACTCTGGACCCTATCAACCATTTTTCGCGACGATTGGAAACATAGCCGGAAAGGCTTTTCGGAGATTATCTCATCAAAAATAATCCTTGAAGAACATATAACGGCCTGCGTCGCAGGCTGTTTGCCGTTTGCTTCTATTCGTTTCCTGCGAAGGCTGAGCAGTGTACGAGCCCTGATATTCCCTGGTTCTCGCAATGGAAGATAACACCAGGAACGTAAGCATCCTGAACAGGCAAAGTCAGTAAAAACTTTCAAGAAAAGCTGGCGAATTCCGAATGCACAATGCACTTGGGGAGTTGCACTTACCGAGTTTCCACAGCTCGGGCAGGTGGCAGCAATTTCTGGCTGATAAGGTTGCTTGAGTCGCAAAATGGCGGCGGCCAGAGAGCTCTTTTCTGCAAAGGTCTATAGAAAGAAAAAAAAACAAAAAAACTACTCTTCCTCTTCTGAAAGGTGGCTTGCTCCAGTTTTATGAATCAGTCTTTTTCAAAAGCACAGATAATACTGTTGTTGCATGCCCAAAAGTTTCCCAGGTTCCTATTTTTTCATATTTTCCTTCAAATTTAGGGTAGGTCGTTTTGCTACATGCTTTAATAGTTTGCAGGGGGCTCTTAAAGGGATACTTCAATGAAATTTGAAATATACCCGTCATGTTCAAAAATAGGTTGAATATAATCCACAATATCCGTAAATGACAATGGCATGTTTGTATTTTGAGCCAGGTGGCTGTATTTTTCGTTACAAACGGCCCACTCTGGCAAGCGCTCTGAGAACAGCCAGCAAGGCCACGTGACATCCAACGCGATCGTGATGTAGTTCGTCTCTGGACGAGCAAAGCTACGGCGAGGCTGACGTCGAGAGGATGGCCTGGTCGTTCCAGCCACCGAAGCGGCTGCTTTTGTACGAATTTCAAGTGACTGGTTAATCTTCTATAATCTTGTAGAGGGACAATAGCGACTTCTGGGTCACACAAAAGGAATTTTCGAAAAGAGGGGAGTTCCTCCTTCCCCTTCTCTCCTCTTCGTGGCCGGAGGCGAGACAGTTACCGTCACTACCTCTCAAGGTTCCTAGACGGGCATTACAAACGAGGCGTTAGCAACATCCACCAGGTGCTAACAAGATATTGGTCTGTTTGATGTGATTCTGCTTTTTTGAACACATATGGACCAAAAAATAAGCACCGAAATTTATCCCGACCGAGGTGCCCGCAATATGACGGAGGCTTATTGCGGAGAAGGCGCCGTGTAACTGAGCTTTCGGTTGCACGTCAAAAGATCCCCAGGTGGTCGAAATTAATCCTCAGTCCTCCGCTGGGGCGTGCCAGGATGCCCGTCGTAGGTTTGGCACGTAAAACCCCCAAATTTGATTTAGCACCGAAATTTCGTTGTAGTATCCCTTTAAAAATTGTAACTTGGGACATATTGTTAGCTAGTACTTATTTTTTCAGATAGTTCAGGTGACTAGTCAGGAGCAGTATAAGTAGATATACAGAGCACTGACTTCTGGGAAATAAATATATCTAAATGTATGTAAAGGAGCACTAAACAATATTCGTGAACTTCATGAATGCATGAAGTCATGAAAAGTTGGTCCCATTTACACGTTAGTACCGGTGTGCCAGTTTTGGGGACATTATGGATGTGCTTCAGTCAACATTGGCACAAAAATGTGAGAACATGATCAAAAGATTGTATGTTATGGTCTCTGGGTCCACTCAGCAGTACCATTTCAAATAAAATTATTCATAAGCCTACTTTGTAGTCAGAACCCTAAAATCCAGTTGTTTGAAAATGCACCACGCTTATTGCCTGAGGCATAAATTCACCTTTAAAGGGCAACTCCGCTTCTTTTTCGGTAGTGCAAAACTATACAGTTCTCTTTGTTATTATCTACAAAGCCCACATGGCAAATATTACGATGGAATTCCGCCTAGAAGGTAAATAAAATCGCTGTCAAAGTTTGACAAGCACGAATCTGCTGGTTTTAGATGAGACGTGCGGACCAGACAACACTGCCCGGCTGCATTTCCGCTTCCTTCAAATTCGTTTTCCCGGCTCGTCCGTGACGTCATCAAGCATGCTCAATTCTTTGTTTTTGTTTTTTTAATTTTGTTTTCTTTTTCGGGGGGAGCACGCGTGGCGCCAGCGCCGTGAGAGACGTGAGCGACGCGCTCGGCCCGCTCGGACGGCTCGGCGCTCGACTATTGATACCCTACTTATAGGCCCATCGCCTTGTTGAGCGCGGTGTGTGTTCAGTGCGTATTGATGTGCGATGGCACGTGCTTTGCAGACAACGCGACGATGACTGCGAAGCACATGTCCACGTGATAGATCACGTGACCCCTTCTATATCACGTGGGTGTACATGCTTAGTGATGCCGAAGATACAATGTTGTCCGGCTTTGCCACTGTTTCGGTTTCGGTTTGCGATCATGGCTAGAGTGAAATTGCATGAAAAATATTTTATTTTTTGCGAAACAAAGGATTGGGGATTGTTTTTGAGAGCTTCAAAAAGCAAAATCGGCCACTATCTCGAAATTTTCGAAATTGAGCAGAGTTGCCCTTTAAAAGAGGCCCATTGAGGCAGTCATCATAACAAAATGCCTGACAAAGTCAATCTGAACGATCCTCCTTTCGTTTTAGAAAAAGCGACAGGTCACCAACGAGAACCTTGAAGCAATGCCCTGTAATGGGGCTTGAGGATATCCTGTCTCTTGTGCCTCGTGAGATTTAGTATTTGCAAATTGTTTAGAATTGTCAAGTGCAAACGAAAGCTTGCACTTAATTTGCAAGAATGTAAGGTAATTTGTAGTAATTATTTCTCGTCCGACAAAGAGTGCATTGACGTGTTCGTTGTCAAACTTGTTTCTTTTCTGGCTGGTTTTTGGGAAACATGTTCTTATTTCCGTAGCAAAAGGATTAGGTATATTGAACGTGAACATTTGACAGAAGGTTCTTAAATGTGGTGCCTTGTTCTCTGAGTGTGGAGAAGCAATTTTGCCAACGGAGTAGGGCTGCTTAGTTGTCTCGAATGTGCATTATGCAGTAATAGTGCAGCAGTTCAGTGGTTGTGCCGCTCCAAAACCAGTAGGAATGAAAATGGAACCCGTGATCTTCTGCGGTGCAAGCTTTCGTTGGCATGCCCTCGGATGCAATGTCACCTCTGGCTCTTGACTTTCGTGAGATGTATGGGCTGCATGAGTGTCTTTCCCTTGCTTGGAGAAGTCTGAGGACATATGTTTCCTCCACCGTCGGGACAATGTGTGGTGTCCAGGAATAACCTGTTCTAAAGCACCGTCGGCACACTGTCAGGTGGCTTGCACGACAGAAAGGGGGAAAATGAAAAGACTGAGAAGGTCCTGTACTCTGTGTGTCTAAGGCCATGGTGCCGTCTCCTGCCATCTCCAAGCTTCCTTGTCTTGTTGCAGTTTTGGACCCAGGGGACCCCACCCTCGCTTCCGGGGGCCACCCCCCGGCATGATGGGGGGCAACCGGCGCGGCGGGCCGCCACCCCCCATGATGCGGCCCCTTATGGGACGACCGCCCCCACCCGGGTACCGGCCCCGCTTCGACCCCAGCTTCCCCCCGCCCCCCAACATGGGGCCTCCTCCTATGGGCATGGGACCCCCTCCTGGCATGGTGAGCACTCTGACCTCTTGACGGGCTTGGGGATGTTTGGGAATGTGCAGCAGTGTGGCTCGGGGCAATTGGAAAACGCAGGCAAGGGTGGGCCATTGCACTGCTTGGCAGCACACGACTCTTTGGTCCAGATGTGATCTGCACTTCCCTGGCCACTAGAGTACTTCTGTAACAGTGAAGTGTTTCTTAGTCTGGCTCTGGGAGAAGTGGATCAATCATACTTTCTCGCACTGCACGTTCCCGGGCATACCTTTGTGTTGACTACGTGGGTTAGGCACAGGGTCTGCTAAAGGGGGGGGGGAACACCTGCGCTTGCTGGGGGATGTTAGTTGGTCTAGATAAGTTATCCAGTTGTGGCAAATTTTGGCAAGGTGTAGCTAGAGTTCGGGAAATCAATTAAGTCTAGTTGCCTCTCTCTTCGCTTACATCGGCACCGAAGTACAAATAAGCTAATCTCTAAATCTGGATTTTGTCATGGCTGTTATGAATCCATTGTGAGTGACACGAGACCAGATTTATTTCAGCCAGAAGGCATTTGGCATAAAGTCTCTGGTGAACCATTTTTCTTGTTATGAACGTTGTAAATGTTCATAACGTTTATTTCAAATTTCACTGTTGAGTTCCTGCCATTTTATATCTATTACAAGTTAAGCCAAATACAATTTTGTTTTTATTGCCTACTTTAGTAGGGATATTGTCTGGTGTAATTTGTGGTTAATCTTAACGTAGACTGTATTTAGAGCTCAACTTTCTAGGTATTTACCGAAAGTCCACCAAATCCTTCAATTCTTTTTTTTTTTTTTTTTTTCAAATTTGGTTTTTACCTTAGAACGCTGCATAAAAATGTAAAAAAAAGAAAAAAATGTTTCAGAGATCAGCACAAACTGCAGGGTAATTTTAAAATCAAATAGCGACAGGCCTGTCATGGTGCAGCGAGGGTGGCTGATCTAGATGTGGTTTGTGCTGAATGGCTTTTTGACGATAAGAATAAATAATGTATCAGATAGACATTCCTTCCTGATGTGTTTCTTGTGACTCGCCTGAGACACCTGTCAGGCCTAGGCTTTTTTAAGTAGAAAGGGGACCCTCTCCCGAAAAAGGGAGGGTGTCATGCCACACGACACCGTAAATGCCCTTTTGCCTAAAATGGCATTTTTGGGAATGGAGCTCGCTAGCAACCTTTACATACGGTAGGCATACCTGCCAAGTCTACCGTATTACCCTGGAAACCCCCGAATTTTGACCAATTTGCACAGTTGTACGATTTACAAAAAAATTTCCCGGAAAACGCAAATTACCCCCCCACTCCCCCCTCGCTCTTAAATAAGTAGTTTTTGCCGTCGTAACGAACGGCTGCAATGATAGCGAGGCCCGGCTGTTACTCGCTAGTGCAATATAGATGCAATGAAGTTGTCATCATGTACATTTTTTATCAATATTTCTTTTTAAATCCCCCCCCCCCTCCCGGCTTAGAAATTCTCCCGGATTTGGTTTCTCTGAGCTTGGCAGGTATGAGTAGGTGGTAATGCCATTGCAGGTGAGCCAGGGTGTCACTTTTGTCTCACAGAACTCAGGATGGGAAAGGCTTTAGTTTAAGGTCTTAGCAGTTTTTGTGATCACCTATTCTGAGAAGAGATGGTTTTTGTGATCATCTCAAAAGTAAGTTTTAAGAACATAGTTCTAATAGATAAGACCGTCTTTCCGGCTTTCAGACATGAACCAGTCATATGTAATACTCTGAACGGTGTTGAGCCTACTTAATGAATAAATAAATCTATGTTTTATGTGCATTATAATTTGATTACCATTCCAGTTGTGATCATGGATATTGCTGTGCAAACACGCTGAACGTAATTAATTGTTTGAGCTCTTTGGCTAGGGAAATGGGGCTCGCAAACATCTAGAACGCCTCAAAGCCCATACTTTTACGTTGTGTCGTCTGCTGGCGAAGGCTCCAGATCCGCTACAGGCGCCAATGTCGCCGTTCGCCTCTGCTACCATAAGGTTTCGGTGGAGTTTCCAGCATTTGTGAGGTATATCATATTTGATGCAACCTCATTCTTCATGTGTATGGTAGCTCGACACACTCTGTGTCCCCCAGTGTGTCAGCATGATCAAGCTAGTGTAAATTTTTGACTTTATAAACCCCTTTCAGCCCCATTCAGGTTTTTTAATAATGACCCTATGGGCCTATATGCTTTGTAGAGGATGTTTCCCAAAACGTGGGCCAAATTGCTCCAGCAAAAAGTGTGCGTTGCACAAAAGAAGGTTGATATCCTATTGGTTTGCACCAAAAAGCCTATATGGGAAAATGAATAAACTTTGGTATAATTACCTAGGTTCTTAAAGACTTGAATAATTAACTTTTTAATTAGTGAACTTTAAGGTACGGTTTCAGCTAGATGTTTTCTGGGCATCATGAAAAACGACTAAATCAGTGTACTTTGACTGGTTTTGAGGATATGGGAAGTGCACCAGTTGAATATGTGTTTAGTGGTTTGATTTTGGTCAAGGTGAGAGCAAGTGTTCTTGACTGCTGATTGAACATGGCCTCAGAACTTCCTGCTGGATGCACATAATCAACCAATGAGAGAAATTTTTGACCTGTTTACGAGTTCACGATTGGGCAATATTTTGGTGAGAATGTCTCACCAACACACAAGTGGCGAGAGAGGTCTCACGGCCTTTGATCCTTAGTACTCCTTCATCCACCCGTCAATGTCAGCTTCTGTATGGCAGCAGAACAACTTAGATCTTCAAAGGAAGCGTGGGTTGTCCATGGCTTTAAACGAAAAAAATAGCAGACAATCACAATTTCAGTGTTTGTCCAACCTCAGTTCGTTGTGGCACTCGCTTCGTGGCAGACAATCCACTTTTTGTTTTGTTTGCTAGCAGGCGATATACTGTGTTTTCTTGTTTTATTTTCGTCTGTAAATGACTTTGTAACAAACAAACCGCATTCTTCACTCGCGTTAACAGACAAACCATCCGCGAACGCTATCCTAGATAGCTCCGCGAGAGGTAAATTAGATCTCGCTCTTGCGGTGACCAAAATCGGACACCAGGCACCATAGTACAGTGAACGAGCGCATTCTGTTTTGGGTGGTGAAAGCACGAACTAGTAGAAGTCAACAAGGGGTGCAGCATGGTGGACTCGGATGAGGTATCTGTGGAGTGTTCTCGGGGAGTGTGGAAGCCCACTGTGCATTCTTGGCCACTGCAGTGCCCCGGTCGTTAAAGTGACATGTCATTATTCACAGCAGTGTAGTACATTATGTGCCACAGCTCTGCAGGGTGCAGCGTGGCATGTGCTGTGAATGGTGCCAGCATGTGATTGTTTCACTAGGCACAGTGTCATGGTCTTTGCCTGTGGTTGGGGGGGGGGGGGGTGTGGGGGGGGGGGGGCTGCTTCTGCTGCCCTGAGGGGTTGCTGCTCGGCAGTGAAGAGGAGCCTTGGAGCATTTGCCCAATGACAGACTTGCACGTCGCTTTGCAGAACGGCGACGCATTTGGTGCCATGCCTCGACCACCAATGATGCCGATGGGTCCTCCAGGATTCGGCATGGGCCCCCCGCAACCACCGAATATGGGCCCCGGCCCCGGCCCTGGTCCGGGACCGGGGGGTCCTGGCATTCCCGGCGGTCCTCCCGGCATGCCAGGTGGCCCCAACATGCCTGGAGGCCCGCCCGGTATGCCTGGTGGTCCCCCTGGTATGCCTGGAGGTCCGCCCGGGATGCCTGGAGGTCCGCCTGGTATGCCTGGAGGTCCGCCCGGTATGCCTGGAGGTCCCCCTGGAATGTCTGGTGGTCTGCCAGGAATGTCTGGTGGTCCGCCAGGAATGTCTGGTGGTCCGCCCGGAATGTCCGGTGGTCCGCCCGGAATGTCTGGTGGCCCCGTTTCCCTTTCCGGGGGAGCCAATGGCGCTCCGTCGGGGCCTGCCCCTCCATCCATTGACCTGTCGGGAGAGATCTGGGTGGAGACAAAGAGCCCTCAGGGCAAGGTGAGTGCTTTCCCTCATTGCGTGGGTTCTCAGGCAGGGGGAAGGTTAAAGTCGGTCTGGCAGGGACGAATACGAATGTTTCGTGCTCTCTTTGGGGGGACCCTCGATGGAGATGTGGGGTGCCCCCACTTGGGGTAGACTAACTTCGCGCTGTTCTGAACGTCTGTACGACAAATGACTTGCAGAGATAACCTGAGTCGAAGGTGGGTACACCCGGTATTATAGAGGGGCTCCTGTCTTACGGTCTAAGATCTGGTCTGGTCTAAGATGGTGACAGTAAATGTCTCCTCTTTCCTTCCGTGCCTATTTAAATCATTCAATTTGGTCAGTGGATTTCAAATACCATTTCAAAGCATTCAGCATTGTTCCTAAACTTGTGGTGCCATCCAGGATGTTTCAGAACTACGCTTTGGGTTTCGGTTTCGGTTTTTGCTTTTCGGTAAGGGGGAATTTTTTATGTGACTTCAAAGTTCTGGGATCGTGAGTGATTGCATCAAGCATGGCCTCCTTGCTGCAGGCCTATGCTCCTCAAAAACGTTATCTTTCTCGTGATTCTGGTGCATATGCAATTAATTTCGTCAATGACAAATGGAAGTGAGTCGGAAGATGATGTTCATTCATTGAATTTTAGTTTCCATAGTGACAGTGAGTTGAACCAGCTTAGACCATCCATAGGTGTCTGTCTGTAAGATGTGTAAGGCGATTGTGTCTTACATGCACAAAACCGCACACAATCTCAAAAAGATAGGACACCGTGTAAATGCTCAAGTGGTTTTTTTCTGCACCGCAAAAACTTGCCAAGTTGTACAAACTGACGGACCCTTACCCCAAACCACCGGTTGACTGCGTGAAAAAGCATTGCAGCCCGCTTGTAGAATGCGCAGAAGGAGTTGTCTATCAGATCCCACTGACGTGCGGCAGAAAGTATGTGGGACAGACGGGAAGATGTCTAAATGATAGATTGCGCGAACACAACCAAAAAGTGAGCGGACAGTGGGACAGTCATTTGTCAATGCACTGCCATGACTGTGGGTGCAAACCTGAATTTAATTTGTGCACTGTTATTAGAAAACAGAGATAAGACTGTAAGGGAAATTATAGAGGCAGACCTGACAAAAAAACTATGGGGATAGATGTGTCAGCGTGGTGTCAATCGATCTGGGCAACAAAAAGACAGTTCTTGTGAGCATTGGCGTGGCACGGGATTGGCTGAATGGCACGATGATGCAGAGTATGTATACCCTTGATTTTCTGACGACTAAACAGTTGAAGTTAGCGCATTGTGTTGTCTCGTTCCTACTCTTGTCCCTGTCTTAGAGCGTTATTATGTTCTCAGAGTTTCATTTATTGCCCTCGTCAGCTCCTGTGGAGATGCTAGGCATGTTCTGAATGCATTATGTTTCATTTGCAGGTTGTCAGCGTCATATAAACACAATTGTATGCCACCAGCAGCAAAATGAATGGAGTTTTCTCCAGAAAGGCAGCCTGGCCTTGCCTCGGCTGAATGCTGTGGTGTAGCACGAAGTGCTTTGCTTAGGGCTTTGGGGAATGGCGCAGTCGTTATGGGGGCTAATATTTTTTTGCACAGAACAAGAAGTTTTGCACTGTAACTTGGAGGATTTTTTTTTTTTTAAATAGTAAGGTATGAAGTGTATGTCTTAAAATTTTTCTTGCTCCTACTTTTTTGCAGGGCACATTGAATTACAGTAAAAAAAAATTGTGTTGGTTGCACAAAATCCAACATTCATATTTTTTCTTTGCGCTATGAGTAAACATTTTGTTTAGTAATTACATTGTGGAAAGGATATTTGTTTTAGCTACATTTTGATATGCCTTGGTGCACCTAGAGTCACTAGGGAAGCCACGCTTAGAGTATTGGCACTTCATTCCTTGAGTTTCTTGTGGGCTTAGTGCAGAACAGGTGCAATTGCCGAACACTAGAATTTTGAAAATGCGACTTCCTGAGCTTTATATAGGGTGTCGGTAAGTTCACGCAACATTGTTTTGCTCTGTCGCAGACTGTTTTAACATTTATGGAGGTAGTCGAAGTGTTTCCTGCGATTTCCAATAACTGACAGCTGTGATTTGAGCACCAAGATGACTGAAAGGTCGTCACCCTGAAGTGTTGCTTAGTTCGTGGCTCTGGGTACACTTAGTGGCATAATTTGCACCTAAAATTTTTTTTTTTTTTTTACTGTTTTACTGAGATTGTTTGTACGTACCTCTTTTCGTGCGTTCAGGAAAGAGTCTTTGGTGGTAGCTGGTGGTCGCAGTATGCTGCATTGTCGGTTGCATTCTTGGGGGCATTTAAGGTTTCTGCTAAAAGACTTTGCTAAAGAAGCTGGTCTCTCAGCAAAATATTGGTGAGGCTCTGCAGGAGGTTTGTGTTCCTGGAGTTGTTATTTTCGTGCTTCTATCGAATCAATTTATAGTTTTCTTCGCTTAATTTCTCGCTGTCGAAATTTAGAAAAAGTGGCTAGGTGACGCAAGCTGACTCCCAACTTGGAGAGCTATCTCCGTTTGGCCTACCTTTATCCGTGTCAAACACCTTGGCCCTGTTGATGGCCAATGCTAGGCTCTGTGTCTGCAGGTTTACTACTACAATGCCCGAACGCGTGAGTCAGCGTGGACCAAGCCTGACGGTCCTGGGGTTAAGGTGATTGCACAAGAGCAGATTGAGAGCATGGCTGCTGCTGCTGGTGTGGCTCCCACGAGCACCACTCCCGGTGAGTGCTCGTCCCCGCTCTCCGTTCTCGGTTTTTGTTTTTTTTTCGTTTGGGTTTCAACCATCTTCTGCGCTAGTTGATCTGACATAAACGCCTCACTTTTCATTGGGTATTTATTTATAGGAAAGTAAGCACTCTCAGTGTTAGTGTTGGAAAGGCTGACTACAATGGAACGCCGTTCATGTGTCCTCGGTTGATGCGACGTTCCTTGTTTTATGACAATTTAACGTAGGCCCAGTGAACTCTCGCAGAAAGAATGCATACAAAGCTTGGACTGCACGACGCGTGATCGCTATAATGCCATAGTCGTCACCCACCACCAAATCGTCGCCCACCTCACTTTTTGGGTAAAATAGCGATTTCCCCTCAAAAAAAGGAGTGAGTTACCACCAGTGGCATAGCCAGTAATTTTTTTGAGGGGGGGGGGGGGAGCTGAGATGCTGGAATGTCCATGACTTAGTGAGGGAAAGGGGGGGTCAAAATGCATGTGTATTTTATAGGGTGGGCTGAAGCTTCGTAAGCTCCCCCTCTGGCTAAGCCACTGTTTATCACCCATCGCTGCAAATACCCCAACTTAGAGCTTGTGGTTCGGGAACACACATCATCCCTGAATGTTTGTGACCCCGGTTCGTAAGGTCAGAGAACATCGGTGACAAAGAAAAAACGAAGGGAAAGGAGCTTTGATTTGACATGGAAAAGCGTTGGTGGTGTTGTGACGGAAAAATCCTGGTTGGTCGATAGGGTCATGACGTGACAGCTGATGACCTCGTGCGGGAATTTCAAACAACCCACAATGCCTGCGTGAAATGTGTCATCACGCTTGGAATGAAAGTGAATAAAAACCACATGTAATGCGAATTAAAGGTAGCCACATGTCTCAAATGATTTCACTTTACAAAGTAATTCATTTGCTTTAAAGAAAAATTTGAAGAATATTAGGCGGGAGTTGAACCCACGACCCTTTGGTTGCGTGCCAGACACGCTACTGACTATACTCCGTCTGACCAAAAGCGTGCAGTACAGCCAGAGCTACAGGGGAGAAAGTGTATCCCAGCCTGTTCAAGAAGAGGGAAAGGATGAACGGGGGATTTCCAGCCCTTCTTCCCGTTCCCCCTTTGCCTCCTCTTGAACAGGTTGGCATACGCTCTCCCCATAGCTTTGACTGTACTGCACGGTTTTAGTGAGGCGGAGCATAGGCCCCATGTCCGCTGCACTTCCTACTCACTGGCAGAAAGAGCATGAGAAGTAAATGAGTAGGCGATGCAGACGGGGGCTTGATATTGCTATCGCGTTCCACTCTTAAAGGTGAAGCTTAAAGCGCCGGTCACACTCGCAACCAAGTAGGACCGAGAGAGGCAAGATTGGTTTTAAGCCCCTTGCAACGGCGGAGGACCGGATGCGCTGCTGCGGAGCAGGTCCTACGCCGTCTCAAGAGGCTTAAACTCGGTCTTGTCTCTCTCGGTCCTACTCGGTTGCAAGTGTGAACGGCGCTTAAGGGCATGGGCCTAATTTCGAACTTCAGGTTTTCGGTTTTAGAAACTAATTATACACCCTTACACAAAATTTGATAACCATATGCCAAATAGTTACATTGATATAAAATATTTTTAACACATTGTGAGGCAGTAACAAAGTAAAAAAAGTTCAATGTTTGGATGCATTTCTCTTAGTTCCACTTTTTGCTGCAAATTTCAAACAAAGGAATCTTTTGTTCGGAGGTAAAAGTATTCTGATACCACAATTCTGAACTGAAATCTGCTGGGGAATCGGGCTATCTACTTTATTTTGTTTTAAGTTAAAGTTCTCATTTAGAAAAGGCTGTTTTCAAAAATTGACATAGGACCGATATGCATCTCCTATTTTGAGGTAATAACTCTTACTGAACTATTTACATTTGAGTTATAAAAACTAGATAGCCCAAAGTCCCACATCCGCCATTTTATATTCAGGCAGTCAAAATGGTGCTTAATAGCTTCATTTGCATATAATAGATTTCTTAACGAAAAGTGACGCATCTTCTTATGCAGGTATGCAAAATTATCGTAGAGCTGAAAGTTTGCACAAAACACATACATCTAACATAAAATCTCCCCTGCGAATTTCATTCTGATCTTTTGAGCAGTTCAGAAGTTAAATCTCCATCCAGTGTGTCCCCTAAAGTGTCCTCTAAGTTTTGGTTCACGTGTCTATTTTCCATTTTGTTTTAACATAGAATGTGTTTTAAGGCTGGTTGACGAGCCTAGAATAACAAAATGTCACGAGATTATGGTAACATGGCCAGTTTGATTAGCATGCCTACCGTAAAATACCGAGGGAGCGCCCATCTCATTTTCACTGAAAACTGTAGACATGGGTGCTTGTCCGGTCAAATCGGGTGGTTTATGTATAATTTGTAGAACTCCCAAGTTTGGGAAATGTTATTGCGGGCGCTTTAACGGAGTGGGGCACTTTCGTGGTATTTTACGGTATAGTTGCTATATATGTACTTGTGTTGCTGCAACAACTTTGTACCCTTATTGGTGGAGAAACTCAAAACACACTGCACATTCAGTGTCCCCCAACTTTACTCATGATTAAGGTGCATTTAAATTAATTTCTGATGTCTTCTCGATTGCTGCGTAGGGACATAGTTAAAGGAAAACTGAAGTGGTTGTGTATTTGAGGAAAAACACAAATCGTCTTCATTTGGCCTCCAGAATCACGAATATCAAGACTATTTCTTGAATTTGGTGCACGGAGGCTGGAGAAACTCATTTTCAGAGTACCACTGAAGCCCCTCCTTCATGGAGCATGATGTCATGTCCAAAGTTTTTGGAATCTTTGCCCTAGCGCATCTTCAGTGCCTATCAAACCAGTGCAAGTGCACTCTTGCTATTTTCAAAAAGGTCGGAAACAGACTTCACGACTGGTGTTGGTGTTGGGTAATATTCCTGGCAAGTTTCCAATTGCACGTATTGCCCACACGAGCGACACGTGCTTGGTGGCCGAAAGATCTGGGTATGACGTAATGGTTGGTTGGAGGTTTTTCGTGTTTTCTCGCATTTAGTTACATCGGGGAAAACAAACGTGATATTCAGACTCTCAGGATAAAAATACTCTAGAATTAACCTCTAACTTGTTTTTTTTTCAAGACCTTCTTCAGCTTCCCTTTAATTTCATTATTGCCTTCTTCACCCTCTGCCTGGTTAATTCAAATTTTAAGCTGTTGATTGTTGCTTTAGAACAGTTGCTGCTGCAGACGCCAGCATGTTCGGCATGTGTAGCTGTAGTTGCGGCCTGTTTTGTGTATGCCATAGTTTTAATTTATATGAAGCCGTTAACTTTTTATAGCGGAACTGTTAGGGGCTAGTTTCCCCAGGATCGTGTGTGCCAGCAAAGAAATGTCGGCACAACACTTTGGACAGCTACCGCCGTCCATAAACGACGATGGCAACCGGCTTGCCAGTTGTCTGGTTGCCGCCGTTGCTCATAGATGGAGGCAACCTTTCCAGCCTTTCCACTCTGGCTTGCCGACTTGCGGCCGGCCATCACTTCATTCCCACCATAGTACAGCTTCGCTGGTCTTCCTTCTTCACCAGAGTGGAAAGGCTAAAAGTTTTTCATTCTTAACTTAGAAATAATTATAGACATTCCACATATTTCTGTCATGTGGACACTAGTTTCAGAGTCGTAATTATTGCTTTTCAAATTAGACTACTGGTGTATTATAGTTTTGTGCAGTCTCGTACAAGTTGCATGGTATGGATTCTACTGTAGTAGCATTCCTGCAGTGTTGTAGCTGTAATTTACTCATATCGGGGTGAAATGAAGTAGTCGACTGATTTTTCTGACTTGTCTGGTCAAAAGTCCAAAGAATCTAGCAGTCTTGAAGAATGACTTGAGCCAAATTATTAAATTCCCGTGCTATGTCTGCTTAGTTCCAGACATTTTTTACTTGTCTGTTGAAAGCACAGTAGAACCCCATTGAACAGTTGTTCGGGGATCTGCAGTAAAAAAATTGTATGAGGCAGGAAGTAACTCTTATTGCAATTATTTGCTTTTAATGCCGCTTAAGATGTTAGAATGAGGAGCGACTGACTTGGGGGCACCCGGATTCGCACTAGGCCGATAGAACCTAAAGTCAACAGAAACAGACAACATACATCGTGTTGCAAAAAAGGTGGGCATTTCTGCGAGAGTTTTGGAGTTCACAATTTTGCGTAAACATTTGTTGCATTTTATTGCAAAAACGGAAAGGTAGGACATTTTTAAACTTGGAAGGCACTGGGGGAACCTCTGCACAGTGGCCACGACTGCCGCCCCGACGTTGACCAGTACTAGCCAGCCGAGCAGCGATGCGGCTCCCACGGATCGGCCCACGCCAACGAGTCAGGGCAGCGCGACGCCGACTGCCAGCAGCAGCGCACCTCCAACGAGCACAGCGAGCAGCGAGACCCCCGAACGGCAGGAGCCTCCCAAGGGAGTGCCGCCCCCCAGTCCGGGCTCCCTGTCAACATTGGCGCCCGTCGCGGTGGGTGCCCCTCCGTTCGGCCTGCCGCCTCCATTTGGGCTCCCGCCACCTCCGTTCGCCATGCCCCCAGGTGAGTGCGAGGCACATGGCAGACACCGTCTCGTGCACATTCTTTACCTTCGGCCCTTTGACGTGTTTGGAAAGGAGTTGATGTGCCACTGCAGCCTTTGGCAGAATGGCGCAGTGCCAAGCTGGCTACACATCCTATTTTTCGTGAACTGACTTGCGACTTGTGTCTCACCCTTATGTGCAACAATGATCACCGACCGGGAACGGACACGCAGGCATTGTCCCACCGGGGTTCCCCAACCTGGGCCTGCCGCCGCCAAACTTTAGCCAAGCTATGGCCCTGGCAGGGTTTGTGACCCCCGTGGCTGCTGTGGCAGTGACGCCGGCCACGGCTGGCGCCCCGGAGCCCGAGCCAGATGTACAGGAGCAGGCAGCGCAGTGGGCGGAGCACCGCACACCCGAGGGCAAGAGCTACTACCACAACAGCCGCACGCAGCAGACCACCTGGGACCGGCCGCAGGCTCTGGTCGACCTGGACAGTGAGTGACACCCCGCTGGCTGGTGGCTCGAGGCTCGCGGTCTGCCAGTCAGCTGCATCTTTACCCGAGTGAATTAGAGCAGACCCCTCTGTATTTTACAGTCAAATTCGACTATATCGAACCCATTTACATTAAATTATCCCTTAGATCAAGCAATTTTGTGCACAGTAATGTTGCAGTGATAATACATAGCAAAAACTATGGTTCCATCGAACAAAAATAGCAGCTGCTATCGATATACTGAACTGCCAAGAGCGCCGTTTTGCTCTGCAAGCTAGCTTTCTCCCAATGCGGTGGCTGCATTGGGGAAAAGCCAGCTTGCAGAGCACGCCGACTTTTTTTTTCTCGGCGGCCTCGTCGAGTGTTTAGAAGAAGAAAATCTCTTTTGTGGAGGGAGCGGGGAGAGGGCGGTGCTCTGTGCTCCGTCTTCACGCTCCGTCCACAAAAGAGTATATTATTTTTTTTTTTCAAACGGTTAACGCGGCCATTCAGAAAAAAAAATTAAAAAGCCAACTTGCAGAGCAAAACGGCGCCCCACAGCAGAGGGTGCTCTTGCTTGGACGTGCTCCATGCTCTCGGCATAGTTCGGTGCTAATGCACAAATGTAGGAGGCAGCGGCTCTAGCATTTTGGAATCCGTCAATAGCATAGAAAATTATTGTTATCGCGGATGCAATGAAGAAAAAGCAGCAAAACATGCAAGACTAATTCATTGTGTAATATGTCAGCAGAAAGTGGATTTTTTGAGAGTCAAATTCATTAAAACTTTTATATCGAATTACCTGCTATATCAAACTGGTAGACTTTTTTTGCGAGTTCGGTATAAACGGGGTTGACTGTATATTCTTAATTCCGGACAACAAAATCTGAGGGGCTAGGGCAAAAGAAGGCAAAATTGTTTTCCAACGGGACCCTAGCCCCTGGCTACAGCACTCAGCGAAAGAAAGAAAGAACGCCCCCTTTCGCCCACAATGTGTAAAGAAGTAAAAGCGATAACTATAGCACATTCGCGCAATATGGGCGAAATGGCGTCATCTTGTACATAAGGACGGAGGTGCGAAGTGGTTAGTGCACATTGCCGTCGTGGTTGGCGTTGAGGATGCCACTGATGACTGCCACGAGTGCTCAGTGATCGGGATGGTAAATGGGCAGGGTGAGAAACTGGATGTGCGTGTCAGTGTTTTGCGTAAGCATGAGGTCGACGGTGGTGCTGACCCGCATTGTTGGTGCGCTTACATGGGACACCACGCAGAGGCCCAATTCTGCTCCGATGAAGCTGCACCTTCACTCCGGTTGCCTCACTTGTGGGTGTTTGTGTGACGATGAGCGACCGCAGTGGCATGCATAAACGGCGTCCAGTGGACAAGACGTGCTCTGTAGTGGGTTGCAAGAACTGCAGTGGCGACATCGAGGTCTGGAACCACACTGCGTGCACTGAACATGCCCCGCTAAAGCACATGGACTGTCCGTACTTGGTGCTGTTTTCAATGCACCCACTGATAACTGAATAACTTGATCAGAGCACTTTAAAGGAGTCATGAAACAATATTGGGTTGGAATGTTCATGACTTTGCAGAGGCGTACTGGGCCTAGTCTGGTCCAAGTACAGACGATTGCAAGCTTAGTTTCCCGACTGGTGCCCCATGGGCACCAGCACTCGAAGCATGTGAGAACGTGGCCTTGACAGGCCTGCAATCGCATCTACTTCTCCGCTCGTGCAAAGACATGACGGCACCCAGGTGCCCTGCTTGCAATTGTCTATACTGGCACAGACCGCCACTGATTCAGAAGCTTCTTTGTCGCAGTAAAATTGCAAGGATAAAAGGAGAATATTTCTTCCAGTCTTGCCTCTGCGAAGCTTGGTGACGTAATTGTGTGATCGAAACCACAGTCTGACGATAGTCGAGCGCAGCCCATGGATTGGATATGAGAACTGCGTGTGCACCGATTTCAGCTCGTAACAATCAATGCTTTGGAGGACACTCGGATAGTGGCTTGTGTCCAACCACTGCGGTGATGAGAATAGCCAAACTCTTAACAATGCCTGGATATCAGCTTGCGTTTTCTACTTTGCCAACCTGAGTACGTGGCTATGTTTAAAGTTGATGGCATAGGATAGTCACCAGGCCACGTGGCCATTTGTTCTGGCTCCGAGTTGAGGGGTTGAACGATGCTCATATTTCTTGAATTTTTTTGGTGACTGCCATTGCCTAGAAAGAAAAACTAAGGCAAGTTTATTCAGTTATTAACATTAGGAAGTGATTCTAAGTAGTATTTAGCAAAAGTAGAAAAATTGTTTCATGATCCCTTTAAGACAGCACTTTTTCTCGGGCTACGCTTTCAAATTAGCGACTACTTGTTTGCGCAAAACTTTCTACCAAATGCATAGGTTGCCTGCTGCAACTCATTCTGATGCACCCAACATCGAACACAACATTTTTCTGATGAGCGACGAGGTGCAGTGCCAAAGACCACATGCAAGCGATCCCCGGACGACGAACAAAGTTAACTAGAAATCTATTACAACCGAGCAGTACGACGAGTAGCAGTAAGCAATCCGCCCCAGCGACGGCCCAGCCTGTCGCTGATCACCAAGTTTTTCACTTTCCAAGTCGCCTACGTGATTAAAGTGCCCAAATGCAGCGAGAAACAAGACCGCGACGAGTAAAGTAGTAAACACATGCAGCTATGGATAAGACTGCAATAGCCTTGCTGTGTCAACCCGACATTTGCAGAAGTCGCACTGGGTTTCAATTACCTTTATTTCCGGCAGAAACATAACAAATGTGATGAACTTACTTAATCTCTGAAGTCTAGGCCATGATCTTGTGTCGTCGACCCATTCACAATCCGATTCCATCGTATAAAACACCTGGCGGTGGCTGGCAAAGCGCCGTACGCAGTGCTCTACGTAGTGCAGCAGCGGGAAAATAGAGGCCGCAATGGCAGATGGGTGACGTGAGGACAAGGTGGCGGCGCCCATGCCAAGTTGTCTGAAAGCGGCTATATCCGCACTGGAGCATGCAATTCGCGCGGAGCCGTTGCACCTCCGAATCCACTGAGGGGAGATGAGCCTTCTCTGGGAGTGACCGGAGGAGAGGCAAACGCCTCTCCTGGAACGTATGTGCTCTTACAGTCTCGCAGCACTTGTTCGACATGAACCACTGTGCAGTCAATTGTATTTTTAAAGAAATGAGCGGCACGAGGCGACTTTCAATGACTAGTGTCAACAAAAATATTGCCTTTACATGTTTTAATGCGAAAGCATTAACTGGGTCCCATGGAGTGAGCCGACGTCAGCTTTGAAGCCGCGCCAAACGGCACGTTAAATCCTTTCTCCAAGTGAAGCCAGCTCCCAGCTATGAAACCACGCGAAAAGCCTAGCCAAACGGCACCTAGTTTTCATGATTCCAAAGGAGTGGAGTAAAGCTGATGGATTTCGGCTTCGGTCCCATTGGCTGGCGCGCGTTGACGAGGCTCCCTTTGGCCGCTGCGCGTCAGTTTCAACGACCACCACCCCATGGTGCTGCGTGTCCGCGAGGCAGCGGCTCCATCGCTCCAAGCGCACACACTCGACCGTCAGATGAAAGAAGGTAGTGGAAGAGCGGTGTGCATGCTTTCGCATTCACAAGTCATAAGAAGTGCTTAGCCTTTTTTATGCTCGAAGTGGTAAAATGACCGCCGTTGGGCATCTAAAGAAGTTTTAAAACCTCCCAAGTTTATGCAAGATGAAGCGATCACAAAGCAGGCAAAGAGGACGGATTGACAAAATGAAATTATATTATCTCGATCAAAGCAAAAACCACACCCTTCAGTCAAAATTTGTAAACAATGTCAGCTTGGCCTTGCATTGCGTAGCATGAAATGTTTGTGGGTTCAGTTGGTGCTAATAACTTTTACAATAAAGATTGGTGTTGCGAAGACCAGTGGCGTCATAAAGGGGGGAGGGGAGGCGGGGGACGGGTGCAGTGCTCAGGGGGTGTTGCGGCGGGCCACGAGAGAGCGGGGGGGGGGGGGGGGGGGGGGGTAAAACACTTTTGGTGGATCTTGCGAAGAGCACCCCGGCGTCGCTGGGGCGTGCTCTGTCCCACCCGAAAAATTTCAGTGGGGGGATTCAAACCCCCGAGTCCTCCTGTAGTTGGTGCTTATACATGGGGTGACTCTTCCCATTGTACTCCCGTCCTCTGCCGTAATGTTGCAACAACACATGTAATGTAATTGAGCCGAATGAATTTGCTCCGAGATAGTGAACCAATGTCGCCGTGAGCTGCCCGGTGCCAAGATATCTAGAAACCATATTTTAATTTTCTCTCAACACCTAACATTTGTTTTTCCCCAGTTTCGTGAAATGTTTGCTCTGATTTGGGACTCTTTTTTTGTGACATCCGTGACCACTCTTTAAATTTTTTCATTCAAAGAGGGCTCATATCACATTGAAAGTGTACAAACAGGAGCATGAAATGAACATTAGTTTGTTATATCCAGTATTCCGCTATTCCTGGGTTTGTTAAAAATGGGTTAGATTCATAGTAAATGTGTTCACTGTCACTGAAGTCTACAAGTTGAACGAGCTTCCCTGCTAGTTAGGCAGTCCTAACTTTTGCGTGCCCCTGTAATTTAATTGCGACACAATAACCATTTTTGACTGGTGAAAGTTCTGCAGGCTCTGGTTTTTTAGCATAGACTTAAACGGGTCTGGCACCACTTGCAGAGGCTCTGACTGCCGCGGCAAGTTCGGGCGGTGCGGCCGACGCCAGCGGGACCACCTCGGAGGCATCCAAGCCAGCTCTCGACTCTAAGGAGCCGGCTGAAAGCCAGGGCACCCAGGATGCAGCCACTGACGCTGCACCCCAGGCAGACGCAGGAACAGGCACCAAGGTGAGGGAGCGAGTCATTGCCATTTGGTTTGAGCTGCCGTCTTCGCAGTCTGCCTCTGCCGTGTTGTAAGGTACATACAGGGGTGGGTAGCGTGCGCCCCACAGCTGCCAGATAAAATCTGCTCATCGCCCTGGTTTCAAGCGTTGCCACCAGACGACTCTTCGATCTTAGTAAAACATATAAAATAGCGCAACAGAAACAAGGACAAGAAGTAAACAGGACAGGCGCTACTAAGATGAACCAACTAGCCCAACAACGTACCTTACTAGACTCTTCGATCGGCAACCCGTGGTAGCCTTCTACGGTCCCGGTCTTCTATGCTCCTCAATGGGAGGCACGCTGGCTTTTAAATTTGTTTTCTGCATGCGCCGTGTCCCTCAAAACTTGGCACTTGCGGCATGTATCTTTATCATTGATCCTTGTTTTGTGCCCAAGGGGCAGCAAGACACGTTTTGTGAAGGCACTTATACAGAGAGATCTCAGGCCCTCTGTTCAAGCGGGTGTCAATCTTGTGCTCAAAGTGGACGCTGGGCAGAAAGCGGAGCACTCAGGTGCCTTGGCAACGAGGTATCTTTTTGCTCTTGTTTCTCTCCTGCAGCTGTGTCGTCTGGCCAGCGGAGACTTTGTCGAGAGCGACCTGTCGGACGTGCGCCAATAGGGCTTTATCTGGTCGATTGCGTCGCAGCATGTGCCGTGCTCTGTGTCCTCGCCTAAAGTTTCTGATGCGGTGTTCTTTGGGCACGAGTAGCCGTTGGAGCCTTGCTGCATCTCCGTTCTTGGTTCAGCCACAGGCAGAGGCAAGTCAGCCGGCGGCTGCAAAGCGCCCACCCCCCCGGCCTCAGGACAAGTCACGGCCCGTGTCGAGCACACCGGTGCCAGGCACCCCCTGGTGCGTGGTGTGGACGGGCGACGGGCGAGTCTTCTTCTTCAACCCCAGCAGCCGCACCTCGGTCTGGGAGCGTCCAGCTGAGCTCAAGAAGCGGGCGGATGTCGACAAGATGGTGCAGAATCCCCCTGTGCAGCCGGAGGCCAAGACCCAAGGTGGGTGGTTGGCCGGCCATTGTTTTTTCTGCCCGATAGCGTTGCATACACTACTATACTTGCACATTGTGTGCACCATGAGGGAAGCCTGCACGTCGGCTTTCCCGTACAAGTACCGCAGTGAGCTTCTTCTCATCCAACTGACTGAACTATGGGACCATTGCTTCCTTCATTCTAGCGAGTGTTGTGCATGGCATGCGTCTGTTTATTCAGCTACAACTTAGGGTTCGGCAAGTCAAATGCATTATGGTCATCAACCTGAGCTGCATGGCTGCAGGAGCAGCTGGCAAGTGCTGGCCGTTCTGTCTATTGAGGGTTTGTCGGTGATCTTGGCTGCTTGTTGGACAGCGCAGCTTGTGCCTCCCAGTTCTTGCTGCGGCTATGCAGCTCGTATCGCTAACATTAACTCTCTGAAAGCTTGCAGTGTGCAGTTTGTTCAGTGTGAATAAACTGCACTCTGAACAAGCTTGCAGTTTGTTCAGCGTGCAGTTTGGTTTCCGCATTGCAAGGCCACGGTAGACTAATATTGACGAGGACGACCTCAGTTAATCCGCGAGGTGTTGCACAAATTTGAGCGGCATCTTTTGGTTGGCTTACGCAACTTGGCTGCGGGTTTTTTGCACAGATGCGGCGGCTAAGGACGGAGAGCCCCCTGCAAAGAAGACAAGGTGAGTCGAGCGCGACACGCAGTGCGACTCTGGGGGTACTGCCCCCAAGTAAAGTGTCTTTGGAACGATCTGTGGCGGAATTTGAAACTGGGCAGATGCCTCAATGTCTGGCTCGAGGGAGCCGGGGAGACCGTGGTCAGCATGAGCATGAATGCGCGCGCAGGGTGGACGAAGCGGAAGGCCCCGCAACCGAGGCACAGAACGGCGCTACGGATGTACGGCCCGAGGAGACGACGGCCGTGCGGGTCCAGGGCAAGGAGTCGGCCATGGAGGCGGAGCTGCGTGCGGCCAAGGAGCGGGCGGCCATTCCCCTGGACGTGCGCATGCAGCGCTTCCGGGACATGCTGGTCGAGAAGGAGGTGAGTGCGGTGCATGCAGCCACTGTCTGCCTAAATTGGCCTTGGTTCGTCAAGTTGCAAAGGATCCTTCTCTCGACTCATCTGCATGACATTCGAATAAAACGGCGTGAATAGACCTCTTCCAGAATCGAAGTGATCCTAGCGGCGAGATGCCAAGCGAAGCATCTTGGTTACTGGTTCGTAACTAAGTTTTGGTTTCGATTGGCCAATTTCACTTCATGACATCATGCTGCAACCAAGTGCACTGCTTGGGTTTTCAAATATGCAACTTTTCATAAATATATAACTGCATGCATTGCCGAACGATATGGAAGGATTGCTGGGGAAGGTTCCAAACATGTTGAAATTTGTACTTGGCAAAACGTATGTGAACGATGGCATGTTCGCCTCGCGATACTCTATCGTTGAGCTCAGTATAGACAATCAAGATCAGTACAGGTGTACCACAATTGAAGTAAAATCACTTCAAGCGTACAAAGTCTTCAGTTTGTCAGAAGTCAGGCTTTTGTCACCTTATATCAAGCAAAAAAAGAGGCCGCATCTCCACGTGGGGAATGATGTTGATTGAGGCGAAGCTCTTGTGGTGCTGATGATACTGATTTTATTGTTCATAGGTAGTGCTGATGGTGCTGATTTTTTTTTATTGCTCATAGGTAGTGCTGAGTTCCTGGTTGCGTTTCGACTTCATTATTACTGCTTTATGGTCGGTGAAATGCAGAGCCAGTGGTTCTTCTAGCAGATCAGCTTGGATCCGCTAGAAGCCGTGGGAACGCATCTCCACCGCTTAAGTCAACAGTCCATATCAGAATGACGATGTGTGGTATGGATCATGGTTATATACGCAGTTGAGCATTTGACCGCAGCGCCCTCTCGTCTATAAACGTTGAGCCAATGCATGCAAAGTTTAACGCGATTATATACGCATTTGACCACAGCGCCCTCTCCTGTATAGATGTTGAGCGGTTACATGCAACGTTGGAGTGTAGCGTAGTGGTTAAGACGTCTGCCTTGTAAGCAAGCGGTCCTGAGTTCAAACCCCCGTGCGGGCATACATTTTTTTTTTTTTTAAAGTGGGCCGATCCCGGAGGCAGTGCAATCGATGTGAGCACGGAGGCTGGATGGATGGACAAGGCTAGACCCTAAGGAGCTTCGCCCCTAAAAATAAGCTGTGCAGTTTGGAGGCTTAAGCACGATCCAAACCAATGCGTTTTTGTGCGTGCGAAAGTCGTGCACTTCCTGGAAATTGCATATTTCGTGACTTTTTTGCTGTTTCCGGTGCGCTTTTTGAGTGGCAAGCGTGCGCATTGGTTAGGACGGTGCGCTTTCAAGCGAGCGGAGAGCAGATGCGCTTGATGGCAAAGAAACGCGAAGCCGGAACTGGTGCCCTCCGCTGATTGGCCGGGAGAGGATATGGGAGAGGAGTGCCCTACTACGTCACAGCACGTTTTTGTGCGCTTTCAGAAAAAGTTGAAATCATCCAACTTTCTTATGCGCGCCCAGAAGGCGCAAGGAATCAGCGTGACGTCACGAAATACGCAATTTCCAGGAAGCACACGACCTACACGCGCACGAAAACGCGTTGGTTTGGACCACGCTTTAGCGAGGAGTAGGGGGCTGTTGCTCCTAGCTCCAGCGCAGTGTCCATTCGAGATGATCTACGTCGCAGCCGATAGCAGAGTTTGTAAAAACTTCTTTCCCAATCACTATGAAATTTTGGAGGTGGATATTGTTGACATGAGGAAGACTTAGCTGTTCATTTAGTGCAATGGTGAAGGCGAGATTTTGTGTTTCGTGGATTTTTGTGCGTCAGTGACAGGTTCAGTCGCTCACCCGTCACCGGTGCATGAAAATCAACGAAACTCAAAATCTCACCTTTAGCTACTGCACAAAATAAATGACTAAGTTCTCGTGTCAACAAATATTTCCTTCCCAAAATTTACAGTGATTGGGAATTAAGTTTTCCCAAACGTCGAGATTAGCTGCGACAGAGACTGTGCCTGATGGGCACCATCCCAGAGTGAGGAGCAGCGGTTCCCTATGCGTCGCTAAGCCTATGCAAGCCTTTACTGCTCTGAAGGTTTGTGTCTCAGTGGCGGCTCTGAATTGCATACGGTAAACTCCCATAGTGATGGAAACAGACATGCACTAATTGCCTTTATTAACGCTCATCAAAAGCACTCATTTTTTTTTAGTTTTATAGGTAGTGTTTGTACAAGCCAGAATTTGTGCTTGTACATGCTGGCAAACACGGTGCGACACTCTTCACGCAAATGCATCATCGTCACTTTCTCAAAAATGGATTGTTAGTAAAGTTTTGCCTCCGTCATTGCACAATAGGTTTAGATGCAAAGCACGAAGATTAATTATAGAGTGCGATCGAGCTCAGACTTTATTCTCATGCAGTGCTCTACAGGAAAAATCTTTTTATTTACTTTTAGCTTTTCAACATTCTACCTTGCATGCTCTGCTGTTGGGGGCAAAAAAAAAAAAAGAAACTTCACACGCTAAAATGTCCTTTTGTTAGTTCATGCAATAAACATGTAAAAAAAGTGTTGAGCCCTAAAATAAATGTAAGCAAGAAAGTTTGGCGTTTCATTGTGGTGGCTGTTAGCATGCATTGAACCTTGCTCGAGACAGATCTTGAGCGACGCCTACAAAACATCCATGCAGAAAAGAAAAAACTACAACAAATCAATGCTTTGTACTGTTTTAATAGTCAACAAGGCGACCGAAACCATACCACTCCGCTCCTTGGCCAAGCAGCTCCCACGATGCAACATGCCCAGTGTTGCATACAGGGATTTATAGAAGTAGTCCCTTTACCTTCTTACCTTTTAACTTGGTACCTTTGTACCAAGTTGAAAGGCAGGTCAAAGCAGGGGCTGCCTAGGTTTGCAGCAACCCTCTGCTCGGAGATTGGTAATGATGTGTGCTCGATTTGCGCATAAGTGTGCCCACCGGATGCCTGTAGGACACGCACCTTCTCTGCAGGTGTCGGCCTTCTCCACGTGGGAGAAGGAGCTGCACAAGATTGTGTTCGACAGCCGCTACCTGCTGCTGACGTCGAAGGAGCGAAAACAGGTATTTGAGAAATATGTCAAGGAACGAGCCGAGGAGGAACGCCGGGAGAAGCGCAACAAGATGCGCGAACGCAAGGACCAGTTCCGGCTTCTACTGGAAGCGGCGAGCCTCACGAGCAAGTGAGTTGACGGGGAGTGCGAGAGAACCGATTTCACCTGCCGTTTCCCTGCACTTTCATCAGGAGCTTCAAATTTTGAGAGTTGTGGTATAGTCTTCCAAATTTCTGGCTCCAGCGACGCCGCGCAGCTGCAGTGCCGAGAGGCTTGGAAAAGAGATCTTTTCACAACTGTCGTCCGCTTTAGTGACTTGGCTCTTGTATGCAACATACCGTATTTACACAATTGCAAGTCAGGAAAAAAAGAAAATATTTAGAGGCACATTTTATGGCAAATATGTGAGAACAGCAGGGCATCTCTTTTGAAAGCCTAGCCTCCAGCACGCGATTGATGCCTTCTGGCGTGCTTTGGCTGTGCATGCACATGCGAGGCGCATGTGGTCCCCAGGTGTTATCGAAACTAGGAAGCTCACGCTGGAGGCGGGACAACTGAAGCTGCTCCCTGTCGTTCTCACTCTGTCTGCGATTAAATACTACGATTCGTCTGCACAGGTGGTGTTGCTACATTGCTACATTCTCAAAGCACGTTGTCCCCGTCGTCCAATAAAATCTCGCACTTCGCAAATGACAGCATCGACCGCATCTTCTGTGCTTGGCAATGATTGCATTGCACGTCATGGGTAGGAACAGATTGCTCACTTCTGCGGCGTACATTGTAAGCCTGACCTACGGAAGGCATCCCCACTTATCCAGACAATTGCTGTCCCAGTGAAGATCCCGCGCTATTGCAGACTCCACTAGGAGCACCACCCACTTCGACGGGTCGAACTTGCATCCAGCAGCGCAGTCGTTGGTTGCTTCTGGATGAAGAATGGCCATAAACGAGCACCAAAAACCTAAACTGCTCGAATCACGCATGTCAATACAAAAAACGTAGTTGGCGCTGCAGTATGATCGCGACACTCAATCAGTTGACGTGTGACCATGAATCATGTAAAAAACTGCGAAAAGAAGTATGGGGAGTGAGGTGCGAGGCAGGCTGTTCCAGCGGCTTTTCTGGAGGGGCTCTTACAAGAAGTGCCGCCACCCCTGGGAGTGTGGCACGCCATGCGCTGTTCACTGCCATACATTTGGGCTAATTTGTGAATCGCTATCAATAATATTCGTAGCAAGTCAAGGTGTTCTTGACATTGCGATTTTTTCGTTCTTGTCGGTGGTGGAATTAATTGGAATATAAGTCAACCCTCCCCCCCACTTCAGATTTTCGAAAATTGAAAAATGGATCGACCTACATTTGTGTAAATATGGCAGCTTCTAGAGCTTGTTCATTAGGATTGACTACATAAGGGTGGTTCAGTGCTGCCGCAAGAAGTGGAGGGATGAACACGGAGGTGAAAACTCGTGTTGGTGTGTAATTTTTTTCATCTGCAAGATGAAAAGCAATGCCATCTCGCAACGCTTGTTCTCGCGCAAAACTGGTAGGGAAAAAATTAACAAGCACAGAGGTTGGATAGCATTGTGCACCACCTAGCAGGCAGCGGTGATGAAGGACATGCGGGCTGCTTGCCTCCGCTGCTGTCAACTAAATTACATAAACTCGTTTTTGTTTTTACTATTGCTAGCAGTTGCAGTCACACATTGCTGGGAGCAATAATAAAAGCGGTTAACAACAAAGAAGACAAGATGGGGTCGGCACAGATAGGGCTAGCTTAGCTACATCGAGTGTCTTCTAAGATTTGCAACACTATTTTCTTAATTTCTCATTTAAATGCAGTGGGTGGATATATAAAACCGTAAGTAAGAAATCTCAATGACTTGCTTGTAGCAGTTTGTTTTGCCTATGCTTACCACATTTTTTACTGTGCTGCAGTTGTCGTAAAATAAAGTATGCTTAATCATTTGGAGGCACGGCCATCATTTCCCTGTAGTGCAGTCAGTGTAGAATCCTGGTATAGGTAGCGTGCCAAGGTTCTAAACTGGCATGGTGGCTGGAAGGGGAGTCCCGTTGGACATCGCATGAATTTGATGAGGTGGGACGTGTTTGGGTGGGCATACTTCCAGGTATAGATATAAAGTCAGGGTTTTACGGTCTGTCGTAAGAATGCCAGGGGGTGGGGCAGAGCTACCTCTCAGTATAGACCGTTTTACTGAAAGAGGGCGAGAGAGAGAAGGGAAAGGGCTACCGGCGCTTTCCCCCTTTCTGATTGTGTTGAAAGAGTGAAATTCCCGGATGAGAGGCTTCGCCGGTGTTGGGTGTCTGCTTTGCCCGAACTTCGTTCGCGCTTTCTTTTCTGTTTTAAACTCGCAAACTTAATTAGAGCCAGAGGCTTCGATGGCAACAGTTGCCCGGTCATCGGGACACCATCGCTGGATCACTGGGTGCACGAATAAAAACAAAAAAGCATAGAATACTGTCCGAGGATATATGTAGCTTGCAAGGAATCCGGCAAGGCGAGAGCGGCTGCAATGTCTTTGAGCTCTATCGCTTTCCACATGACCTCTTTCTCGGTGGCAGTGGGTTGCGTCCGTAAACCGAAAAGGCGTTTCCTCAACGCCATCCTCTCGACTTCGCTCGGAACATTTCGTGAATGGAGCGCGCACCGAATGCTGTACCGCCGATGAACATGGGGTACGGTCGCAATGTGCGTGCGAGTTTTCTCATGATAACTGCTGTTTCAGCTTGTAAAATTTCGTAACTGAATTTATCTTAATAGTGATAATTTGCAGTGGTGACTGACTCGATCTTATCATCTACAACACTTAGTTGAAGGCTCATTTCCGCCGCCGGGTGAGGTTGAAAATTGTTGAAAACGTGGTTCTATTAATTTTTTGTTTGTTTGTTTGTTTTCAATCGCGATCTCCTGCGCGATACTAAAAAGTCGGCAAAAGCGTTCCTTGGAGTGCCGCTGGTGGGTTGTTTGACTAAGGCGCTTTTAGGCGCTTGATAGTCGCTGCAGGGAACGTCTCGTGTGTTGCGATCTGCGTTTTCGAGCCCAGTGTGCACGTTTATTTATTTGAGTCATGGCATCCGCCAGTGTGGCGACGGAGGGAACAGCGGCAGCGAACGTGCCAGCTATAAAAATTGAAGGTAAGTACCCAAAATATTGCACCAAATAGTAAAATAATTCGTGGCTGCTTCGAGGCTTTCTGCGGTTCGATAAAAGTACATCTAGAGCGTCTTCGTCGTTCATTCACAAGGAAATATAAGAACAGGGACACGAAGATAAAAACAGCACAGCAAGACGATATGTAGCAGCACCGGGCGTTTTCAAAGATAATTGAGGTTCCTGTTTCGTGTATCGCTTGTTGATTACAACTAAAAGCGGCTACGTTGAAATGGGCACCATTGCAAGCAAAAATGTATAAATGGTTCATCATTTCCAGCCATGCGGAAAGCAATGGAGCTTAAAAACATTCCAGCCGTACTTGCCTTGCCGGATTCCATGCAAGCTGCATAGGTCCTCGGACAGTATTCGACGCTTTCTGTCGTTATTCGTGCACCCTATCACCCAGCAACGGTGTCCCAATGACCGGGGGACTGTCGCCATCGAAGACCATGGCTCTAATTAAGTTTGGGAGTTTGAAACGTAGAAGAAAGCGCGAACGAAGTTGGGGCACTGCAGACGCCCAACACCGGCCAAGCCTCTCATCCGGGACTTCCACCCTTTCTACACAATCAGAGAGGGGGAAAGCGCCGGTAGCCCTTTCCCCTTTTCTCTCTCGCTCTCAAAATGGCGCTACCCACGATAAAACGGTCTATAGTTACAGGGCCTTGATGCAGCAAAGCTTGAAAGCACCTCATTGGAAAAGCTTGAATGCCTGCAGTATAAACAATCTCTCAAACTATTAAAATAGAGACTTGTGAAAAGAGTCTTATCGACGTGCAGGCATGGGAAACGTCCGGTGAAACGGTCCTCGTTGGTTCCTGAGACCGCAACTCACCATGCCACTTTCCCCTGTGCAGGTCGACGTTCAGTGACTTTGCGCAGAAATACGGTAAGGATGAGCGTTTCAAGAACATAGAGAAGATGCGTGAGCGGGAAAGCATGTTCAACGACTACATCCAAGAATTGCGCAAACAGGAGCGTGAAGAGAGAATGTCTCAGAGGGAAAAGGTGGGTACCTGCCCGTGCTACTTGGGGAGGGGACAAAGCAAGCATGTAGCCTCTCGCGGCTCTGTGGTAAACAATCTTTTTGGGAAGAGCACCATGCAATTCAAGTGCCAGTGTGTATCAAGTACTGATATCCTCGCGAGACCCAGGTGCAATGTATTGCGAACCTATGTTCCTGCTCCTGAAGACGGGGACTTGCCCTAGAAAACAACGACCACATTCCCAGAAGTTCCTATTATTAGTGTTGTCTCTGGGTGGTCAAATTCATCTGTTGTGGAAAGCGCTGGAATCGGCAGTTAACAACGGCCAGTCCAAGTCTATTCATTCCTACGACGGCAAGGTAGACTAGTCATATTAAATTTAATAATGTTTCTAAGTATCTTTAGTGTGTATTTTGTGTTTGGCATTGTTAGTCTTAGTGTTCTAATCTTTTTTAGTTGCTGTGTCTATCGTGAAGAAAAAGTAATTGAAAAACAAAGGATTGTAACAGTAAGGTCACTCTTATATACAGGCACCTACCAGTTCTGGCAGGCTGGTTTTAGATTGCTTTTGAGGTATGTAGCATTGCTTTTGGTGTTTCCTGATGTAACTTCTCCTTTTACTCACTCCTGTTTCGTTATTATACCAGTATCAGTACATCGAGAATGGTATCAAATTAATCACAAACATAATGTAGACTGGGTCTCGCGAGGTCATAGTTATCTAGTGAAGATTTTGAATAGTTCAACCGAGTTTATTATAGATAAGTTCTGTTGTAGCCAACTGTCTGATGTCATAAAGCTGACACTGAGGTAACAGAAGAGGGATCAACACGGTCAAGGGCCCATGTTTGTGCCTCTTCCATTGGCTCCCTCTCAGGTTTTTGACGTTTAAAGTGCCCACTTACCGTTATGCAAACTGCCTTCGGTGACTCTGTGCGCCGTATGGAAATCCTAAAAGCATTTGATTTCAGGTTGGATGGCCCCTTGTGGCTGTATTTCTCACTGTTGTCGCTGGACTTTGATTTTTTGGGGCCTCTGCTTTGAAAGGGTCCCCCTGCTAGATAACTTTGCCTCTTGCTGTTGCCACAGTTCATAAAATGATTTTGTTGAATGTTTTGAGCAGTGATGTGATAGTCATGCTTTTTCTGTAGCAGGACTTTCTTTCTTGTGGCCAATCCCACTTTGACAGCTGCCTGATAATGCCAAGGAATATTGAAAAGTGTCTTGCATAACCAGTATCAAATTGCTATTTGTGACTGGTGTTGACTTTCTAGGTGTTTGATTTCTGACATTATTGCTGTGTTACGGGTTTTATTGCTGATTTGTGTCAGTGTCGTGCAGCACTTGCTGACTGGCCCTCTGGGGCCCAGGTTGGAGCAGTAAAGCTTTGGGCAACGAGGCTATTGCTGCCTCTGTTTGCCAGGCCCCAGCCCCCAAAAGGCTCGTGCTGCCCGAGGCTGGCTTGCCAATCGGTTGAGCGCTTTGTGTTATCTCTGGAACCTAGCGTGTCATAATCTATTGTTGCATTTTAAGGTCGCGTGCGCAGTGTGATCAGTTGATGCCTTTTCCCGCAGGGGGAGAGTGTTAGCAAGTGTCTGTAGGCAGCTCGCAAGGGTGCGGGTTGCCTGGAATTTTTGCCTTGTAGCTGTTGGGCGGCAGACAAAGAGCACCCTGCCACTTGCCGTCTGCCAGTCGGGCTCAGGCGAGAGTCACTGTATGTTCCCCGCGTACCACAGCTTCTGTGGAGTACACTGGTAGCCTGTGGCCAGACTTGGGTCATCTGGGTTAGCCCTTGTTCTGTGCAAAACATTACAAAGATTAGATCGCCTGTTAGTCACGCCGAAGTGAAGTACTTTCATTCAAGCCGCCCAACTTTGCTCCTCTTGTTGGCAGCTTCCTAGATTTTGGTATGGATGCATGCTGAGACGCTCGTAGGCGCTTGCAACCTTCTGCTAAGAACTTCTATGTGAGTTTACCCTGACACTCGTGTGCCACTTGTGCTTCTCAGGCGCGGTGACTCGGAAGCTTTGGAGTTGTGGTGCTCTGCGAATAGCCAGTGACTCTAGGTCCGGCCTGACTGTTCTTTTCTGACAGCTTTCCGTTCCTTTGCAGACCAGGAGGGTCTAGCTGTAGTAGCCGAGGCCTCGCAGTGTTGTTGATGGCGGTTGTGTGATGCCCCCGAGTAACCCGTGCACTTGCCTCGATCAGGTTGCCACTGTTCTTCATACAGGACGGCCTGTACTGTCGTGCTCCCTGCCCTGCGCCCGTGAAACGTGTCATTGCGATGCTCGTGTGTAGAGGGATTACATAGCATAACCGATGCCTTGTAAACCCACGGTATTTGTGATGTTTTTTTTTACCTTTGCATTCTAGAGCTTTTGAGTGTCGGTCGGCGGACCACAGGACGTGCGGAGCAGCCGGAGTAATGCTTACTGTAGAAAAGTTGTCCGAGTAATGGCTCAGGGGCTCATTGTGGGTGGGAAGGAATGGATTTGAATGCTCCTAACGTGCAATCGTCTTTTATACGCTGGAAGGAATTTAGAGGCAATCCCAAGTGTTGGCTCTCGGAGGTTAGTTTAGGCACGCTTCCCCCTGTGCTTGGAAGGGACCTGCAAGAAGGAGTCGGGTTGGCTCGCCTCTCTTCTGAGTGAGACATGCACCCCAGAGTTTCTGATGATTTTGGCATTTAACTGCTGCATCACTAGTGACTGTGACTCGGTCTGATCCACTGGATTGAACTATTGGCTAGGCTAACGACCTTTGGTGCGCTCCTCAAATGCCGCTGAACTGCCACCAATTGCATTTCTGGTAGTTCTGTGAGCACTGAATAAGCACACTATTTGTCTGTTGGAGAAGGGAGTGGAGGGGTACACTAGAGCTTTATGGGCCGCTATAAAAGAAACCGTATAATCCGGAACAATGTGGCAGCCAGTAGCTGCCACATTGTTCCATGGGCTTTTACGGCTGTGGAGAACTACCATATCTAGTCAAGTACAGGTCTACGATTCCTTGGGAACTGTTATTTAAACCTGGAGTCGATCTAAAACGTTAACCAAGAAATGTCGGCCTGTAGGAGGGAGGAAAATTTTGGAGCCTATTAAGCTAACCCAGGCACTGCTCCGCTTCAGCCGCTGATCCTATACTTTGTTTTACCTTAAGTCCAGATGCAGCGGACGCTACGACTTGCTGGGACCGATCAGACAGTGTCAAAAGTGCACTTTTGTGGTGTTTATCATGTTTCTGTATGTTTGCTATCATGGCTGAACCAATCATAAACAGAAAAGGTCTAGTGACTTGCGCTTTTGACGCTGCTTGATTGGTCCCATTACCTGTTAGCGTCGGCTGCGTCTGGATTTGAGCTGAAATGAAGTATAGCACACATGTGCAAGGCGGTGAAGCTCGACGCTTACGTCGGTGTAAAGCGGTAAAACTTGATGCACGCATACTGCAGTCTAATTGCGCATGGTGCATGATTATATACTCTGAACTCAAACTCTACGTGAACTGAAATTTCCAGAACCGGAAGAATTGCTTCACTGAGCACGGCAGAAGCGCGTGGGAAAGGGACGGAAAGATGAATGGAATGTTGCGAAAGCCTCCCTTCTTTCCAAGCCTAGTTCAAGGTCACGCCTGGCAGGGGAGAGCGACACAGAAAGGGTAGGGAGGCAAGGAGGTGACAAAAAGTGGAGAGCAAAAAGAAGAGGGCATCCAGATAGCCCAACACATCGCTCCGGCCGTTTCGAGCAGCAGTTTTTGGACGTAACAGCCGAGAAGGCAAACGGCACCTGCGGACATTAATAACACACGTCTGGAACTGATATTCATGAACCTAACAGCTGAAAAAAAAACGAGAATGTATCAATAGGGTTCTATTGTATTCCTGTATTTTTCTCGTGTCTAGTAGCTGGCTAACTTTAGACAGCGCTGCATAAATAACTTTTGATTAGTTTTGGCCCCTTCTAGTGCCATTGCCCATATCGCCGAGTCGGCAAATATAAATGGTAATAAATGACGACTCTGGCTGTATCACATCAATTTTCTTCATAAGATATGAGAAAAATGGCCGTCGAGATCCTAAAATTCCTGCCACTGACGTTTCTGCGTTACAAAGTAGTACCTGATGGAATGAAAGCTTGATTGTTTTGTCAATATTGGGTCCGAGCCTGATTCTCTCTGCAAACCCAGCTCGGTCCTTGGATTGGAGGGAAGTTAAGATCCCCAGTTGAATGGTTAGGTACTGTTTTAGTTCTAGACAGCCTATGTCGTGGATGGATTCATATGGCTGGAATGGTGAGATCAGGTACATTGGGAAGGCACAAAATGTGTGCTTACTTTTCTTGTGAGATGTGAGGCTATCCCTTTTGATAGCCTCACATATAGCAGTACTTTGAATAGCAGCACTGTCAGTGGACCTCGCTTGACCGGCCTAGCTGAAGACTACACAGACTGAAAGTTGGGCGCGGCCCAGGTTAGCTTGAATTGCACCTGTGGCGTATGTTCCACCAAAAGGAAGGCAAGTCGACTCATTCTTGCCTAGAGTCCTTGAATTGTCTATAAATAACAACTGGGCAGTTTGCAAGGGATGGCTCTAAATTCTTTGCTATCTACTGGAATTGAAGGGGAAATAAAGTAGTGCACTGTAGAACTTTTGGCTTAAACTTTATTTGGCACAACTTGAGGCTCTTTGAAGTGAAACGTTCACACTGCTGCAGCGTAATGTTGCCGGAGTCTAGTTCATATTAGCAACCAATTATTAATTGTGAAACTGAAACAATCTCTTCTGTGTTCTGTGCAAGGCGGTTCATTCTAATTAGTAGTCATTAAAATGAACAATCAGTTAGTTGTGGATATTAGCATGCTTTGCTGATGTTGCTGTAGTTGGCATGCTTTGAATGCTCCACTTGACTGAGCTTTATATTAGCAACATGTTAAGCATTTAAAAATAAAAGGATGTTTTGGGCAGTTTATATAAGGCATTAGTATTGAACAGTAATAATTAAAATGCATACCCAGTTACTTGTGAGCATCACCATGCTTTCCATGCTTTACTGCGTTAAAATCCAGTGCTTTTCAAACCAGTGTTTAATTTATTATGCTCTTTGGTATAATGAAGTTAAAACCGCATTCACTAAGTTAATTTTTTAATTCTGAAATGCAGGTGAAATTTTTTGAGTTGTGCCAAGTAGATGATGTTAGGAAGAAAGTTATAGTTTCCAAAACAGTTTCTTGTGCTGGCATCGCAATATACTTTTATTGATAAGTTAAGAATGCACCCTCTCTTGGAGTAAGAATAAATGTTATCAGACGAACTCATCAGCCAATTTTGCAGTTTTCACTTCGTCGTACTCAAGTTTCAAAAATTGCACACTGCCACACGGTCGTTGGAATCGCAAAAACCTGACACCGCTTGATTGGTTGGAACTCCAGGAAGGTTGTCGTGAAGCACGCGTGGAAGAGGTAACTGGGGAAGCTGGCTCCATTCATTACTTTGTGCCGCTCACAACTCTCTGGTCCAAAGCAGACTGCTCTGCACATGCCCAGAACTAAACAGAAACGCCTTGTGCTACAGAAAAGTGCTTTCTCAACATTTGCGGAGCATGCTTAAAACGCGTCGGCCATATGCGATTAGAAGAGATGGGTGCAGTCCTGAAAGAGTTAGCTCAACTTGTGCTTAAGTTGTTGCTGTTGAAGAGGCGTTTTGAGTTGTTTCCACCTTGCACAGTCCTATCAGAATAGCATTTCCGAGATGCTCCGCAGGTCAAGTTGTTGATTTGTCTGTGTTTCCCCGAGGAGAATATTTAGTGGTATGAAAGGAGGACCAAAAGGAACACTGGGCTTTGTCACAAAGCACTTAGTACTGAACAATATGTTTTCCTCTTTGCTGAAAACCTAAAACATCTCATTACAGCTTCTCCTGGCAGTCCTTTGTATCATTCTTCCATACCATTGTCTACCAATGTGCAAGTTGAGGCCATAAGATCATTTGCTAGGGTTTTTGTTCCTCTGGGCATGCTTTGGTGATTTGTCTACTGCATTTGTGGTTCACTGGAGGTTAATGGCAGCAACTTAGCTATATTGCGGGCATTTGGCTCGTACATCTAAAACCTACGGGGCTAAGTTCCACTGAGCCACGGGGCAGTCAAGTTGCCATAATTTCTTGCCACATTTGCAGTTTTATTTGTCTACAAGTTGATGCATTTTTGACGTGCTCTTTTGTTGTCAGTAGGCCAGCAGTTGCGCTCTTGGGACTCTGACAGGTTTCTTTGCAATAGGGCTTTCTTTTTTTGTGACTCATTGCACCGTAAACTTTGTTTTACATAGCTGTTACAATCACAGTGTGCTTTTGGCAGAGGTCGTTACCTTTTCTTTCTTCTCTTTCTACTCTTTTTTTTTTTTTGGCAATCGGGGAAAGATGTTTCCACTTGTGTTATGGCAGAAATAACGTGAGGAAAAAATAAAATTAACCTTTTTATGCAGTAGATATATAAAGTCATGTTCTTTCAACTGCGAACACTTGCTGCTGCTTGTAGATCCCTGGAGCACTGCTGGCCTGCTTGGCTGTGAAGCGGTTAACATTGTTTGCTTTGCATAGGTATTCAAACAAGAATGTGGGTAAGCGTCTCCTCTGTGCATCTTCTCTATTGAGAAACTTGCGTCTGCATTATCTAGCACGGGGCGCTGCCCGGAGATGCTGTTACGCATTGCATGCCTCTGTGACCGAAAAGCTGAGACACTTAATTCCAGAGGTGGATCGTTGGTGCCATAAGGGAGGATTAATTATTACATATAAAATCTCTGATGTCAGGAAATTACATTGATATCCCCAAGCTCTCCATTTACTTAGTAACTAACTGTTTTTTTTTTTTTGCAATTTTTGAGTGTTAAATCTACATAAAAAAGAAAAAGAATGTAAATTACCATTTACATGGCATGCGTAGGCTCATGAACCCCTTGTATGCTTGCTGAAGTCTCAGTGAAGTAAGCAGTTTTGGCAGCATAGACAGAAGACAGTTTCTCTAGGGCAGTCGTTCTCAGACTTGTTTGATCTTGGGCTTCCCCTCAGCTGCCTCGGTGGCTTAGAGGCAAAGCTCTGGCCTACGGATCCCCAGGTCGTGGGTTCGAATCCTGGCTAAGGTGCCTGAAATCTGACGGAAGCTTATTGCAGAGAAGTGGTCGTGTGACCGAGCTTTCGATTGCCCGTCAAACGATCCCCAGGTGGTTAAAATTAGTCCTCAGCTGAGGTGTGCCAGATGCCGGTCGTTGGTTTGGCACGTAAAACCTCCAAATTTGACTTTTGGGCTTCTTTTTGCCCTCTCAACATTAATGCAAGATTTAAGAGCTTATGAGCATTGTCAAGAATTATCTGCTTGGCGTATAGGCTTACTTGATGCGTGATCCAGTTAGACTAAAAGTCTGCTTAAACTGGAAAAACACTCCAGGTGTAGGCATTGCCGAAAGAATCTCTACGATATCTGGAACGCAGTTTGAGAACCGCTGCTTCTAGGATGTTCTTGCCCTCTGTGTATGTAGATACTCGAGTTGGTGTTTGAATCACATAGTGCTGTCTCTCATAGCCACCACAGTAGGAAAGCAAGTCACTACATCTGGCTCCTAATTCTGAACGCTAGAAGTAACGCAGCACCATATGATTTGGACAGACGTCCGCAGATTCCTGGTGGATGCTATATACAGATTTCTTGCGTGTTGACTTAAGCATCATCTTAACGTCGCAAGCATTTGGTACATAGTCATACCTCCTCTCTTCAGCTTACTTCTTCCATTTCGATCATCTGAAATTCTGGCGTCTTTTTTGGGAGGGGCAGCTTCTTGTGTCATATTCACGAGGCTTGACTTTTGCGTGTGTCTGTTGCGAATATGTTTTACTGATTGAAATTGTGGCAAGAAATTATGTCATTGCAACTTGCATGGTACTTGTTTGCATTTGAGTTTTTCAAACTTGTGTCACATCTGTGGAGTACCAAGCCGCTATGAGTTCTTGTTCTAACCACGTCAATTTAGAACCTGCTATCTGGATATGATGCACTACTACTTAACAGGATTTCCCAAACTGAGTTGAAACTTCTTGTTGCTGCAATTGATCTACATGCATATGTATTCACCAGTCTGTAACAGGCCAAAAATGCAAGCTCTACAGAAAGCAAACCTGGCATCTTCTGATATGACTTTTTTTTTTTTTTGAGTTCTGTGCACTTATGGATATAGTATTTTCCAACTTTTTGACAAAGGCGAAGCTGTAATCTCGACAGTGGCAGCGAGCATCTAGCCTCGTTCTAAAGCCTGCTATGCATGCAGTGGCACCAAAGTGTTGAGCAGTTTGGGAAGTTCTGTGGTGAACAAACATCGGGGGCAGTCTGCCTTGGCCGAGGCCCAGAAGGCGCCCCAGCCGACGCACGACATTGTTTGCGGGTCTCGGGTGAGGCTACTGATCGCTGGCGGCCCTCTTGCGCCACTGCCAGGGCTGTCTGCCATTGCTCCTTAGACCGGCAGTCCACTGCCAAACCTGGGACTCTGGTGTTTTAGTGAAGGATGAAACTTGGAACGGGTTGCCCGAGCAAGGGGAAGGGGCCACGTGGTCTCCGGGTGGGAGGGGGTGTGCGCTTTCAGCCTTTGTCTCGAACACCGTGTAGGCTCAAACAAGATGCACAGGGCTCTATTTTGGGGAGGGGGGTGCAGCCCTCTGGGCAGCAGTCCCACCCTAACCAGAGCGAAAAATGGAAGGTGCTGCGGTACCGCGTGCTCGCTACGGAGCTTTTATTGCCCACTTGAACTGTGACTGGCTCTGTGCTTACCTTCTTGCACCTGCTCTCTTCCCCGCGTAGATGAAGAAGGATTTTTTGGAGCTGCTCAAAGAGCAAAAGCAATTGGACAAGCACGCTCGCTGGAGCGATATCAAGAAGACCTTGGGTGAAGACCCACGTTACCGAGCTGTGGACAGCAGTTCCCAACGAGAAGAGTGGTTCAAGGAGTACACGGCCAAGCTCTCTGGAACGGTGAGCATCTGGGGCCTCTGGGACGACCGGCTTGGTGGGCTTCCGTCATGGCTGGCCGTGGTGGGCTCTTTCTTCCGCGTTTCCTCCAACGTTTTGTACATTGTTGATCAACGAGGCTCACGCATCTCTTTCTGAGCGAGCCCTAGTAAGTTTGTGCCAAAAAGCATCGTCTGCACTGCATTGCGGGGCTGTCAAGTGTGATGCTCGGTGTTGCGGTACAGGTAGCATTTGCGCACCAGAACATCATCTCTACCTCGTTACCTGCTAAGCTTTTCCTGTAGATTGCTATCGTTAGCCACGCTCTGTGGGCTCTGTGGGCTCTGTGGGAAAGTAGCCACGCTCTGTGGGAAAGTGGACACGCAGATTTTGTGTATCAACTAGAAGTATTGGACTAACTAGTACTAGAAGTGTGCCAATATTCGAATATATAAATCGAATCCCCCAATATAGGGTTACTTGAATGTCCCATGTGTTCGGCAAAAGACGCGTGGTCAGCGCGTACCAGTCTTCTCTTCTGATCCTATCATGCAGTTTTGTTGAAACGCTAGAGATGGGCGGTCAGCTGGACGGCAAACCACTGCCGCCCACCATGGTGAAAACCCTGCTAGGCCATGTCCCTCCTTGTGAGATTTGCCAGCTGAACCAAGGAAGAAATATACAAGATAGAGAGAGACAAGGAACATACACATGCACTCTGCTGGACTAACAACCATTTACTGAATAACATCTTTTCCTTTGTCGACTTTCATTTACTGAATAACTTTATTCAGCTGGCAAATCGCACAAGCATGAATAACCAACCAGCTCAGCTCCAGGCGATTACGTGTCCCACCTTAATGATCCCGAAGTATTGCACACCTCCAATAGTTGGGCAGTAAACTTTAGTTGCGGCCTATGTTTAGCTAAATGAACTTGTTTGCACGTGCCACCCACCGTTAGTCGCTCTGTTGTGGTATCGGTTTGAGGCTCGACCGCAAGAATCGGGAGATCTTAGTAGATATTTTTTGTCGGTGCGCCATTGATGCTGGGAGCCGATGACCAGCATTAGTATTATCCGACACGTTTTTCTCGCGACCTATGTGCCCTGGCGGCGGGACGGTTGGGAAAGTGAGGTGTGCCACGTTGCAGCATGGCCACGAAGGGGACGACGAGGGCAGCCGGGAGCGTGAAAAGCAGGAGCGCATCGAGGCGAGCCTGAGGGAGCGTGAGAAGGAGGTGCAGCGCACACTCTCAACGCACCTGCGTGAGCGAGACAAGGAGCGTGAGCAGCACAAGCATGACGAGGCGGTGCAGCACTTCAACGCCTTGCTCACCGACCTGGTAAGTGCACTCGCACGGCCCCGTCTCCGCCGGACTAGAAAGGGAGCAACCAGCGATTGTTGGTTGAGACCAGGGGTTCTCGAGCAACACCTACTGTACAAAGCCAAATTAAGGTCCACTTGTTTTATTTTTCTTTTTGTGCTGCTTTTTAAACATAGTTTGTTACTTGCAACATAGCGATAATGAGTGTCGACTCGTTTTAAGAGCAGATGCAGCATCCAAGGAAGGTGACCATTCGGAAAATTTATACGCATGTATCCAGTGCAGTCATTGAGCGAGTTTTAGTTCGGGTCACTAGGTACGCTGTGGGATAAATATTTCTACGAGCTTCTTTTTCACTTTAGAGAGTCGAGCTATATACAAATATTTATTCTTGGCAAGTTCTTAGGCATAGGGTCTTAATGACAGTTGAGGAACCTCTCATTCCATTTTTGGAATTGTTGCAATAAAGTAGTGTAGAAGCCTGCAGACTTGGTTAACAGCAATGCACACACTGGGGAGTGTCTGGTTTATAGTTCATATTCATAGACCTATCTAAAGCCTTCGATACCGTTCCTCTCTTTTGTGCAAACTTAATGTGATACTAAACAACCCTTCCCTCGTTAACTGGATATTGCTTTCTTTCCAATCGCTCATAGTATGTATGTTTTAACTCGTTTAAGTCTTCTATTGCCATTGTGTCATCAGGTGTCCCACAAGGCTCTGTCTCGGTCCGTTTCTTTTCTTGTTCTACACCAACAATTTACCACGTAACATCGCCACTAAAGTATGTCTTTACGCTGATGACTGCGTCCTTTACCACACAATTAACTTTCCTGAGTACCATAATTTTCTTAACAGTTCATTTGCAAGCTTCTGTACCTGGTGTAACACCTGGCAAATGACCATAAACTTTTGGAAAACTGTCTTAATGTCTTTTTCTAAGCGTACGCTCCTTTCCATGTTCACATATTCATTCAATGGCTACACATTGGAAAGAGTTTCTGAATGCAAGAGCATTGGTCTTCTTTTCTCACAAGACATGTCTTGGTCAAAGCGCATTGATTCCACCTGTAAAACGGCACTTAAAAAACTCGGCTATCTTTAACAAACCCTATGTGTTGCCCCGCAAGAAACCAAACTTCTAACATATAAAACACTAATACGCCCTATCCCCGAGTACGGTTCAATCATTTGGAATCCCTGGAAACAATCTGATATTAACAAAATGGAATCAATCTAAAAGAAAGCAGTATGTTTTATTTTATTTTGCTACGACAGAGATTTTTCCCCATCCTCTAACCTTTCTGCTCTAAGCTTGTCCTTTTTCCAATAGACGTCACACTGGGAACCTTACCGTAAAATACCGGGCAAGCGCCCACTCAAAATTTAGAGATAATCGCGAAAAAATGGGGGATGGGCGCTTGTCCGATCATCAATTTTACATATATATGTAGTGTGCACATTTTTTCATATATTAGAAATTTGGATATGGGCGCTTAATGTGGAGTGGGTATATGTGCGTTATTCTACGGTAAGTCCTATACAGTCTAGTTAACTCACCACGTCTCACCTCGTTAGACACATGCATAAGGTTTCACATAGCATCATCAACAAGAAGCCAATATGACCTAAACATTTCACCGTTTTATGCACATACTGACATGTTTACAGTTTTTTCCCTAGATCAATTGAACATTGGAATCTGCTACCCGGTAACATCCGTTCATTACCTCCAGACGAGTTTCTGTGTGTGGTTGACAGTGGTTGGCCTTAATTTACGGGTTTTTTTTTTTGTCTTATTCAATATTGAATTGTGATTCCCCCCCCACTCCTGCAATAGCCCCGATGGGGCTGCAGTATGTAAAAATAAATAAATAAATAGCCGTTCATCAAAGTGTGGCTCAGGATCTGCTAAAATACAGGTTAAGTTGGAAAAGCACTTTATTCTTAGGTGTGAAGACAATACGAGAGAATTTGTTAATATTATACTCTTGCAAGGATCCTCCCAGATTACTTGCCCCATGCAAATGATTTTTAGTTTGATTGGAAATAGTTTCGAGTGGGAAGTATGTGCCAAAGAAGCATTGGTTGTTGTGCTAGGCGGTGTGAACTGAGGGCATGCGTCCCCCGGACAGGTGCGCAACCCGGACGCGTCGTGGCGGGAGGCGAAGCGCACCCTACGCAAGGACCACCGCTGGGACCTAGTGGAGTCGCTGGAGCGCGAAGAGCGTGAGAAGCTCTTCAACGAGCACCTGGAGCAGCTGCAGCGCAAGAAGAAAGACAAGTACCGGGACCTGCTCAACGAGACCACCTCCATCACCCTCAGCTCCACCTGGAAAGAGGCAAGTGTTTGCTGTTTCCCAGTGTGTTACAGGATTCATTGCCTGTGCGGGTTGGTTGACGTCTTCAGATGCTCACTGAGGCCAAATTGGCTGCAGGTGAGCGTCAGCTGACGCCAAGCTCCGGTGGTTTCTCTGTAAGACGTCAAAAAAGTCGAAAAAGTTTTGCAAGAGCCGTCGAAAGGTCGATCTAAACATAGCTCATCTATTCTGAATGCTGGCACCATGTTGTTTGCAGGTGATGCTGTGTGTAGGCAGTGCAAGGAACATAGCATTGATGTCGTGGGTTACAGCCTGGTAAAGCGTGCCCAAAGCAAAGTCCACTTAGTGTGTGTTTTCGCATGTAGCAGTTTTTGTTTGTATCTGTGGGAAGGGCCTGTTTTCCTTCCTTGTGTTACCACCACTCGTGAACTTTGTCTGTATGTTTGGTGCAAACTTGGCCAGTACTACAACCACCTACTGTGTACTGCATTCCGCAGCATCCACTTGAACTGGAGGATCGAGCCACAGGGGCTTGCTGATAGGTTGTTGTCTGCTGTCTTGAAGCCAGGAGGATCAGAAATGAAAAACTTGCTTAAAGGGGCCCTGCAATCATATATAAGCGTCTACCTTTTTTGCGATTTCCACGTCTCTTGGGGTTCGGGCGAGCCAGCGGGCACGGAGAGAGTAACTAAATATCAGTGCGTCATATTTTAACCGGACGACGCGGAAACCTCCTCCACCGACGGGGGCGACCCGCGGTACCGAAAGCGCGCGAAATGTGACGTCTTTGGTCCTGTGCTTACTACTGGTCAGAGCCGCTAAAAGCTTCTTTTAAGTCGAAATACAAAATATAAGTGGCGCAAACTGTTTCAATTATTTATAAAAGTAGTTTTTCTTCAGTATTTTAGATCAGTAAAGAAACAAATGCAGTGTATAAAGCACGGAAACAAGAAATGACCCGTCGACATACCCGCTACCAAGCGGTGGGAAAGGCGGCGCATGTTAGAAAAGAGTAGTGGGATCAGGCGCTGACACGGAAAGGTCCCGGATGTGCGCGGCGGCGCTGTGGTCGTTTACGGACTGGAGGATCCGACCGGCTCCGAGCGTTCCGTAGGCCTTCAGCGAGTAGCTTTGTCTTGTGTTTTGGCCATTTCGCGGTACGGCAGCGCGAAGTGACTCCCATTCTGAACTGATCTTTACCCCGTGTTTGCTGTCGTTTGTGGCCAATGAAGTGTCATGCCGAATTAGTGTTTAATCGCGCAGCAAATGCAATGAGAGCCGCTCTGGCAGCCCGTTGTATACAGCCTATCCAGAATACGCTTTAGTGGCGCCCTCTCGCGCCGTCAACAGGGAGTGCGGCAGCCGTGGGCGCTCGCTGAGCTCACTATCCCTCCTCTAGCTCACGGCCGCTCAAGCAACCAAGGACGTCATGAGGGAGGATATTTTTTGCTTGTTTTTGTAATTTTAATTTGCCTATAACTTTTAAAATAAGGCGAAATTTGAGAAAAGTTACATTAAGTTACTACGGTCAGTGCGCTCAGGTTTGGTGCAAATTAAAAACCAGTAAAAAAGTGCTTGCAGGGCCCCTTTAAAACAGCTATACATAGTGTTGTGCAAATATTCGAAATTTCGAATAGTAGTTTTGAATAATACACTATAAGGTATTCACTTCAAGATGAATGCGATATTCATATTTTTCGAAGTGTTGATCATGGCAGGCCAGCCCCGTTAAGCGCGCTTCTTGTTGAGCACAGGTGCCCTGCGGAGAAGCAACCCACGAAAGTGAGCTCCACATGTGTTGCTTCTCCGCAGTTCACCGGTGCTCAGTAAGAAGCGCACTTAGTGGAGTAACCCGCCGCGATCAGCACTTGGAAAAGTATAAATATCGCAATAGACCGATCTCACTGAGCGTTCGACACGTGCGTGACGCCGCCATAACTTTAGTTCACAGGAGGCAGACGGCTGTGCATGTGAGGGCTCGTGCTGTCTCGTGCTCCTCAGGCGCAGAGCTCCAGAGGTGGCGTCAATTGTGCAGAAAGACTAAAGTTGTCCAGCCAGTCGGAGACAATGTCGTTGGTCCCGTTGGTCGCCTGGTCACACACCGGGTGTTGCAACTCTGCCCGCCCCTGCAAGACCTGCGGCCAAGTCGGGCATTCTTTGTCTAGTTAGAGGTGACATCTCGGACATGGTTGCCGTCGGAAAAGTGGTCGAGGGCAGAACTTGGAAATAGAGTTGCCTAAATGCGTGCCGACGAGCATGGTTGTGGTTCAGTGACTTTTGGACAATCAGGGGTTGCTGGAAAACATTGAGTTTGTGGAACTATTTTAGGTGTAATCAGCCAACTATTAAAATCTCTTTGCTGGTCGGTTGCCCCGGCAAAGAGCAAGTATCCACACGCGCTTTCCTCCTTGCCCAAGCTATCTCTGCCTCACATCATCTGCTCGCGCTCGGCGGCAGCGGTCTTTCGTGTGTCTTGTTCTCGGTGATTTTGCCATCGCTAGTCAGTGTTTATTTTTTTATTATTTTTTATTTGGGAAAATTGTAGACCGACACGCTGCGCAGCTCTGTCTACCAACACGGCCGGAAGGCCACGCATGTGCAGAAGCTATGTGGGCAGAAGCTGTCAGGCTCTCCGTGTTTTTGCCATTGCATTGTGTGACGTGCGCTCGCGGTTGACGGTGTAGAGATGCTTCTAGTTTCATTTGTGCATCTTATTTCCTGTCAGCATATGTCGTATGTTATGCCCGACTATTCGAGCTCGCTACCCGAGCATTGTTTATGCTAATTTTCTATCATTTATCTCTCGGTGACTTAATTTCGCTGTCTATTCAGCATTCAAAAGAAAAATAAATAATAAACCTTGAGGCAGTCTTATAAAAAAATTTTCTTGCAACCTAGAACATTAGAGGTAAACAATTTTTAAAGTGCTTTTCATTCTGTTCTTTGTGAAGTGTGTCAAAGTGTTTTATCTGAATGTGAGACTAAAAATAATTTTATAATAACTTATTTTTGTTTTTTTTATTAAAAAAATCTATTGCTGAATTTCAATAGCAGGGTTGCACTAAAACTTAACCCGTTGAAGGGTTGCAGTTTTTATTTTATTTTTTTATTGTACCTTAATTTTTTTTATAGTGCTTCACCCAGTACATATCACTCCTGAACGTCTATGTAGTAAATATCAGGGTAGTCCTACATGATGTGACATTGCAGTCTTTTCTCTTTATGGTTTTGTTAGGACAAGTTTTTCTGCCATTGAATTTACTTTTGCAGAGTGTAGACCGACACGTGGCGCGGCTCTGTTTACCAACACGGCCGGAAAGCCGCGCATGCGCAGCAGCTATGTGGGCAAAAGCGGCCAGGCTCTCCACGTTTTCGCCATTGCGTTCTATGGCGTGCGCTCGCTGTTGGCATTGTAGAGACGCTCTAGCTTTATTTGTGCGTCGTATTTCTGTCAACGTATGTCTTATGTTATGCCCCACTATTTGAGCTCGCTACCCGAGCCTGAACAGCAGCGGTATCGAGACAAACTGTGCGTGGACGGCGTTGCCTTCGACGATCCGTACGTCATAAACAAGACCTGTTCCGACGCGAAGTTGCTGCCACCAACGTTGACGGCTCACGTCGTCGTTTATTTAGTGTTTTCGCTAAGCCAGTGGCGACCGATACGGAGCAAGCGTACAGGTCTCTCGAGGCCCATGATTACTTCGAGCCGGTTTCCGCAGACTTTGGGTCTGCTTAAGTGTATTTATTTATTGATTAAATACACACAGCACCTTCGAGTCAAGGTATGATATTTAACCTACCCTCATGACCACAAGGCATGACAAGCAATAACGCTTTGTCCGTTCTGCAGTCTTGGCGGTAACACGTCACAAGTAACGGCGTTACCGGTAACGCGCTACTTTTTTCAGTAACGTAGTAACCTACTTGCTACTTTTTCAAAAAATTAACGGGTAACATATTTACTTTACTATTTCAAGTAACGGGTAACATAGTTACGTTACTCGTTGCTTCTTCTTCTTCTCAAGTCTTAAAGAAATTACACTTCCATTTTTTTCCGTGTTTTTAGGCGTGAAGCCACGTGAGTTTCCGAGTTTTCTGCGTTTTTCTTTGTATTTTTTCTCGTGAGTATTTGGGTGAAACCGTAAAAAGAGATGAAGTAGTTATTTTCAGTTTCTGCATGAACATAATGTTTCTTGAAATATGATTTTATGCATACTTGTACCATCAAAACAGTATAACGAGTTAAACCATAATTAAAAAAGTAACTTAAAAGTAACGTGCGTTACTTCTTATCGGTAACGGTAACGCGTTCCTTTTATTTTGAGGTAACGCAGGTCGGTAATGCGTTCCTTTTATTTGCAAGTAACGAGTAACGTATCTCGTTACTTGTTTTCGGTAATGCCTACAACGCTGACGCTCTGTCGCCAATCTTCTTCCGCCTGATAGCGCGGGCGTATAGCAAGCCACCGACGAGCACTTGGCCAGTGCTTTGTGCTCAAACACCGTGGGAACAAAATCCCGGTGGTTTCGATCAGACGACGGTTTTCCTGCACATAAGCAAGCCTCAGGACGGACATTGAAATGGAAGCCACACTCGCCTTCAAGAAAGTACTTGCCGCACGAGCGGTCATCCGCGCGAGGCGACCATTCTTTTCTATCCACAAATATTATCCACCTTCTGCGCCTTTCAGAGTCAACCGGGAACTTGCGGAAACCCACCCCGCTACTTTTGTTGTACCTTTCGGTGCAATTAACGGCTACACAGCTTTTAGGCATGCTGAAATGCTATGACGCCCATGCAAAACGTGCTCCCTTTTGCCCACACCACATGGCTCCGGCGCGATCGCAGCGTCGCCGCAGCTCTGCGACGTCAAGCCCGCGTGTCGGTCTATATCTTGAAAACTGTTTTGTTTGATTTCAGTCCTGCTTGCTGTAAATGATTCCTAAATGACACAACCAGAGGGTGAAACTATTTGATCATCCAAACTTTATGTCCTCTAGGTTTTGCCCCAGCGAGATAAAGTTGTAATGAAAACCAATACCCGGGTACCAGTTAACTTCATTGTATGCAAAAGATTTTTTGTGAAAGTAAAAAAAAAAAATATATGCCCACCACCTGAGCGCATATCTTGAGGCACTAGACTTAAAGTATTATCATGATACAATATGTTATTAGGTCTGCGGACCTTACATTAACCAGCAACATACTATCTTACAACTTACAAACTAATGATCAGGAAGGAAACTTTGCAGTTGCCTTTCTTAAGGGGGGACACGGGTCTTGGGGCCCAAAATATTTGCAAAAAAACGATTTTTCATTTTTATTATTTTTGAATTCTTTATACTCTCTTGCATATATTGACCAAACTTGACGCCCAAAAAATGTGTCCGTTTATATAAAAACGGTTATTTATTAGCTGAACAGGCGGGGCCCGCTCGCCAAAAATGCTCCAAACTCCTTGACATTGCACCGTCCGTCATTTCGAAACCAATCGGCAGAGCACCGCCATCTTGGTTTCGTTTCAAAGAGCGTCTCTTTGGCTTGCTTTCCCGCCAAACACGAGCGGCCTACGCCGCGCAGTAAAAAATATACAAAGCAAAACGCAAAAACGAACGAAGCTACGCTATTGGTCCTTAGCCGACACGTGACGAAATGGCCGCTTCTGGTTGGAGCACGACTACTTCCGGTTACTTCCGGTCCAAAAGTGGGCCGCGCCATCTTGTCAAAGCCGTCGCTTCGCGCTATCGTCGCTATGCCTAACCCTAGACCAAGCCCGCGTCGAAAATTTCGAACCGTGCATAAGTTCGGAAAAAAGCGCAAGAAATGTGCGACGCGTCGGCAGGAAGGGTTGTCGCAATCAACGGTGACGATCGAAGATCCCCTCGCAATGACGGAAAGCCAGCCGACGACAGAACGTGAGCCGGCGAGCGAGACGGCTGCCGCGTCGGCGGTTTCGGAACCGCCCGTCTCCCCCGTTCCGGACAGCGGAGGCAGACGCACGAGGATCGACTCAACGTTCCTTACAAGTAAAGATCGCGAAGTTCTCCAGCGGCAAGCAGAAAAAAAAACCGCCGAACTTTCGTCGACTTCTGCTACAGATCGCAAGATGAAGATGCTCGCGACTGAGTGTGATGCTGCTCCAAGTTCATCACCCCTGACATACACGATCGTCGATCTTGACGCAGTGAACAGTTTACTGGGACTTACTGCGTGCCGGGTGTGCCGCGGATCAGTGAGCATTGAAAGGGAGACGCATGAATTCGGGCTAGCTGTGAAACTGAAAATGCACTGCAGCAACTGTGGCGATATTGGATCCGAATGGAGCTCGCGACGAGTCGGGGGCGAAGCGAACTGCAACCCCTTCGCGATCAACCTCCTCGCGGCGCGTGCTATGCAAGGCAGTGGAAACGGTCAAACGGCACTAAACGACATTTTCGCTGATCTGGGAATATCGCACAGAGGTCTCCATAATAAGACCTTCCAACACTACCTGAAGACAAAGCTACACCCAGCAGCTAAAGAGGCCTGCAAGAAGTCTCTGACCAAGTGTGCAACTGCAGTGAAGGAAGTGTATGAAGAACTGAACTTTGGAAATCCGGGGAACATTGCCATTTCATTCGATGGGACATGGCACACAAGAGGACACTCATCCCGCATAGGGGTGGCCACAGTGATTGAGCTGTTCTCAGGCTATGTTCTGGACTACGTTGTGTTGTCGAATTTCTGTCTTGGCTGCGAGTGTGGGCCACAACCAGGGAACCCAGAGTACGATGAATGGAAGGCTCGGCACTTGTGCCAGAAAAACACGACATGCAAGGCAGGTCAGATGGAGGTTGAGGCGGCACTGATTCTTTTTCAGCGCTCGCTCTCCCTCCACGGCCTAAGGTATACGACAATGCTTTGCGGCGGCGACAGCAGATCTTACCATGCCATCGAGGAAGCCAAGGTGTATGGTTATATTGAAGTAGAAAAAGAGGACTGCACAAACCATGTGCAAAAGCGCATGGGAACTGCACTCCGCAATCTCGTGCAAAAGCACAAGCAGGACGACGGAGGGCGCATCAGTGGCAAAGGACGACTCACTGGAGACCTTATCAGCAAGTTGACCAGCTATTACGGCTGGGCGCTCAAGTCACATGCTGGCAACGTAGACCGAATGCACTCAGCAGTGATGGCCACCTACTACCACATCACTTCAACTGACGAGAAGAAAAACCACAGTCTGTGCCCGAGTGGTGTGGATTCATGGTGCAAGCACAATGCTGCCACTGCAAAGGACGAGCCCCCACCAAAGCACAGGTACAAGCTACCAGACAACGTCAGCAATGCACTACTTCCAGTGTATCAGCGTCTTGCTGACAAAAGGCTCCTGCGGAGATGCCGAAGAGGCAAAACTCAGAATGCTAATGAAGCACTGCACTCCGTCATCTGGAGCCTAACGCCGAAACACAAGCATGCATCACTGTTTGCTGTGGAGACGGCAGTCGCGGATGCCATCATGCGCTTCAATGTCGGAAAGCAGCAAGCTACCTCGAGCATCCTGCAAGAGTTGCAACTTGACCAAAGCTGCAAGGGCGGTCAGCGGGCAGCGGAGAAGGACTGTCACCGCAGTGTGAGGGCAGCAAGGAAGCGTGCAGCCTCGGCAGCTTTCCAAGCGGCAGCAAAAAGAAGGCAACGAGGCAAGCCTCACGGAGATTACTCCCCGGGAGCATTCTGAGCTGCCTGCATGTTTTCTGGGCGTGTTTTTCATTATATTCATTGATGTGTCTATGGTCGTTTGTTTTTTGTGTTTTTCTCAGATAAAGGTTTTTGTGGCATGCAAGTTTTGTGCAAGTCGTAACTTCTCTCCTACTCACTGGATTCTCATCATTTTTGTTTTGACTGGGTGCTGGCTGTGCAAGGAGTGCAATAAGGGTATAACATTGTGACTCTATGTACCAGAATATATTGTAAATTTGAGAAAACAAAAATATAAAGAATGAGCACTTATTGAGTCATGGCTTCGAACTTCCATAACTTTGGATAGAATAAAGATAAAAAAGTAAAACCTCCCTTGTTGCACTCCTTGAACATTCAGGAACATACACATATATGTTTCAGACATTTCTCTGCTACATGTACTTTCCTAGCCTTCTCACAATTGCACAACTGGAGAAAGGCTCTAAAACCTGACCTACTTTGTCTAGAAGAAAAATAATTGCTTATTTGAAGTCAGTCCACCAAGTTACATGTAGCCTGAAAGTTATTTCTTTATACCCAGAACGCTTGAGCAATTTTTGCTCAAGCCCCAGGTCTCCCCTTAACAAACTAGAAAAGTGGTGCCAATTTTATTACCCTAGCTCTAGTATTTATAAAGTAGTTCTCCAAACTCAAGTGTGGCCTTAATGCAATACTTATTTTGCTGTGCACCTCTACTAAGAGTATCCCCTGCATGGGGACTGAAATATTTACTAAATACTTTTCCGCGTTGTTCACCGTTTGTGGTTCTGGCTCTTGCTTGGATCTGGGGGATTTCCATCTTTAAAAAAAACTGAGATGATCGAGCGGTTCAGTCACGAGTCCAATGTAGGTCAGTCGCAGACGACTTGCGCGAAGGGGATTTGTTTGTTTTCTGTTGCTTCCCAGACAGTGTGCTTTGGTGGCCCAGACCAGTCACTAAAAGTGCTTTGACCCGCAGGTGAAGAAGATGATTCGAGACGACCCCCGGTACAGCAAGTTCTCGTCGAGCGAACGCAAGTGCGAGAAGGAGTTCAAAGAGTACCTCAAGGACAAGATGGCAGCCGCCAAGTCGGACTTCCGGGAGCTGCTAAAGGAGACCAAGACCATTACATACAGGTGGGGAACCGGGCTCCTGGTCGGGGCCGGGCTGACCGGGCACCCCTCTCGTGCAGGTCCAAGAAGCAGATGGAGGAGTCTGAGCAGCACCTACTCGACATCCAGAAGGTGCTTGAGGTAGGTGCACTGCTCGAGTGGTGTTTCTTCTGCTGCGTTTGTCCGCAACACAATGCCGTGCACACGGAAGTGGACTTGCATTGGCCAGTGCACTGTGTTCTTCCTCACTGCCATATGGTACTGTCAAATGTGCACCATGTTGTGCATTAGCCACTATGTTTTGCCGGGCTCGTATAAACATAATGAAAGCTTTCAAAACCCCATGGCAAAACACATTGCAGTCTGTGCCAACACCTCATTCCCGCACCAGGAGGCCTGCTATGCAATAAAGCAATTCCACGAGTGTAATCGTAAGGAAATCCCATACAGTTTGAGATACATTTTTAAAATGCCAGCGAAATCTGTAAGCAAATGAACCATATAAGCTAAAATTCAAAGTTTTTGGGTAAAAAAAAAAAAAAAAAAAATGAAAAACTTGTGCTGGTGACATTTTCACCCATTTAGGGGGGGGGGGGGGGGGCGCGGGTCTTTGGTGCCAAAATATCTTTACAAATTAATTTTTGTTTAAATCATAATTTTGATATCTACAGCTGTCTTGTTGAGACTAATTTTATGGTTCAATGTTGGTGCCATAATATCAATATACAGGGTGTTTTTTTTTAAGCTTTGCAGATTTGTTTTAAAAATGCTGTGAAAGTTACACTTATGCGGCTTGTGGAGGCGAATTATACGGCCAGGGGTACATTATGTTGGTGGCTAATCTTTGCAAAAAGTCGGCTAATTAATTAAAATTAATTAATTCTTAATTAGTGAAAATAGACATATGGTTACAATTAGAAACTTACTGAGCGTCATCGAAAACCACTATATCAGCTCTTTTTTAGAACGACTTGAAGCTTGTGGGAAACTCGGGGGCGCACCAAAGTTACCACTCATGCAGCAGGTGCAAAGCTAGCAGTGGCAGAACGTGACGATAATCGAATCATCTGCGTTCCTCAACTGCTAGCCTTGTACCTGCTCCACGAGTGGCAACTTTAGTGCACTACTACGTTTCTCACGCGCTCAGTCTTTCTGAAAATTGCTGATTAAGTGGTTTTTGATGACGCTCAGCAAGTTTCTAATTGGAATCATATGTCTATTTTGACTAATTAAGAAGTTAATTAACGAATTTTAATTAATTAGCCAACTTATCACAAAGATTAGCCAACCACATAATGTCCCCCTGGCCGTATAACTCGCCTCCACAAGCTGCATAGTGTAACTTTCACGGCATTTTTAAAACAAATCTGTAAAGCTTTAAACAAAAAAATTGCGATGGCTTAGCTCGGCTATGCCAGGATATACGTAGCGTGAGCTGATGCGCACAAAATGAGGCGCTATCAAGCAGCTCCGGTGCAGCGTCAGACTTGGCTACTGCGCAACGGAGGCACACAGCTGGGAACGCGGCGGCGCCAATGCGTCTGCCGCGGCTATAACGTCACTCCTCTGGAATGCGAAGATTGGCGAGGCGCGCGCGGTGGCGGCGGAGGCTCCGGCACGCCAGCTGTGCGCCGTGTGACGTCACTGCTCCTCGTGCTTGCGCAGACCGGCGAGGCGCGCACGGTGAGGGCGGCTCCGCCCCACCAGCTGTGCGCCGTGTGACGTCACTGCTCCTCGCGCTTGCGGAGCACGGAGCACGGCTCATTATGCGAGCCACGCGAAACTGCTCAACCTCGGCCAGTGTAGCTTTTTGTGGCATCTAATGGGGGGGGGGGGGGATTTGTTGGCGAGCTTTGAACTTCAGAACGTGCAGGAGTTTATTGATTTTAAAGTATTGGACGTTGTGGGACAATTAACTAGTATTGGCAATGGCAAGAGTGCCAATGCCAAATTCAGCTGAAGAAAATTCTTCATACCAGTGAATTCTTATGAATTTAGGGTGTGGTCGTGTCTTATTTATTTTTATTTTGAACTTTTAAGGCATTATTTATTTTTATTTAGAATTTTTAAAAATTGGGAACACGGAAAAATTTAATCCCGAATTTCGTAAAGTTAGAAATCTGGCTAGAATAAACTGTGCTATACCCTGAATGTTTGAAAAGAAAGAAATTAGAAAAAAACGCCTTCCCAATTTCATACAAAATAAACTCCGAACACTGAACCGTGCTTATAACAGAAGGATGGAAGTGATATCTTACTCTGGCTTATTCCAGTAACTTAAGTGACTGGCACAAAGTGGAATCCTCTCCGACAAAACTTGTAAACAAGTATCAAGATATTGCAGCCGCATTTTATCTCTTATAGGAACCTTATATGAAACCAGGTGGCATTGGCATGCTGCTTTTTTTCTGACCAGCCTCCGCTATTGAGGAAAATTCATTCTTTTCATGAAAAAAAAAAAACAAAAAAAACATCAACTTTTGTGCAAGTTACCTTAGGAACTGCCTCGACCTAAAAACATAGGAGCTCGGTCTGAAAAGTGGCAGTATCCCATTCTTTTGGGGTTAACCAGAAAAAACAGGATGGGTCCAAAGCGTCCTGGAAGGGGATATTTTTCGTCTCGCTGCCTGTGTTCTATCAGAGTAAAGTACTTTAAAAGACTATTTTTGCGAATTTGGAGAAGTGTGGTTTACGGGAATATATCGTGGGTATGAAATGTCGCGGATCGGGGTGGTGCTATCGTGCATTTGCTATCGTGCAAAAACATATTTGCAGAATCTATTTTTTGCGTTATTCAGGTTGCGAAATTTGGGTCCTCGCGAAAATGAAGTCGTTTATCTTGTTAAACTTTTCCAGCCGCACTTAATTAGTTGTGGTTGGACATCAGCGCGGAAACAGAAGCATGATATAGAGCCGTCCTTGATGGCAAGGTGCTATAATGCTGGCTTAGATTTGGATTCCGCTGCATCCCATTGCTCCTCAAAACATGCAAAGCCATACATCTAAATCCAATCCAATTTTATTTTGTCATGAAACAAATAGACCTTTCTGGAAAATCCCACATTGCATTTTGCGGCGAGGGGAATTGTGGGGTTCAGATGTACACATCGCGACACTGTTAGCGCGAACACAACGTCGGCGCCTTTTCGCATTTTACTTCTAAATGGTATTAGCGAGCACGAAATTTTATCGCTTACATTATAGAACTAAATGAGCTCTTTCCGTAGCAATATTAACTTGGATGACATCCCTTGGTTTCAAAGAGAAATTTTGAAAAACCGGCGGTCGCTTGTTCGCACTAACAGTGTCGCGCTCTGTACACTCTTGCTGACTCGGACGCTTCTTAGATCCTGGAGCTGGCATGGTTCATTCCATCTCTTCATTGAGACCTCAGAATGCATGAAAAGTTATTAATACTCTGTTTTGCTTTTTTTTTTGCTTTTTTTTTTTCTGCCATTTCTGCATTCCAAAATCACGTTTTAAACCAACATCAACTTCTTCTTCTATTACTGAATAATTTCAAGTGTCGCACATAGGAACATCACAATGCGGCAAGCACATGGTGGGGATGCCACATATTTCTGGAAAGTATATTACATGTTGTCAAGAGGACAGACAAAAAACTAAAAAGGTGGCTTATTTGGGTCTGTGCCTCTTATGAATTCACATGTTACAGTATAGTATCAATAAAAAGAAAAAAGAACTGCCTTTGCTGTTATTAGAATTACGAACAAAATTAATCACTCTGCAAAACTGAATTGGCCCACATGTTTCACAGAGCACCGAAATTTGTTTTTCATTTCTATGTTTGCGCACTTAGCAGCTGCAGAGCTCTCAACTAATCATTGTTGCCTTAGTACTAAAAGTGTCAGAGTGGATAGTTTTCAATTAATCACTGTTGCCTTAGTACAAGTGTCAGAGTGCTCATTCAGGACATCTATCTTTTCTTTTTGTACATAGCGTCATGGGGCTTAAACTGAAGCCAGACAGAAAAATAAACACACTTGCACACTGTATGTATGTAGGTTTGTAGTGTGTGTGTCAGACCTTTTGCACGAGCGTTTTCACCTTTCCTTGGTCTTGTTTTTAATTGTTTGCGATTCACCAGGTCGCTTGTGCTCTTGCTGCTCTTTCAGTGCAGGGTGTCGTCTGCATCTGTTGGCTCTCATGTCTCCACGCCTATGTTTCTTCGTGGATTGATGAAATCATTTGAGTTTAGTTTGTTTTAAAGTATATAAAATGTTTCTCATTCGAGGGCACTAAAAACGTTTTCAGTATGAAATGTCATCCTGTCTGCATTTTTAAGTTACCGTCCGCTTTCTGTCGTTTCCATAAGCATTGACCTCGTACGCCACAATAGCGTTTACATTCATTTGGCAATAAATTAATTTTGACAATGGATTTAAGGCATCGGGATGATTTTGGATTTTGGCAGCGTGCGGTAGCGGTCTTCAGGGACGAAGGTCTGACGAGAGCGTCACCTTGGCTAAAGCATTTATCGACCGTCACTTTGGCAATAAGTTCAAGCGTTTATTCTGAAGCTCAAAAAAGATTCATGTGGAACTGCCAGTCCAATGTCCATTCTCGGCGTCTTTCCCCAGGTCTTATCAGTGGGCAGCCACAGATACCAGTGGACAAAGCATGCTATACTGTGCTCAGCTATGTGGGCGTGCGAGGGCCGATGTACCAAATCCTAGACATCCAAGATGTATCGGAGTCGTCGGACTGCTTCCCAAGGTTGTTGAAGGCGGGGGATAATACGAGTGTTAATTCTTTCCCCTAATCTTTTTTAAAAAGAATATCAACATAGTAAATATCCACGTAGTATCAAAAAGAAAACTGATGTGCCAGTCTTTGAACACTTACCACAGTGAACCAAACTTGTGCGAGAAGGTGCTTAAAAAGCTTTTGAAAGGGTCCATATCACAAGAGCGAATGACATTTTAGCGAACGGCGACATTTGAGCGAATGGTCGTTTTAGTGAATAACGGGGGCGCGCGTTAACCCATCCGTCGCGCTGCGCTTTACGCCGCTTCGCGGCGACAGTCTATGGCAACTCATTACAAAAATATGAACTCACTTGGCCCACCCGAAAACGCTGCTTCGCGGCGTCCGACTATTCGCTAAAGTGTCGTTCGATGAAACGTGGGCGTTCGCTATAACGTCATTCGATCAAGTGAGTGCCTCCCCTTTTGAAATACAATATTTGAGCTAATTCCTACCCTCCATTAGCATCTCTTCATCTGCCATGGGTACATTATTTTAATCAATGTGAGGAAATGTAACCTGTTTGGTATTATCGTTACACTTGGCAGACAATTGAGCAAGAGCTCCGAGGAGTGACATTGCAAGTGTCTGCTTCTGCACAGACTTCGGAGTCGGTAATAGGTTTCGAGGAACTGGGTTTAAACTCGTGTAGAACTGATACGAATCGAATGTGCCAGTTCCTGCACTGCCAAACTAGTTCAGTCAAATTGAACAGAACCTGCTAATACCCTTGTCGTGCATAGGCTTTTTTTTTTTTTCCTCAGTCTGGTGTATACACCATGGCCAAGTTAGTGCACAGTGCTGCTTCATTTTACTTGAAGGGAGTACTGGCAAGCACTAAATAATACGTGTGAGGTTGCCACGATATTAAAGATTTTGATGACTAGTAAAAAAAAAAAAAAAGTGCATCCTATTTTGTTTGCAGTGAAAGTTTACCCTACTGCATTTTCACCCACAGGCTGTGCTCCGTGCATATTTGCAGCTCCTCGATCTACCGGTGATTGCATGTAACACATTGTAGCCACTTTTTATTGTAAGAGCAGCCACTGAAGCACTCTTGCTGGCCTTGCAGAAGGACAAGCGCTACCTGGTGTTGGGCTGCATTCCGGATGAGCGGCGCAAGCTGCTCACGGCCTACATGGAGGACTTGGACCGCCGGGGTCCGCCCCCACCCCCGACGGCATCAGAGCCCACCCGGCGCACCAACAAGTAGCCGGCATTTTAGACACGAGCCTCATGCACACCCACAGGCTGCCCCAATAAATCGTTTCATTCACCGCACTCGGAGGGACTTTATTGGAACTGACTAGTAGGCAGCAGTTGCCAACACGCGTTAAAATACACCAAAGCCAAACAGAACTGAAGCAGAAAGAACCTAGCGATTTAAATAGAGTTATCAGCACCAGGAGAAGAAAGGGGCCTTATTCTGGAAGCTCTGGATGAAGTTATCATTAAGGGAGCGGATGCGGTCCCTGGCACCCGGGCGGCGACTGCTGCGCTCCACAATGACGGCTGGCAGCTGCACCAGCTGCACAGGCGACTTGCCGTCCTTCAGGGCCTGGTTCAGGTTCAGGATCTGAAAGGCCCATAAGCAACTTTCTTCAGTATACAATCGTTGACGGGAAATGCTCTATGCATTACACGGTAAAACCGAGCAACTGGATTGGCTAGATCAATCGCAGTTGGAACGAAATCTGGCATTGCGTTCCTTTTTTCATTGGGCCGGGTTTATATTTACACTCATTAATATTTGCATGCCCTTTGGGTTCACAAATTTTCCATGTTGCAAAAACTAGGGGCGTGCAAAAATAAAGAGAAAGGGATTTTTTTTTTTTTTTTTTTAAATGCGATTTTGCTGCGTAATGGAAAGCAAAAAATTGGACTATTCCGCAATTTACAGCCGCGAGTGGCTGACATCAAATGGGTATCTTGCAATAAGTTGGCAAGATGTGGCATTACCTACTCAATCTAAGGCTATCTCTCAAAATATATTTTCAATGAGTAAATACATCAAGGTTTTTTTGTTTTTTTTTATTTTACCAAGATTTAGTGGCACTACAGTTGTGCCTGTTTATAATGAACCTTGATACAGCGAATACCATCATATCAAACGCCCAAATATTAGAAATGAAGATGCATATAAAAAATACTTCTATAACAATCTATTGGCTAAATCGAACTTTGAAACAGAAAACGGCCATTGGAAACGCGCAAACGCATCCTTTCTTTTAAAGGGTAACTGCAAAGAAAAAGTTTTTTAAACAGCCTAATTGGGACAAGCATGTCACAAAACAAATCTTCCGCGAAAAAAACACATTTTTTCTTGCAATATTTACGCCACAGGACGTAATTTAGTCGGGGTCAAAACTTCTCCACATTTGAAACTACCGCTCTTTCGACGCGCGCGGAGTGGCTGTTCTACGTCACCGACGTATAGCAGCCACTCCGTGACGTATAATACCAACTTTGTAGAGCGCGATTTAAAACGGACGAAATAGCCGCAAACTAAAATCAGTCTCGCGCAATAAATATTGATGTAAAAAATTTTGTTTTTGGCGGAAAAATTGTTTTGTGACATGCTTGTCCCCATTGGGCTGCTTAAAAATACACTTCTTTTCCTTTGCAGTTACCCTTTAAGGGAAAAAAGAAAAAGCTCTTGTGCTGTTTGCTGCGCGGATGCGCAATGGTTTTCAAGCCAGTGGAATGACTTCTCCGCTGGTGCCCGAGGCCCTGACTTTAGATTACGGCGCGTGGACGGACGTCCCGACCTCTTTAACAACAGCAGACTCGACCAGCTTTAGCATTAATCTTGTAGGAGTTTACTACGCATAGATGCGTGACAAGAGAGCCTCGTTTCCAGTCGCACGAAGCACCATGGCATGCTTCTCTACGGTTCCGCTAATTTCACTCAGATCTTGGCATCAAGGGAAGAAAATCTCGTCTTCAAGAATATTCCTGCCATACTTCCAGCCCTAAACCAGGCGCTTGTGGCTCGCTCGTAATTGGTGCGCCTCGCGCAACTTGTCGGGGAAAGGTTAACTGAATTTTATCTACTTCGCACAAGTCTAGATGCTCCAATCCAGCAAACGTCCACGCAGAAGAAACAGTGTAACTATAATTGCTTCCTGTTTTACCTATTAGCCCACAAAGTGCATCCTCAGTTAAGTTTTCTTGAATTATAAACTTTTTTTTTTTTTTTTGCGATCCACTGAAGTATTTACACACAAGTGTTTAGTGCACATTTAATGTCATAACATATTTCAAACTCCTATCATTCAAATTCACTATATGCGAGTTTCGCTATAACAAACTATTTTGATATATCAAACTAATATTCGCATCCGAAAGAGCTTTTGAAGAACAGGTTTGATTCTATCTGCCCAAGGTGAACAAAACCATCCCTCATTGCTCGCTACTACGTCTTCCCTACAAGGCACAAGCTTCAGCCCCCTTCCCTCTCCACAATTCTCGGACCGTCCCTCAAGGTAGCCATTTGTGTCTATAATCGCAAGCAGAACCCAACTGAAAACTTCATGTTCCCGGAGCACCCAAGTTACGTTGTTGTGCACGATTCGGAAGACGGAGCACGAGTCGAGATGCAGCAAAAACTTTTATCTGTGCCATCTTTTAAAAATAAGGACTAATACACGCAGGCAAAAGTGTTGCACGGCCCCTAAACAAAGCTAGAGCGATAGGTGGGACGCTGCAAAACCCAAAGACACGACTTGCATAGCAGTATCTCTAACGCAGGGGTTCTCAAACTTTTTCATCCCGAAACACCCCCAGAAAGCCTGAAAAAAGGCCCCTCCCCCCCCCCCCCCCCCTTTTTTGTTGCCAACCAAAAATACTGGGCAGTAAAGGCATTTAGAGAGTAAACAAGTTTATTGCTCTGACAGAATAAGGCAAAATGGAGGGTTACAGACAGAATAAGAAGGCAGAGAGGTTAACCTGGGGCACCAATGTAAAATATATACCTACTAGTGCGAAGGGCGAGGTTGCTTTGTCCGCCACACAAACTCAATCCATGGCTCAGTCCGTGGAAGGTTTAACTAGGGGGGTGGGGGGGCACTGCAATTTGGTGCTCGCGGAACCCAATTTGAGAACCCCTGCTCTTGCGGATGGCCGTATTTTTGGAAAAGTGTGCAAATGAACACAACCAACGAGACATGCGACGTCTCGATTCTCATTCCTTCCGCTTCGCTTCGTCCCCTGGAGCTGGTGAACCAAAGCGAGGCCACCTCCCCTCATTCTCAACTGTGCCAGGAGGATTGCACCCTTTTCCAGAAATGTGGCCATCCGTTTAAGATATTGATGTACGAGTAATGCTTTGGAGTTCGTAGTGTTTCCCATTAAATGCTTCTGAGGCCTTATTTTGCAAACTCCACATTTCGGTTCAGTATCCCTATAAGGGTTTTACAGTATCTTCCTAGATGAAGTAAATTGAGTACACACTTTACTGCTCATAAGCTTTTGACATTCGTAATGCAGATTCTCAAGATGTTATAATATGCATTTCTTTTTCTGGAATGAAGAGAAAAGGCTCCTTTTCACCCGTTTGGCTTTTAGGGATGCCAAAACAAATACGTGATGCACTCTACATCAATAGAATAGACCCTTTGCAAAAATCCCAAAAGCCCGTGCGCGCCGTGCGACAAATAATGGGAGACCTCGGCACACCCCTCCTCCCGCTACCACATGACCACGTGGCATACGCGAGCAGGCTCAGGTTACCACAGCAACAACTTTTGAGCAGCTGAGTTGGGCGAGCGACGAGCAAACGGCTGCCCCTTTCTCATTCCTCTCCTTTGTACCGGCTTTATCGTGTGCTGCACCAACGCTTTGTCGAACCTGGTCGAAACCTGCCACGGTTGCGGTGCAAACTAAATGGATTCGGTGACACTTCAATACATGAAGGTAAGTTACGACGAATAACGTATTAAAATAAGTTCACCTTTTTGCTGCCACAGATACGGTACACCGACAACAAAGTACGACTCGGCGGATGGGCGGGATGGCTGCTAACGGTAGCTGCCGGGACGCGCGCACAGTCACAACGAGAAAGCGCGTGATCTGTACCGAGGGTTCCCGAAATTCCCTGCCGTCGTGGCGCTGTACGTTTTGCAACAGGTCTATTGGCTTTGTGTAAAGTATTGAGGTAAGTTCTAATTTTTTTGAGTGGCCTACGATGAGCTGCTGCAGCTGCTATAAAAGGTACCATGACATGATTTTCCAAATTTTTCTAAATAGTGACTCCAACCAACCTTGAATGTTCATAGAACAGGAATCTGTTTTCGCTTCAGTCGTTTCACTTTTTCAAAAAAATATAATGAAAACCCAAGTTTGCTTTTCTCAACTCAACAGACAAACGAGAAATCACTTGGTCATTATGTAGTATATCACCGAAACCGGAAGTTCTCCCAGCCATCTGCTCCTTGAATCTCGTGCAGTTGCTATATATGTTTACAACGACAGCCCTCCCAGCCTTCTTGCCGACACCTGGCCAGCCTGATTAATTTTGCTTTCATTGACGAAAATAAATGTCAGATTGTCAACTTTGACTGTGTCGGTTGCTTCCACCGTGCTTTTCACGCACACCATTGAACTTGTCGTTCGCAACTGATGAGAAGTAGATGAGGCATGGCTCCGGACAGTGTTAGAATCTGGAAAATTCCTACCACGGCACTCTGGCCACAAACGCGAATCAGAATATTCACCAACAGATTGAATGATGACAAAAGCATACGTCCGAATGACTCGGTGCTCGTGCCCAATACGTCGACTGGATTAGAGTGACTTGCTTGGGAACAGCAGATGCATCACACTGAAAAGGCGGAGAGCTTTCCGAAGGACAAAAGGCAAGAAACAGTATGCTTTTATTTTCAGAATTCCGTACTGAACACCAGGCTTTGACGCACTATCCCTATGTATTAGTTTTCTTTTGACCCACTAAACAATATGTAAATACTAGTAAGATCCTAATCCCAAAACCATTTCATGCTTAAAAATAACCGTGCAATAATTTTTTAATTGGTTCGGTTAAATAATTGGAGTTGCTCCCTGTCACGTCTAGAGTAAAAAACTGAAAACCAATTTTGCCTGCGTGCATTAATCCTTGCTATAAAACTTGTCAAAGATTGAAGCTTTGGGCGCCTCCCAACCGCTCAGCTCCTACGTCTTCCAAGTCGCGTGCGCAGTGACACGTAGCTGGGTGTACTGGGGACACAGAGTTTCCGGACAAGTTCTTTCTTCATAGCCTCCAGCATGCACTGCCGGTGCTGTCTCTTCAACTACCAACTGTGGCGCAGTTAGCGGAGCAATAGAAATCACTGACCATTCGCAGCGTGCCAAGGACAACTGCAAATCACAAAATATTCCTGGTTTTTGCTTTTCTATTACAATGCGGAATCGCAATATTCTAAAACAATTAGTCTTGTTTTCTATCCCTTTGCTCAAGATACACAATGTGAAAATTACATGCTGTAAATTCTGTTAAAGTTAAAATTGTTTATGGAGAGCAGCAGCGGTTTGTAATCGACGTCTTCGGAGAGGCACGGGGACCATGGCTTCCACCTAAATTGTATCTCGCAGCGTAAATTTTGCACTAAAATATTTTTTGTGGGAAATTTTTACTCAATGCTTACTTAATTTTATTATTATGTTTTATTGTTTGTGTCTTTTTAAATGAGTCAGGTGAGCTCAGTCGAGTTGAGCCAACACCACCTGAGAGAAGGCCGTATGCTGAATTTTCAATGCCGCCTAAGGAAGCAAACACAGGGTAGGGACTGTACACGAGTATTGCATCAGCGTTCAGCCGAGACTTGTCTTGGATCGTGAGGACACGCGTCTCGGCTGAACACAGACGCAGCTCATATCCAATCTGTACCCCGCGTTCGCCCCCTTAGGCGACGTTGAAAATTCAGCACTACGGCCTTCTCAAGATGTTGGTCGAGCTGTCATTAGTGGCTTAACGACGATTTGCGCCGCCGCGCAACTGCAGTCGATCGCGACCCGAGTCTACTGTACCGGGGCATAACTCCGCCCGGAAGCAGAGCTGCGGGAAACCACGGCGGCCAGGGGCGACCCACCTGTCCCCGCATGACCGACATCTGCTTCTCAAACAGGTTGCCGTCGAAGCCCGGGTCCCTCTTGAACAGAACGTGCAGTTCGTCGCACATCTCCTGGACGAAGTTCATGTCCGACAGCTGGGGCAGCACCAGGTCCCTCGTCTCGGCCGAGAAGGGCACCTTGGCCATGGGCAGCCAGGCCCAGTGGTACGGGTCTGTCGCAGAGCAGTTACCGGCAGGCATTCCCCTCGGCCCCTCGCTCCACCCCAGATCACGGGATCCCCTTTCGACCACGTCGGTGCGGTCAAAGCCACGAAAAGAGGTCCACCCAATTTACGTTTTCAAGTTGTAGACCACTGAAGCAGCCGAGGCAGTAAAGCGACTTATTTCCTGCCTGTTGAGGATTGTGTGCCTGACCATTTCCCCTTCTCCTTACTTAATGACTGCGCTCAAGCTTTTCAGACACCCTCTCGGATAGAAATTTATGCTAAATTAATTTAAAAAAGGTTTATGAAATTGTTTTAAATGTTTTTAAAGAAATGACATAGTGCACCCTTTTCACAGTGTTTGGCAAGGTTTGCCACTCTGTACTGTGTAACCTAATGCAGGTTTCTTAATACACATATAAATACAAGCTTTTATACCAGAAAGAGAGTTAAGCACATTTTTGAATAAACAACAGTTTAAAAAAATCTTGAAAGTTCAAAATTGATTTGTCTCAAACGAAAACAATATCAAGAATCCTAATATTTTGTATTAAAGTTTGAATCTTGTCATGTGAGTCACCTGCAAAAATATGAAGCATGATCGAAAGGTTCTGAGAGTAGTCCAAGACTATATACAACCAAGGACTTGCTTTACTTCTGTTTAACCCTTTTCCCCTGACCAATGTCTGGTCAGCTTCTTCAAACGAAAACAATCAGTCTGAAGTTTCTGTTAGGGTATGATGATTTTAGTGCGAACAGCGGTTGGCTCCAGCACAATGGCTCCAGGTAAAGAGGCACCAGCCCAGAATCACGTCTTCAAATAAATGCAATAATGGATCCAACTAACGTCATTTTTCGTGTTGCAAATTGATATCCTCATGTTCCGAACTATTTTTTAAATGCTGCCTAGTGACAGTTAAAGATCTCTCGGTCTGCGATAGCTCGTTCTTATGTCTTAGTGCTGTGCACGTTCTCGCACGAGCTGGATTGCGGGAACGTTCGCATAAATTTTTGTGTGCACTCTCATAACGAGTAACGCCTACAGCGAACAAATTTCTGCTCGTGATGCTAGTTCGTTATAACTAGGGTTCGGAGTTTTCGGTTTATACCGATAAAAGTATGCCGAATCCATTTTCGGAAATTCGGTTTCTACCGAAAAAGGTCAGTTTGTAGGTTCGGCGTTTTCGGTTTAAACCTATAAAAGTATGTCTAATCCGTTTTCTAAAATTTTGTTTTAACCGAAAAAGGTCAGTTTTTTAGGGCCGCGTCGAGGTGGTTAGGGGAGGGGGGGAGGGAGGGGGGCGGGGGAGAGAGAGAGAGGGCTTTGCAAGGTTCGACATAGCGTGAAGCCTTTGTGATTGCCCTCTTCCAGGGTTCAACATGCAATAAAAGAGGTCTTGGATTGGCGTTTGAGGGACATCTGTGTCCTTTCTGTGATCGGGCTTAGTGTGTCAAGTTCCCGGTCTTAAAAAAGAAGTTTGGATGTGGGGCCAGTATAATATTTTTCGCTTCATGCACTTCAGGGGACATCGAGGAAAGCCGTTAATACCTTTCTTAACACCCTCTCTCAAACTTTCTTGTAGTTAAAAACATAAATACAATGGATTTTTTTTTTTTTGCCATTTGGCTGGGCTTGTACGGTCATCACATCAGACGGTCACGTCGTCAGAATGGGAAGGGAAAAGAAGCGTGCTGAAGATTATGCTCGCAAATTCCGTGATTTTGAGGTGTGTCCTGACGGAAGTTGTAGCGAAGACCATGTATGTATATGTGCCGTTATTATTTGAGTGATCATAAATATTGCAGCTACATGGATCATTTGATCCGGTGTCCGATGATGTTTCTTTCATATTCACAGAAAAAAAAAACGGTAAAGTTTTCTGAAAATAAATATACACCGAAAAAAAAAAAAATTATTTAAAATAAACACTGAAAAAGGTATGCCGAATTTTGAAAAAATAAAAACCGAAAACGCGGAACCCTAGTTATAATGAGGTTCAACTGCACTTAAAGGGGCCCTGCAATCATATTTAGGCGTCTACCTTTTTTACGGTTTCCACGTCTCTTGGGATTCGGGCAAGCCAGCGGGCACGGAGAGAGTAACTAAATATCACTGCATCATATTTTAACCGGACGACGCGGAAACCGCCTCCACCGATGGGGGCGACCCGCGGTACCGAAAGCGCGCGAAATGTGACGTTTTTGGTCCTGGGCTTACTACTGGTCAGAGCCGCTAAAAGCTTCTTCTTAGTCGAAATACAAAATATAAGTGGCGCGAGCTGTTTCAATTATTTATAAAAGTATGTTGTACGGAAACAAGAAATGAAGCGTCGATATACCCACCACCAAGCAGTGGAAAAGGCGGCGCATACTAGAAAGGAGTAGTGGGATCAGGCGCCGACGCGGAAAGGTCCCGGATGTATGTGGCGGCGCTGCGGTCGTTTACGGACTGGAGGATCCGACCGGCTCCGAGCGTTCCGAAGGCCTTCAGCGAGCAGCTTTGGCTTGCAGTTTGGCCGTTTCGCGGCATGGCAGCGCGAAGTGGCTCCCATTCTGAACTGATCTTTACCCCGTGTTTGCTGTTGTTTGTGGCCAACGAAGGGTCATGCCGAATTAGTATTAAATCGCGCAGCAAATGCAATGAGAGCCGCTCTGGCTGCCCGCTGTATACAACCTATCCAGAACACGCGTTGGTGGCGCCCTCTCGCGCTGTTGACACGGAGTGCGGCAACCGTGAGCGCTCGCTGTGCTCACTATCCCTCCTCTAGTTCACGGCCACTCAAGCCAGGACCTACGACGTCATGAGGGAGGTTATTTTTTGCTTGTTTTTATAATTCTAATTTGCCTATAACTTTTAAAATAAAGCGAAATTCGAGAAAAAAAAGGTTTCATTAAGTTACTACGGTCAGAGCACTCAGGTTCGGTGCAAATTAAAAGCCATAAAAAAGTGCTTGCAGGGCCCCTTTAAAGGGGCCCTGCAATCATATTTAAGAGTCTACCTTTTTTGCGGTTTCCACGTCTCTTGGCGTTCGGGCAAGCCAGCGGGCACGGAGAGAGTAACTAAATATCAGTGAGTCATATTTTAACCGGAAGACGCGGAAACCTCCTCCACCTACAAGGGCAACCTGCATTGCCGAAAGTGCGCGATATGTGACGTCTTTGGTCCTGGGCTTACTACGGGTCAAAGCCGCTAAAAGCTTTTTTTTAAGTCGAGATACAAAATACAAGTGTCGCGAACCGTTTCAATTATGTATGAAAGTAGTTTTTGTTCAGTATCTTAAATCAGAAAAGAAACAAATGCAGTTTATAAAGTACGGAAACAAGAAAAGACCTGTCGACAAACCCGCCACCAAGTGGCGGAAAAAACTCCGCATACTAGAAAGGGCTAGTGGGATGAGGCTCCGACGAACAGCGAGCGTAGAAAGGTCCCGGATGTTTGCGGCGGCGCTGCGGTCGTATACCGGCTCGAGATCCAACCGGTTCCGAGCGTTCCGAAGGCTTTCGGCGCGGACTTGGCGGGCGATTTGGCCATTTGGCGGTATGGCAGCGCGAAGCGACTCCCGTTCTGAACTGATTTTAACCCAGTGTTTGCTGTCGTTTGTGGCCAATGAAGTGTTATTCCGAATTAGTCGTTAATCGCGCAGCAAATGCAATGCGAGCCGCCCTGGCCGCCCGCTTCATACAGCCTATCCAACACGTGCTTTAGTGTCGCCCTCTTGAGCCGTCGACACGGAGTGCGGCAGCCGTGAGCGCTCGATGAGCTCACTACTCCTCCTCTAGTTCACGGCTACTCAAGCCAGGACCTACCACGTCATAAAGGAGGTTATTTTTTGCTTGTTTTTGTAATTCTAATTTTCCTATAACTTCTAAGATAAAGCAAAATTTGGGAAAAGAAAAGTTTCTTTAAGTTACTATGTTCAGTGCGCTCAGGTTTGGTGCAAATTAAAAACCAGTCAGAAAGTTGTTGCAGGGCCCTTTTAAAGGCCGACGTACAACCCCGGGTTTCTGCAGGGCAGGGGCTCTTAGCACTCCCCTCTCCTAAGCTGCGAGGGGAGCCGAGTTGGGGCTAGGTAAAAAGTTTGGACATAGGAAAGGAGGAGCCAGGAACAAAAATAGCAGCCGTTATTGATATATCAAACTGCCAAGAGCGCCGTTTTGCTCTGCAAGCTGGCTTTCCCCCAACGCAAGTGGCCGCATTGGGGGAAAGCCAGCTTGCAGAGCACGCTAGCCTTTTTTTTTTTTTTCCGAGCGGTTGCGTTGATTACAGGGAAGAGAAGAAAATATATCTTTTGCGGAGGGAGCGGATAGAGGGTGCTCCGTGCTCCCTCTCCCCGCTCCGTCCGCAAAAAAAGAATATTTTTTCTTCCAAGCGGTTGACGCCGCCGCCCAAAAAAGAAAAAAAAGTTTGTTTGTTCTGTCAGCTGGCTTCTCCCAACGTGACCACCTGTTGTAGGGGAAAGCCAACTTGCACAGCAAAACGGCGCTCTGCAGGAGAAGGTGCTCTCACTCAGGCGTGCTCCGTGCTCTCGGCATAGTTCGGCGCTAATGCGCGAATATAAAAGGCAGCAGCCTCAGCATTTTGCAGTTTGTCGATAGCGTAGAAAAATATTGTTATCGAAAAGAAAAAGTAGCAGAAGATGCAAGACTACTTCATTCTGTAATATTTCAGCAGAAAGTAGATTTTTGAGAGTCAAATTCATTCAAACTTTTATATCGAATTACCCCCTATATCGAACTGGTAGACTTTTTTTGCATTTCGATATAAAAGAGTTTGACTTACTCTGGCTTGGATTTCTGGCCAGGTGGCTAGGTGGCGCAAGCCTCAGACCATTTTGACCATTTCGTGCTCCCGAACTCAATACACTTCAAATTAACAATTACAGTACTTCGAATACCAAATACGGGCAAATATAAAACTATAGATTAAACATATCTTGTGGTATTTGTTGCTTGTACTATTCAAACTATTCGATTCGAAATTATTCGGCCAAAATCACTATTCACTTCGAATTCGATTCAGACCCCAGAATCCTCTATTCGCCCATGCCTACCATCACTATTCAAACGATTCTCGACGGTACACCTCACATACGCACGTGGATCTTTCTTACGTGTCAAAAACAGCATTCAAAGCATAACTCCTCACTCACAGGCCCTCCAGGAGTCCGGGTGCTTGAACGGGAAAGCCAGGCCGTTGTCGATGGCTGCGATGCGGGTCTCAGGCTGCCGGTGGGCCCAGGTCTGTAAGGAGCCCGAGAGTCAGGTTTCCGCCCGGGGAAGGGGAGGGGCGCCCCCTCGGGCGGGCAGCCTACCTCGCCTCCTTCAGCCTGCTGGGTCCGCGAGCAGCACAAACATTGGTTTGGCACTGCCCAGCACAGTGTGGCGCCAGAGGCCAGCCCCGACCGGGGAACCACTCACCTGCGGCTCCTTGTCCGGCCTGCTGCAGCGGATCAGCCAGTTGTCGTTCCCCCGATCTGCACCATCGTCGAGGGTTTAGGGGCACGCCACAGCTACGAAGTTTATGATGCACCAAGACAGGTAGATATTTAAAGCACACTAAGATCTGTGGGGCGAGAGCAGATCCGGACCACTGCGGCTCCAGAGGGATTGAGCACCGGCGAAGTCGCACTGAGCCGCCCATTAGACTATGGCCGCCGACAAGATAAGAATGGCAACAAGAATGACATATACACACGCCCACTGTCCATAGAGCTACCAAATTTTCTAGACTATGTGTTTAAAAGCTCAAATTTTATGCTGTGCGGACTATACAAGGATTTTTTAAAGCAATAGCTTTATGGGTGACACTTTGCAAAGATTTCGCCATCGTCACCCATCGTCGCCGCGAGCACGAAAAATGGACAATCACTTTTTCCCTCCCCTCTTTCCACGAGGAGAGTGAAGTCGGGACTCCGTCCACCGTGCTGCTTGAAGGCAAGCAAAAACTGCAGCCCTGGCATCCCACCAAGAATTGCGCAACGAAGGCATATGCACTCGAATCATTGTGTCGTCTGATTGAAGCAGACTACACAATGATTCGTGACTAGAAGATGAATCGTGTGTCGTCTGCTTGAAAGACTTGTTTTCGAAGTGGGATTTCGTGTAACGCGAGTAATGTTGGATGGTTTAAGAGACTTCACGGATTACTCGTGGCAGTCGTCAGTGGCATCCACGACGCCAACCACAACAGCTATGAGAGTTAACCATGCCGCACCCGTCGTCAGGTATGTGACGGTATCATTCCAGCCCAGACGGCCCGCCAATAATTGCGTGCCGCAGGGAGAATGTTTATGTCGTCTGCTTCAGAGTTCTTTTCAAACATCACTTGTGTTATGCAAAATCCCACTTTGGCAGTATCCAGTTCCTCCGCCTAAAGTTGGAGGACTTTAGAAATTTCTACCGCGCTTACCCACTTCCTTCACGGATCTATGGTCGCAGGCGTCGTGGCATCCACGACGCCAACCACGACAGCTATGAGAGTTAACCACGTCGCACCTGTCCTCAGGTATGTGACGGTATCATTCCACTCGCATTGTGCGACTGTGCCACAGCTATCGCTTTCGTTTCTTCGCACGTTGTGGGCGAAAAATACTACTTTTTTTAAGTTCATTACAATGAGACATGACAGATTTTGCAGATGGCACATTACGTTAATGATTTCTGATTATAGAAGCTTTTTAGTGCACTAATAAAGGAGTCACTCTTCCAAGGTGTGCAGCATATGAAATTGTTTTACATATAGACTATGTACAATTTCGGTAAATGGTTCAACTAGGGTAGAAGAAAGAAAAACATATATAATTCAGCTGGCAGACCGCAAGACCTAGGTGATCATCATGGTTAACTTAGGTTTAGCAAAGCTTTTTGGAGAATTGTCAAGTGATAACCACTCTGCAGAATGTTTCCCATTATCACTAACAATCCACTTTTCACAACACACCACAACCTGTTCCAAGAACGAATTGCTGGAGTCCCTCCTAAGATGCCAAAGTTGAAGGGCAAAAAGAGAACCAACATGAGGTCAGAGATGCCTTCCAAGATTTATTTGGAAATCCTAACTTTTTATCAAAATGGAATTTATTAAGTTCATCACATTGGCAAAAATGTGCTGATCCTAATGAAGGTTATTTTGAATATGTTAATTTATAATCAAGTTATGATTACCGCCAAAACTTTACGAATGAACTAACTATCAATACTTGGTTAGCAATAAACCCTTTCAGGAATTCAGGGCCATCTAGTGGCTCAGATATCAGTCTAAACTTTGGTATGCTTATGGCGGTTCAAATCTCGTATCGACAGGAGACGTTCAAAGGTTGATGCTTTTCGCTGTACAGTACTTTCTATATCCATTTTTGCTTCAATGGTGTCAAGAAACTCAATTATGTATGAGGCGCTTACTTGAGTATATCATCTCTTTACAACATTAACCATATTTTATGGTCATGAGCCGTCTGGGGTGCGTCAAAGCCGAGCATATTAAGATTTACATGACACCTTCAAATGCGTAGCGCACAAAAGGTTATAAATTCCGTCTTTCTGACATCAAACAGCAGACTAATGTCTGGAATGTTTAGGCTCCACATTGCTGCCCGTCTTCAAATTCTTACTTCATTAGCCATCAAAAGGCAAACATTAGCATGTACAAGTGATATACACTTAGGTGACGATAGTTATCCAGGTGGCCAGACTGAATTTCCTAAAGGGTCTATTCAGAAAGCTACAAGCATGAAGTCGTAGCTTCCTACGCTCGGTTTCACTCAACAGCAATAGTAGAGCCAGGGCTACAGAGCAAGGCTCTTGCTTTTGAATGCTCCTTATATGTGCAAGCAAGAGAACTAGCCAGGACTAAGAGCATGCATATGTACCCTAAAGGCTGGTTCACCCACTTGCGACTGCTTAAGACAGAGTATTTTAAAACCTCTTGTGATCTTTGTTGACTAGGAAACACTCTGGCGGCATTACCGGGTAGCTGCGGAACAGTTACGATTACTGAATATTCCTTCTTTTTTTTTTTGCACGTCATTCTTTCTTCACTGGCTTGAAAGCCTTTGGCCAATATAAATGACAATTTCTCATAGATAGTATGTATATTTCATCTCACAAATATAGCAAAACCTTCACTCTAGTGAAATGCAGTTCCAGAGTCATCTTATAGATGGCACTAGCGTGCCAGTATGTTCTCTCGTAAGAGATCACGAGAACTCTGTCGTAAGTAAATGCAAGTGTGTGAACCAGCCTTTAGGTAGCTCCAGATGCACAAAAAACAATTTCAAGCACTCTCTAAAAAAGGTGGGTTTTTTTTTGTACCAACTTTTACCAGACTTTTTAGACAAACATCTGCAAAAACTAACGTCAACCTAACGTTTCAGTCGTGGTGAATTCCAATGGTCGTTTTGGTGTGCACCAGGATTGCCTTTTCTGGAGCATATCTGCCACTTGGCAATCAAAATAAACACAAATGTTTTTCGCTATTCGCTTTTGAGTCTAACCGGCTCCAGATACACACCAGATCGAAGCAAATCTCGCTCCGCCGAAATCAATGGATTCTGTCAGAAGCCGGTTTCTGCAGGCACTGACTTCTTGGCACGTACTGCATGCCAGTCACAATTCTCCGACCCACTGACAAACATGGTGTCACAGACAGACACTGCCACGATCGGTGAAAGTTGATCTACCAGGTGGAGTACACTCTATGCCCCTTGTACTGTAGTCACACATCACAATGAGTGCTCTTTGTCTCTGCTCACCTTCAAGCTATTACTGGTATGCAGTGTTTTTCAGAGTAGTGTCCAAAGGATATGAATTTTCACGTTTCCATGAGTGAAGTGAGTTGGTTAGTGCAAGATTTAGTGACCGACAGGACGAATGGCAGGAGGAAGCTTTTGTAGGCCCCACCCTTTGATTGGCAACTGGCTTACAGCCTTTTTACTTAGTATTCTGCAAGGGACACTCATTCATGTGGTTGTCACATAGAATGCCTGTAGTGCGCAGTGCTACCACTTGCTCATCACAAACGCAACACTGGTCAAATGTAACAAAGCAAGTGTCATCCGCTGGCGAGCTACGTACGAGAAAAATGTGACGAAATGTGTCCCTCCTTCCCATGCTGTTTATATAGTTACTAATAAAAAAAAAAAAAAACACATACTCATATATTTGTCACTGTGACCTTTTCTTCTTATAGCGTAGTGGTTTAAACTGTTTGCCCTGCACTATATACTATTGTAAGCAACAAAAACATGGGGCCCGATTCTGCCGGCAGAGTGCTCATGCAATGGAAACGAGGTGGGGCCAAGCGTGCTGGGTAGCGCATCCAGTTTAGTCTTTACTGATCTTTATGGGAGACTATGCACCTCTATTTGTTGCCGACTGAGACAATCGAGCTCAATGAACAGCGGCGGTGTGACTCACCCTGTCGGTGACTACAGCATTACTGAATGTTTGGTTTATCCACATGATCTGTAAATCACATCTTGCTGTTACATGCACTACCGTTACTGAAATGGCATCTACAATCTCACCAAAAAGAATGTGCCAAAGTTTGTACTCCTGGCAAGATTGTGAAGTGTTCGAGCCGATGCCATCCCAGAGCAGCGTAATATTTTCTCTTCCATTCAGCCTTGCGAGCCTCACCGTGGAAAAATAAAAATGAAAGAAGCTCCTGTCGCTTTGTTTCCTGTTATGCCACAGAAAAACAATGCACCCCGCGTTTCAGAAGGCACAGTAGAAACAGCCATTGGCAAAGATGAAGCAGCCGTCCCGCTGCAGGTTATTAGCAAAGAAGCGGCCGTCCTACTGCAGGTTGTCTTGTTTGTCATTCTCATAGCCATGTGACCTGCTCCCAAAAGAGAGGCTGTCTTCCCCTGGTTGGGTCGAAGGCACAGTGACTCCGCACGGGTTGCATGTCCCGTCGCAAATTTAGGCCATTTATCTAAAGTGACCAGTGAAATTCATCATCAGAGACGGGGGTCCGAAGCTTGTCTCCTGGCAAAATGTTGGTTGCCGTCCCAGTTCACTTTCCAAGTTGAAATGAAACGGCTTTATCCAGCATCTTTGCACAAGCTCATATAAGGTTCCATCCATTCCCATATAAATTTCAATCAGTTCTGTATGACCCGGCACACAAACAATAAACGAAGGTCAGCAAGCTGACAGTAAAATCATATATACTCGCAACTGAAAAGAAAGTTTCCCTGGAGCAACAGCCAAAAAGAAAGATGCCTCAAATTGAGAAGTGCACATTCTGTCCCACTATATTACACACTCAGCTTGAGTTGACTGGTTCGACTGGGGTAAACAAAGCTAAAGGAAACCGAGCAGCGAGTGCCATTTTCGGCAGGCACACTTTACCTGTGTTGCGGATGATGTAGTCGAGCACCACGAGCCGCTCAAACTGCAGCTGGAACATGCGCTGCAGTTCTGGAGGGAGAGGCTCGGATTCAAACTTGCGCAGCCAGAAGTCGGCGTCCTGGTAGCCCTCGACGTACAACTGGAACGAGCCCACCTGCAAAGGGAACATCAGAGACCAGGGGCCCTCCTTGCTCACCGCGCTTGCCCACCTTGTGCGGGAGGCCGATGCGATTAAAGTGCCGCCCCACTTTGGGGAACCGTTCCGTCACATTCTTTTTGGTCCTGGCCTTGGCACGGTCCAGCGCAGAGTAATTGAAGGTCTCGCTCACTAGCTTCACAACCTGCACAAAAACGCTCGTCTCCATCAGGTGTCTCCCAAACAAGGCCGGGGGCTTGCCTTTGTCTTTGGGACAATGTTGAGCTGCAGCTTTTGGTCAACTAGCGACGCCCCTGCTTCGGAAAGATAGCCTTGGTTGGGCACCAGGCAACTCCGGCCAAAGCAGCAAGGGCAGCATAACTTGTGCATCCACTTTGTCCACTTGGGATTTAGTCGCCCGTACGGTTCCTCATCTTTGGGTTTGTATACTGCAATTTTCTGAAATGATAGACCAACGTGTGGCTCTGACCTAATGCCGCTGCTGTCGGCACAGTGCGTGCGCAACGCTTCTCTTCACGCAAATCTGGCTTCTGCACAAGTGCCGTGCCCACATCTGGTGTGGGCAAATGTGGGCTTCTTTGTAAAAGCGCGTGGGTCTATATATACTTCCTCATGGAGTACCCTGAGGGAAAAAGCAGACGCAGACCAGTCACGTCACCAGGTTATGAATATAAAAGCATCAGTGCCACAGACAAACTTTGTTACATCAATTCAAAACACTGCACACTCTGGTGAAAAGAAGGGATTGTTTCACTTGAACCAAGATGCAAACTTGATAATGCATAAACTATGTCTAGGCCAGGGCTGATTTGCTGGTGAATGCTGGTATCTCTCCCGACGATTAAAATAGTTGCAAGAGGGATTATGAGGTCAGGTAACTGGCTATGTGGGGGCAAGAAACTAAAGACTTTTATATGTACATGTTTGTGTTTATTACTATCCACTCCTGATTGGACCATTCTCTGGCCTGCAGCATATTCCAAATAAATAAAAATAAAGGTACCTAGAGTTCCAGATTGTTACTTCGTCCTCGCTTCTATTATGCAAGTTCCTTTTTGAGTGCAGAAAGTGGGTGAACAGACTCAAAATGTAGGTGAAATGCCCAGCATTTGTGTACTTTAGGAGCGGCATGTAAGGTTATTTTTGGAAAAGGTTGTGTTAAGCAATAATAAAAAAAAAAAAAGGCAGGCTTAAGGCTTATATTTGATAAGAGAAATCAACTGAAACACTATAGTCAGTGACAGGTTAAAGGGATACTGAACCGAAATTTTGATTTCGCAACGGATGGCCGTACTTTTGGAAAAGAAGGGCGCGATCAAGCGAGTTCTTTGACGTAACTGTCCTCCGGGAGAATTTGAGAATGAGAAGTGGCCTTGCTTCTCTCCTCCTCGCTTCGGTTCACCAGCTTGACAGGACGTAGCGAGGAGGAGAATGGGAATCGTGACACGCCTTGGCTCGTCAGCCGGGTTCAATCGCGCACTTCTTTCCCGAAAAATATGGCGATCAGTTAGATATATCGCCGTACGAGTGATATTTTTTGGTTCTGTAGCTTCCCGCCTATCCGCCCAGCCTTGTTTAGTGAGCTCGAAATTTCGGTTCAGTATCCCTTTAAGAGTTGAGAGGAAGCTCCTCCCCCCTTTCCACTTTAGCAGAGCAAACGCTGGAGAGGATGCGTGTGATCTCTCCAGAGTTTGCTCTGCTGAAGTGGAAAGATTTGGGAGGAGCTTCCCCTGAACTCTTAACCTGTCAGACTACTCTTCCCACAGAGCTGGTCACATCATCTCAAAATACATCTTGCGCCTATTTCAACCACCGGTAGAAATACCTGCATTAACTAGCCAACCGGCCCCGGGAAGAACTTTAACATTGCGACAGGGGAGGCGAAGGTATTTTGGAGCTCGGGTGAATACCCTATTCCTAGAAACGGTACAAGAGCCCAAGTAGCACTGCCCTGACAATGATGGCCCTAGTTTCTTTTATGAAAGCTCTCACAATATATATATATACATATTTTTTTTTTTTATTTCACATTTTTCTTATACATGAATGTCTAAAGGCGACTGTGCAGTAATCGCACATGTGGGCTTCGTTGCACGTGATATATGACTGACCCAACGTCTTCTGGCAGCACTCGCGGGCCTGAACTCGATAGCATTGTCCCAACCACGTAAAGATATTTTTGTTACACTCGAGCGTACTTATCTCTCGATTTCGGGAAGTCGGTGCAGCACGCAGGGCTGCCAAAGACTGACAGCCTACGATCTATCTCTGCGCGCACGAAACTGTCAGGGAGCCGTGAATCACCGAAGCACCGTTCACGGCGCCGCACAAGAGCACACGCAACAGCCGTGACAACATTGCCGGCGCTTGTGAAAGCATGGACAGCGTCCGTCCAAATCGCCCAGGCAGCGGAGCTTCCGGGGCGCAAGTCAAAACCGAGCGTGACATCCCAACACGCCGCGTTGGGACGCGAGCCAGTTTCCGCAAACAGGAACCAACCCGCGTTTAGAACCACTAGAGGACTAGAGGAAGTCGTGGTTTGAACATCCCAGCGGGCAGCCGACTCGTGGCCAGTGCGGTCACCAGCCGCGCGTCGGAAACCAGCGCAGACTCGCCTTCTGCCGATCGAGCAGCAGTCACGGATGTACGAAGTGGGGGCCCCGCAGCCAGGCAAGCGGAGGCAGGTCCGCTTAGGCTTACCTTCCCCTCACTGTTCTTGACAAAGTAGCTTCCGCTGGAACCCTGGTAGATGCGCTCAGGGTAGATCGCCGCCTCGATGGCGATGAAAGCCTCGCGAACCACGGATGCGAACAGCGGGTCATCTGGGAATGTCTCTGACGTGGTCCCCAGGTCGGGCTCCATTCGACGAAGAAGAGGCTGGCTCTCTCGCGATGTGTTGTTGCTCGCTAGTAAGCCGACCGAAAATGTCACGTCAGGCAGGTTCTGCTCGTCGCTGTCCTGGTAGAGACCCGGCTCATCACCAGCGTTGATGGGTCGTAATTTTCCCTGCTCGCCGGTCATTGAATTAAAAAAAAAGGAAAAGAAACGAGACGCACAGGACTCGTCGCTTCCACCATAGATTTGTCGCAGGAAATATCAACCGAACAGCAGCACCGAACAGTCACGCAGTGGGAGGCTCTGGCAGTGGCGTCAACATCACGTGATACGCGATCGCTTGTCAGTCTGGATTGGCCTGGTTCCTGGACACTTAAACATTTAACGACTATGGATTTGACTACAATTCACCTAGATCTTGGGCATATCTTGGGGAAGGAAACTAGTGGAGATCAGTGAAGGAAACCCACTGGGCACCGTGCCACTGGGGAAACCACTGGGAACAACCGTCAAGTAAAAACAAAATTTTAGGATTTTTTTTTTGCAGGTTTTTATTTGTTGCATACACTGATGCACCGTTGCATAACTCGGCGCAAAATGAAAACTGAAAAAAGGTTTACTATAAATTATGGTGTCTGGAACGCGTCTCCGACTGGTGTGTTTAGCGTCCTATGCTGTCCATACATCAAAAGTGGTCCCCAAGTGGCAACAGTCACAGAAGCTGGAGTGTCATGCTGTTGACTGTCGCGATCGTGGCGGTTGGCCGTAGAAATGCTGGCGAAAAGCGCGAGCGAACGCGAGTGTCGCTGTCGTCACGGCGTCCCAGGACAATCCCAGGCGTCCCAACTTTCCACTGAGGTGGATTGTCACAGTGGGGAGCGACAAAGGAGGTTAGAAGTACTAGGAGGGGGCACGTTGCAATATTGGTGAAGCCTAGTCATAAAAAGTTTAAACGATTTTGTGCCCAGCGTGACCGCAGATCTCTCTGGCGATTGGTGCGCGTGACATGTCACGTGTGAGATGGATGGTTGATTGTAGAAGGACTCCTTGCAGGCTTGCGCGCGCTCCGTCCGGTAGGTTTTATCAGGTCGAAGTCTACATTGTGGTGTATTCTAGTACCCCACAGCAAGACGAAGTCTAGCTACGGTCACGTGATGTGGTCACGTTGGCATGGTAAGTGAGGAGATTAAGGAGGAAAATGAGAAAGAGGCGAGGCGTCGAGGGTGCCTGGCTTGTGGAGGCTACGCGGCCGACGTCATGCCCTCTCCTACCATGGGAGCGACCCGCAGCAGAACAGGCGTCTGCTATCACCACCACAGCTGCTGAGACACCACCAGGGTCGCGATCGGCGACAGCATGGCACTTTTATGACGTCATCAGGCGGAAATCTGTGTTTCAAATCTTATCCAAATGAATCCGAGTTACTCCGGCGGGTCCTGTCACGTGACAACACAGATTGAAAGACGCTGGACGCGGGTAGGTTTTGGAACGCCAAGGTAGAAAACCCTTACCCTGGAGTAAGATCGAGTAAGTTCTGGAACACGGCCACACGCGCCACACGGCTCCCATCTCACTGATCTTGCTGGATCACGCATCCCCGCTCCGCGAGTGCGGCCACCGGACGGCCATCTTGCATCTGGAAAAATTGCGCTTTCGGAGCGTTACGGAGGATGGCGGCAGCATGTTGAATATACGTTTTCTACTCGTTCGTCGTCATTTGCTAAAGAAGTTCTTTAAAACCCTGTTTAAGCCGTGAGACTTGCCGATGAGAACACGTGGAAATTTTTACGGAAGCACAGTGCAGCAGAAAAAAAGGCACAGCTCGTCGAATGCCAGTTTTGCCGGTCTCACGGCGTGATCAAAGCTTATTTCTTGGCACGCCTAAGCACTGCGTCTCTGTGCCTTAGCACCAGTGGCGTAGCCAGGAATTTTTTTTCGGGAGGGCCTGAGGTGGCTGGAATGTCCATGACTTGGGGTGCGGAGAGGGGGAGGGGGGTCAGCTGGATTACGAAGCTTCCCCCCGCCCGCCCGCCCCCCCCCCCCCCCCCCCCCGCCCCTCTGGCAATGCCCCTGCTTTGCACGCTTGGATACCGATCAAGAATCAACACCGCGCATGGATGTATTTTGCGAGTGCAGTGTGCGTGAAGCCGTATGTGCCTCTGGATCAGCGTCTTACTTTTATCTGACTGTATACTTGCGGCACTCGCGGTTCAGAAACGAGCTTAGCGATGGAAGAGGGGGGGGGGGAGTACATTGTTTTTTTTTTTTTTTTTTGCCGTTAGACGATTTACAGAATACCACACACTGCAGCTCATCACTGATCAGTGCTGGCTCATTACCTACTTAATTGCACTTGACGTTTGAGCGCGGCTTGCCTAATTGTGATTGGTAAACAGATTGCACACGACCATATGGTCGTGTGCAATCTGTGCGCTTCAAAGCTTTTCATTCTCGCCGTCTTGTACTTTTGCCTTCGAAAACCGTCCTTTCTCCACAGCGTTGCTCCATTCGTGCTCCCATGTGATCCATTATAGTAGAGTTGGAACATAGCCATGGTTAATGCTATGGCTCCACGAGTGGTAACTTCAGCACACTAATGCGCTTCTCACGTGCTCAAAGTCTTTCTGAAAATGACTGATTTAGTGGTTTTCGATAACGCTCAGCAAGTTTCTAATGGGAACCATGTCTATTTTGACTAATTAAAAAGTTAATTAATGAATTTTAATTAATTAGCCGACTTATCACAAAGATTAGCCTCCTCTATAATGTCCCCCTGGGCGTATAACTCACTCGCACAAACCGCATAAGTGTACCTTTCATGGCTTTTTTAAAACAAATCTGCAAGAAAAAAAAAAAAAAAAAAAAAAAAAAAAAAACTCTATATGATCTAAAGACATCTATGCGCAACACACCTTAAGAACTTTGGTGCGGCGTCGATTCTTGATCGGTATCCAAGCTTGCGAAGGCACAAAGATGCAGCACTCGGTGTGCCAAGGAAGCTTTGATCACACCGCGAGATCGGCGACACTTGCTTTCGATGAGTTGTACCTTTACATATGGCTTCATGCACATTGCACTCGCAAAACACATCCACACAGCATCGATTCTTGATCGGTATCCAAGCGTGCGAAGGCACAGTGAGACAGCACTTTGGCGTGCCAAAGAAGCTTTGAAAACGTCGCGAGTAGGGGTGGGCTAGGGGTGGAATAGCGCTGCGTCATTCATAGCCTTCTCGGTGCTAGGGGAAACGGAGACCTACCGGTTCTTTTTGCAGCGTTAATGCTGGGAATGACGCTGCGCTATTCGATTCAAACCACTCCCTAGCCGCGAGACAGGCGAAACTTGCTTTCGACGAGTTGTGCCTTTTCCTTGCGGCACTGCGCTTTCGTAAAAATTTCCACGTGTTCTCAACGGAAAGTATCATGCCTCACACAGGATCCTAAAGAATGTCTTCGGCAAAAGACGACGAACGAGTAGAAAACGTGTCTGTAGCACGCTGTCGCCAGCCTCTGCAACACTACCAAAACGGGAAAACAAAACTGCATGCAAGATGGCCGTCCGGTGGCCGCACTCGCGGAGCGGGGATGCGCGATTCAGCTATTGTCATAGAAATCAGTGGGCGGGAACAGCAAGAGCTTGCATTTGTGCTGCAAGCTGTTGGTGCGGCGATTATAGGTACGCCGAACGTCTTCTGGATTCGTAAAAGCCTCAAAGCATGATGGCTAAAATAATCCCTGGAGAAGGGGAACAAGAGGGACAAAGGACAAACGTAAATCTCCAAACATAGCTAGGTGACTGGTGCACGACCGAAAAAATCCGCCTGGTCAGGGTATCGAACCCGGGACCTTTCCATTTCCAATGGAGCGCTCTATACCGAGCTAACCAGGGGTTAGACGTCAGTAGAGCAAACAGGTTAAGGTCAAAAACCTGTTTGCATTTTGGCATTTCGGGCGCGTGGAGGAAAGGTCGATCGGCTTCGCCTTCATGACCGAGATGGTCATTCCGGAATGGCCCGTGACGTCATAGATTTCGCACGCAGAACTCCATATCTCTCGCCGTCAATATTGCTTTAAAAATTTTTCTTTCGCATAAAATTTATTTTTTAACACGCGTGTATCAACCAAACTGTTTAAAAAATAACTTTTTCTTTTTTTGCTGATGCTGAAAGTTATTTTGCGCACAACATGTCAACAGTGCAATAGATGTAGTATTTACAAGAATGAAGAAATTAATACTTTTAAAGAAATATTCTAACCGAATGCATTAAATGTGCATGCCAAACAGTATATGCAAACTGCAAGGAAAAGAAATGTGCACGGTGTATACAATAAAACAATGATTTTCTAACAAAATTTAAAGTTTTTGAGTTTCAACACAATACCCCCTCCAATATGCGTCCTGCTTTGGGGCCCAAGGAATATGGTCACTTCACCTCAATGCGCTTGTTCCACAAGCAGCGTCAAACATACTAATGCATAAGGCATGTGCCTCGTGTGGCCCTTAGAAGCAAACAGCAGCGTGCACTGAGCAACCGGTCATGACATGTGTCTTGCACATTAGCAGAACAATGGTTGACGGTACTTGTAAGAAACGCAAGGTGTGAATTTTATCAGATCTGTACCATAAAGTGCAGAGTCAAAATATCATCCAATGAACTTACCTTATTCAAAAATGAAAAAAGAACCTGTTTCAGGCAATCTACGGCAGCATTTCGTGAAGATTGCAGGCCGTGTGCGGAATGCTGCCGACAGATGCCGGAAGCGTTGAGGGCACGCCGGCGCCAAGCTTAGCAGACAATTTTCTGAAACCTTTGACTACCTTCAGCACGGTGCAAGTATCTCTAAGATACAGTTTTCAATGTTAGATATCTTTTTAAAATAAACTAAATACGAAAACATGTTTAAGTTCCCCTCAGGGCCCCCCATTTCCTCTATAAAAATGATCGGTCGAGGCGCTGCATCCTCTTGTGCCTCACATTGCACCATCTGTCGGCAGCGTATACAATAGCAAGCCAATAATTGGGATTCTGTGGATAGCTGGTGGTCAGCCATTTCAAAGTTGCAACAAGTCACTCGCTGTAGATGAGCAATTTAGCCAGTGCAGTACAATTGCTAGCCTGGGGTCTTTAACGTGCACCATGGAAAAGTGATACACAACCGCATGCCGGTACAATGCTCATCCAGATCGAAACGGGCAGAGGTGGGGATTGAACCCAGGATCCCTGGGTTCTGCAGCGCGATCTTTCGCTCCACGTGCTCCGAGCTGGTGCGCTACAGTCCACTTGGCCACCGAACCCCCCCAATAGAAAGCCTCACATGGCATCGTCTGCGAAATGGTGCCGTAAATTGCCCGAAACAGGTATTTCTTTTTTTTAATGCGAAAGCATTAACTGTTTAATGGAGCGAGCCACGCCAAACGGCACCTTAAATCCTTTCTCTAAGTGAAGCCAGCTCCCAGCTATGAAATCACGTGAAAAGTTAGCCAACGGCACCTAAATTCCCCAATCCCAAAGGAGCGGAGTAAAGGTGACTGATTTTCGGCTTCAGTCCATTTTGCTGGTGTGCGTCGACGAAGCTCCCTCGGCCGCTGCAAGTCAGTTTCAATGACCGCTCACTTCATGGTGCTGCGTGTCCGTCAGCGCGCCGTTAACATGGAGCATCCAAGGTTAGCGCATTCAGGAGAACGCACGCGCTGACCGGCGACGAAAAGTACGCAGCAGACGAAATAAGGGAGCGAATGAGCAGCTTGGATGCTTTCGCATTCACAACTCATAAGAAGTGAAGCGAGTTCAATTCCTTCGGCCCTCGCGGTATGTAGAGACAATGGCGTGCCAACTTGTTTTTGAGTGGGGGGCAAACCAGACCCCCCCACCCCACCAGGCCGGGGGGCGGTGCCCTTGGTATCCCTTGAAAGCTGCCGGCCAGTGTTTGCCCTGCCCAGTGGCGGCTGTTTCAGGGGGTGGCAAAACAGATGCCTTGCCCCCCCCCCCCCCCCCCCCCCCCTCTGAGAACTGGGGGGGGGGGGGGGGCAAGCACCCCCCTTGCACCCCCGTTTGGTACGCCCATGTGTAGAGAAGCAAGATATATGTACGTGCATTGTAGATCAGATATCTTATCAAGATATATACGTTTCAAACGCCAAGAGCTTAGCTTCTTTTTCAAACAACCAAATCTTGTACGAAGGACTTTGCACAATGTACGAGCCATGGGCGTAGTCAGGGGGTGGAGGGGGTGGGGGGTGCTTATGGGGTTTCAGTCCCCCCTGAAATTCAGCTGACCCTATAATACACACATGCATTTTGACCCCTCCTCCCCCTCTCTGCAGCCCAAGTCATGGACATCTCAGCCAGCTTAGCTCCCCCCCCACCTTCCCCGAAAAAAATTCATGGCTATGCCACTGGTATGAGCAATGCACAAACTTCCTTTTTCTTAAGGTGAAAATGAGTATAGGAGCTGTGCTTCAAAACCTGTGTATTCCATAGAATGTGCACTGTAGCTACCATAGCAGCTGTCCCCAAAACAGTGGCATGTTGAGAGACAGGAGGCAGACCTTGTGGGGGAGAGGGGGTACTGCTCGTGGAAGCAGAGTCTGTGGGCAGTTCAGTGGTAGCATTTATCTGGTGCGGGGGCTCCCTCTATGTGCAAGCCAAAGCAAGGTCAGTTGTTGAAATGTCGTTCGATAGGACAACCGTCCAGTGAAGAGAATGCCATTAGTTAAAATGGTGTTTGCCCACTTTAACCCCTCCTGAAACTCTTGTAGAATTATGTCTTGTCAGTGAGTATGTGGAAGTCAGTGGGGGGAACGGCGCCTTCGGGGCACCTTGCAATTCATTGCAATAGATGCTCGTGCACCCCGGCCTTCAATGGCACTAAGATTTTGGCCAGGTACAAAGATAAAGTGTCACGGGAATTACACGAGGCGTTTGAAATTAGGACCAGGGAGAAGAAATGTATAAGTGACACGTCCCTATCCTTATCTACAAATGAGTTTGAATTTTTGAAACGTGGGCTCAGCAGATAGGGTAAACAGGGTTTCTGTGGCTATATAACGTGTGAATTTTCAATAAACTTCAGTTGAGAGTGCACCTTGTCCTGTTTCCCTTCGTCTGTGTCGCTGTATTTTTTCGGCGCTTTTTGCTTGAATAATAGGGTAAACCAATCAAAAAATTGATTTTGTAGTTTTAGTGGTAAAACAATTATATGCAGTCTGAGGAACAAAACATGAAGCGGCAAGCGCAAACGAACATTCAAAGGCTCTAAAATATGGCGCCAAAATCCACACCTCCTGACCATTTGCCTCTATGTGGAGACATAAAATTGTGTTTTTCTCAAAATGGCATTGCAATTTTGGGAACTTTGATGTAATTTTATAAAGAAACTACTTATGCAATTACACCACAATCTTCACAGATATAGTAAAATATCTTGCCAACAGTTTGAACCTAAAAATCTCAACAATTCAACATATTTTAATGCTTAAAAAAAATTTAATAAAAAAGTTCCACTCTTATGGCTTATGACAATATTTTTTTTATTGCATGCTGCATGTTCAAACTTATTTTCTTTTTTTTTTAGGTTCAGTTTAAAGCTAGTAACATGTGGAAGATATGTGCCAAATTAAATAAGCATCCTATTTTTTGTTGCTGAGAAGAGGTACATTAAATACTGGTACATTAAATACATTAATACGCAGTCTAAGATTTGACACCGTTACTAAAAATATTTAAAAAATGCTTTAGTGAAAAAGCAACAGAAAGGTCATCATTATCAGAGCAAGCATTCAATACATAAAATTTCACAACAACATATATTACAGTAGTTTTCGATACACAATTAAAGCCAAGATGACTTGTTTACCCTACCTTTAAAGGGGCGGTGAAACAATTTTCTGAGTTTGGCCAAATAATTACGGGAATCGCTTTATGTTTCCGTTTAGAAGGAAGAGCAGCCACCCATTTTTTCTTGCATGCAGTATTTTTCTTTTTTATAATTAAACACATCGAAGGACTCCTCAACTCTCACACAGTCTTTTGGGTGAGGTGTGCAGTGACCAAGTCACTGGGAGTACCACGATGGTTCTGTCTTCAGGACCCTCAGCCCTTCCTCCGTGATTGTTGACATTTCAAGATCCGATTCAGCTACAAGGGAGCACCACACTCGCTTAGCACCGTTGAAGGCTGCGAGCTGTCCAAACAAAAGATGGCTCGCCCCGGGAGCGATGGGGAGGGTAGCGGCGAAGAGGGAATGATTTGGTTGACTTCCATTAGATGGTGCACGAAAACTTTCATACTCCCAATGACGCAAAACTGGGGTTTCCATGATCGCCACGCGCAACTGCAGATTGGGGAAAAATTCATTTTTTTCCTTTGTGATTGCACAGCAGAATCATAGTATTTTGGGGGAAGGTGGCACGTTTTCTCTCACTTGTGCCAAGATAATATATAAAAAAGTGCAAACTGCAAACTCTTTCAATGTTAAAAATGTCGCACTGCCCCTTTAACTTTTTAGTTGCATTTCTTTTGAAGCTTCATGCAGTAATACGCAATAAATCATGCAAAGCCACCCTCGCAGTCATTCCACTAAACTGCCTATGTACTACATAACAAAGGCAGGGATACAATGTGCTGGTAGGTATTGTAGTCGTCTCAAATTCAGATAGTTCAGCAGTGTGCCCTCCCAACAGTAAACAATTTGCAGAACTGGCATTGAAAAAGCAGACCTTTAATTCCAGCCACACACTATAAAGAGAGGCAGCAGTTGTGCCTGGCCCGAGAAGATTCTCTGGAGTTGCATGCATACTTACAGACTTCAATGAAAATCAAAACAGCTTTTGTTACAGGCCATTGCATTGAATCAGGTGCATATGGCCATAGTTTTGAACATTTTCACTAGTAACATGGGTAAAAAAGAGTGCTTGGAAAACATAGACAAGACGACGCACTACCAGAGAAGTGCTAGCTAGCTTTTTTTGTGAATGCTCTTTTTCTACAATGTCCAACATTTAACAACTAGCCAAGTAAATTTTCCACAGCATAGAACAAATGCAAGTTTATGTTGTCACAAATTAATGCATAAATCTGATGGCTGATCACTGAGGCAAGTCCTGATGCAAGGCCATTCTGGTTTAGTTGGATGCACGTAAGAAGACGTGCATCGAGAGGCACGAAACTTGGAAATCAACAGTTTATTGTCCACATCACCAGTCTGCGCTGTTGTTGGCCAGGTAGTCTCTGCGACCAATGTTGGATGCTTGCTTGCTCTGCATAGCCTCCAACTTGGGACAGTCTGTGATCCGATGACCCAAACCCCCACAGTAGGAGCAGCCACGTTCCTCTGTGAAACCAACAAAAGACCATTATGCATAAAGATGCATCGTTACATCATTGTGCATAAACATATTCAAAGCAGAAGAACCTAGTCCCATCACTTGATTGCCATATGATATGTGACAAAGTTTGGCCATCATCCATGAAAATTTCTAGATGAGCCAAATCTCAACATAAATGAAATGAAAAATTAACAAATAAAAAGAAATAAACTAGGGGTGGTCGAATAGTGTAAAATACCGAGGAAGCGCCCACCTCGCTTTTACTGAAAACTGGGTTAATCTAGACATGGGCGCTTGACCAGTAAATCGGTAAAAACCAAGATGCGGCCATAAAGAGCTTTGAAGGCAGGGTGAATGGAATCGGAGAAAGCACATTTATTTTCACACGATATCCCCGTCATTACTGCTCGTGGTCTTGTGGCCGCTGCAATCAGATGAATATTTTTGGCTGATGCTGGCGCTTTGAAGGGGCTGGGCGATTAACATATAATTTTCAGAATTCCCAAGTATGGGAAATGTTAATAGTGGGCGCTTCTTCGAAGTGGGCGCTTCCGCGGTATTTTACGAGACATGAAATTTTGAATATGAATAAAATATTATAAATTTAACATTCAAATTCAATTTGTCATCAGTATTCTTAGAATACATATCCTACATGATACGAATATTTGAAACTAACAGAATATTTAAGAATGTATCTGCAAACACTAGTTCTGCTTTTGGTTTCAGTGAGCAATGCTCACCAAAACCATCCCATCGACGATGCAGTAGCGGTAATACAGTGCAACCCACTTATGATACCAGATATAACGATGTACTGCTTTTAACGATAAGTTTCTAGAGTTTCTAGACTAGAAACGCTCAGTTTCTGGTCCAGATATAACGATAATCGGTTATAACAATTGAATTTTAGGGTTTTCTCATTATCGTTATAAGTGCATTACATTGTATGCGACTTTAGCGTTCCTTTCCAACTATTTTATTTATTTACTCTCAGGGCCCGAGCCATTACAGAGAGGATTAACCTGTGATTCAACTGATTTTACTACTATACCATAGTGCGTCTAGGGTTCTGTTGGTCACTGTGTTCAATCATTACCAACTCGTTCAACTAACCACCTTACTACAGGGGAATGAAGGCAAGACGGCACCAAAACGAAAAGGGAGGAGCACCATCCGGAAATACTTTTCAAGGGCAACGGCATCAATGGCGCAATGCACGACATGCGACTCAACACCACAATGCTCCTTGTCAACCACCTGAAAATGCATCCAGCGTCTCCTGACATACCCACAGATTACTGTGGGTATGCCAGGAAAAGGGAAACCAATCCTAACAGACTTTGTGCCCCATATTGAGCCTCTGTCAGAAAAGAGGACTTGAGCTTTTAATACCTCTTAACTACAAGTCTGGTGTTCCAAAATGTGAAAATAGAAATGCTGTGGAGAATAAAAGCATCTGCCTTTGACTATTCGATATCAAATGTTTTGTAAACTGTCAAATGGAAAATACTAAACGAAAGTTCACCCTTGCTCAAGTTTACACAACCAATTTTCTCACTTTTCATTAGTATTTCTACTATTTTTCCCTTACAAACCATTCTTTTAAATCATCCAATGAATATAGAAATTCTGAGTAACACTAGGAAAAATTCGTTGTCCCATGGGCATTGTAAATTCCCGAGTTCTGAATTGAATGAATGCTCTGACTTTTTATGTCACCTGTATCACACTTGTTTTTAATTGTATTGTACAGATGTACCACACACTTCCGTTCTTCATGCTGCCTTTTATGTTGCTGTCTGGGAAGTTGCTTTTTCTTCTCTGCTTCCCGTCTCAAAACAAAAAAATTAGAAATGGATTTGAATTCAACCAGAACAACAAGTTGTGGGCTTGGCTTGTTCCAGACTTGCAGTGCCCAAAGTCATTAGTTGGTCTAGCAAGCTTGCCAGAGTCCTGCTCAAAACCTCCCAGTCTTTGCTTTCGCTTCTCTCCGACAGGCGACCCAAAAGCTTCAGGGGGGAACCCCTAGGGGTGTTTGAGAAATTTCCGTTCTTGGGGTGTAAGGTGGCACTCAATCCCCATAGGCAAAGTGAGTGTTTAGCAAGAGCTATCAAGTAGTACATTCAAAATTGGCAGAAAGAAAGGTTACATGACATGGATTGGTGCATGTGGCAACTCAGGTTTGCTGTTGGGGTGAAACAACAAAAGTAGGAAGCATATTGACTGCGATTCTTACAAATCGGAAGCAATGCGAGTCATGCTGCGACAAAATAAATCAGCTCTTTCACCTGTCCCTCTTACAAGTGAAAACTGCTGGATCAGATTTTTGACGACAATGCTCTTGGTCTGGTCCAGTTTCTGGGAACTGGAGGCCCCACACATCTCTTTGCACTCACCTCCGAGCTCCAGGTACTTCTCGTTCTCCGACTGCAGGGCCAGCAGGAATGGGGGCACCTTCTGCTTAGCCTCCAGCAGCAGGTGCTTCATGTCCAACAGCACAGACTCGTCTGCAAGGGACATCTCGTTCACTGTCGCAGCATTCACACTGTATCATGGTCATGTTTTCGGCTCGCACCACAATACTATGCATTTGCAAAATTAGTAGCGTGCAGTTGGTCCCCAGAAAAACTACTATAATCAAGGCTTCTACCAAAGTTTAATGAAAGAATTCTAGCCTTTCCAGGCAATTCTAGGAGGTACTTGGGTTTTTTTAAAAACCCAGGGATTCTGGTACAGTATATATCAGTTAGGAACTTTGCTTTCAAGAATATTTTATTGTACTTCAGTCAAAACCATTGCAAACTCGACAGTTTGAAAACACGTCTGCTGTTGACCCCTGTCAAGTTTGTTGGCCCCATTTTTCACGGGAAGGGAGCTAGTACTACGTCTTGAAATTTCACCAGCTAAAATACAACACCTAAATGCTCATTCCAAAAAGTTTGACCTTTCTATGCACAGGAGCCAATTTTTCTGGTCGTTTTACAGTGCTCGAGTCCCTTACAGACACCCCTATTAACATCCAGTATTTTGGTCCACTGGAATATGCAAGAACTATTCATATATGACTGAGCTGGAGACAATCCCATTACATCCACAGTCAAAGCTACATTCTTTGCACACCTCTGACTGCAATGTGCGACGCTTCAACTTACCACACGCCTTGTTGATGAATGTTGTTGCAATGCCCATCCGGCCCGAGCGTCCCGTACGCCCAATGCGGTGAACTAGGGAGAGGAAGCGTGTGGCAGAGATCACCGTCTCGCCAATTCAAAAATGTGTGACAGCAGCAAGGGACAGACGGATATCGACAATCAACCGGTTTAATATTAAAAGGTGCAGCCATAAGAACAATAAAAAATGCAACCCAGACTGCTCGAAAAAAAAAAAAAAAAAAATTATAAATGTTGGGCTTTGCACGTCAAACCAACAGAAGGCATCTGGCACGTCCCAATGAATGACACAGACCAAGGGTTCTGAAACTTGAAGATCTTGAGGAATGCCTATCTCTCTTGATTGACAGCCTAGCCCTGCCTGATCTAGGCACTGATTAAATATAGCAGCGCAGGAGCCTACAGGCCTTAAAGTAATGAACATGCCGGGGAGTGTTTGGAAAACAGTTTTACATGAATGGATGGTTCAGATCTTCTTATAAATTGACTAAACTGGAAGAACACCAGTGTTAGGAAGTACATTAAGTACATTGTACTTAAAGTATTCAGGTAGGTTTAAAAAACTTGAGCTTTACTTGAAGTACATTTTTTGAATATGTACTTGTACTTCATTTAAAATATTTTTTTCTGGTAGTTTCCAAGGAAAGTACAACTCACGACTTCCAAGTACATTATTTAAATTTGGACTCGTTAAATTTCTACCACAAAATTATGTGTCAACAAATAAGTGTGTTATAAGTTGATTGTGTTAAATATTTTGTCAGCGAGAGTAAAACAACTACTCTGTGACCACTTGACTTTATCCAATATTTGCCGCCATTTCCAAAAACAACTGATGCACCCCCAATTACCCCTGGGCAAGTTGTAAAAAAACATTATGATAAAAAAAAAAGGTTTATTTGATTTAAATCCAACTTATTTGATTTAAATCAAATTAATTAAAATTAAATCACTATAGCCACAAAATAGGGCTTTTTAATCACTACATTATTTTTAAACATGACAGGTTGATTGGTCAATCTGTCCGATCACTGAAAATAATGCACAAGAATGACTGTAAATTTAAAGTACAGTTTAATTAACGACTTTTCACTGGTGTAATTTCAGCCATACTACTACAAAAACAGCTTGATATTTTTCAGTTAATGAAAAAGTTTAATTTGCTTCTTCTGTGTTCTGATTTTATTTCAATATGACATTACTTTTCTAGTGTTAGTTTCTTCCTTCCACATTCTTTTTACTTGTGATAGGACACTATGTAACTGACGAACAAAGTAAATGGTAGAAAGAAAGCTCAACGCTCTGATTTGCTCAGAAGACCACTGCTTTGTGCTTGTGTTCAACTTGATATGAATCTTCCTTGCTCAATGATTCCTCTATTTAAATACAAAACAAATGCACATAGAGGGCATCAAATAATTAACAAGTGATACATAAAAAACTCCAACCAAAACATACTACAGAGCCCGACGACGATGCCCACCGAAAGGTTTTTTTTGTTCAATTTAAATTACCCTAGTAAAACTGGCCAGATTTAAATCATCTTGATTTTTATTCTCCACCCTGCCCCTGGGGCAAACCAAAAAAAAAAAAAAAAAAAAAAAAAAAACATTATCCAAGGGAATAGAAGGGCACCATGAAAGATGTGTTAAAAAATACTTGTACTTTACTTGGAAGTACATTTATTTATAGTACTTTACTTTAATGGGGCACTGACAGGTCAAAATCATATTTTTCTTTTAGTTATCTGAGACGAGTGAAAACGATGCCTGGACATTACCCCCCAATTCGAAGCTTGGGAAAACTCAGTATATGTGAAGTAAAGAAACAATTTCCAAAGGCAGAATTTCAAGTTCCCGCGCGATCCACGCCAGTGCAGTGACGTCAAAGATTTAGTCGTCCTGTAACTTGTTTCCCTCCCGCCTTCGGCCTCCGAAGCATACCGACCGGAAGTTTCGTGTTCTCACGCACCCCGCGAATAACCGCGCTTCTCCGTGTGTGCTGCCTATCACTGTGAGCAGACAATACTTCACTTTCAAGTTTGAAGTTCTTTTAGAGCCCTTTCGGCGATCTCAAATTCTTTGAAACAGTGTGAGGTCGAAGAGGACGTGCAGTGAACTTTTGTGAGTGACACGAGGGGCCATGTGGTGCCAATGCTGCGTGAAAGGCTGTCCCGGCAAAGGTGCAACCAAAACTGGGTTTGGTGCACAGGCACCAAACCTAGTTGTTTTGACTGTTTCATGATTTTCCATTCGAAGTCCGAGAGGTCATCTGGCACTGAAATGAGAACTTTGTCCGATGCTCTGACTCCCCGATCATTCTCAATGCTACATGCGCCAAGCGCCGCCATGTTTTCCAAAGAAGGATAAAAAGCCAGGAGTCATCATTTCCAGACTTCGATTTTTAATATTTCAAAAGAAATATGCGTTCGCAATTGCATTAAGAAACATGTTTCATGTAGTAGCGCAACTGCATTAAAAAGCATGTTTTACTAATGCTGTTATTAAATATTAGAGAAATGTCGCTTACAAAGTTCCTCAATTTCATAATGGATTAAGTCACAAATAGAAAAAGTGAGGAGGATAGAAGAGGGAGAGAAAGGCAACAAAAATAAAAGAAAGGGCATGCGTGTGGAATTTTTTTATTTTTGCAGTGTGTTTTTTTTTTTGCGTGTATGACTACAGCTTGAACATGATGAAATACAGACTACAACTTGCATAGTTTTTGTTGTGTTTCTAAGGTCATGAAATAATCATAGTCGTTACGAATAAACCTTTAGTACACATAGAACAACTATTTACAATCAGGGTGATTCCGGTATCAGCAGACGGCAGCGTTCGGCTGGCTCGCTGGCTCGCGTCGGTCAGCTCGAGCTCTTTTCTTCCTCGTCGTTCCATGTGTCTACTTGGACACAACACTCCCTCAGACTAATTACAGTCTGTACCGAGACACCGGCTTGCGTGCTCTCGAAGGGTATCGGCGTTCCATGCTTTCAGACGTTGTTCGGGCACCCAGAGAAGAGACAGTTGCTTTTAAATCTCGTTTCACGCGTTCCGCTGATTTACTTTCTTCCTGTTTGGGAATGAACAGAGTATCTGACTCGGATTCCCCGGTGCCTGCAACTTGGTTTGGTCGGCAAAGAAGTTGGTTGAGGTGGCATTTCCAAACTCCGTTCGGCGCTTTGACTTTGTAATGCACTCTCCCAAGGCACTTCAGAATTGTGCCTGGAATCCAACTTCTTTTTGGATTTCGATAGTCTTGCACCAATACCCCGTCTCCTTCTTCAAACTTTCTTTTAGGGGCAAAGCTCCTTAGGGTCTAGCCTTGTCCGGCGTCCGTGCTCACATCGATCTTGCTGGTGCTCGTGAGCTCACGTGGTCACATGCTCGTGTAGGACAAAAAAAAAAAAAAAATGTTTGCACAGCTGACAGGATTTGAACCTGTGCGGGGAGACCCCAATGGATTTCTAGTCCATCGCCTTAACCGCTCGGCCACGACTGCAGGACGAGTAGGGGGCTCTCAGATGTGGTAGTAACTCAAGAGCTGGGGATGCCATGGATGTAACGTTGCATGTAGCCGCTCAACGTTTATACAGGAGAGGGCGCTGCGGTCAAATGCGTATATAACCGCGTTAAACTTTGCATGCATTGGCTCAACGTTTATAGACGAGAGGGCGCTGCGGTCAAATGCTTAAATGCGTATATAACCACGTTCCATACCACACATTCTCTTTCTGACATGGATGAAAACGAACGAAAGGCTCGGCATGCTGCGGCTCAGCGTCTACGCAAACAAGCACCACCAGAGCTTCGCCCCAATCAACATCATTCACCACGTGGAGATGCAGTAATTTTTTTTGGTTTTTTCTGAGCTGGAACCTCCGATACTTCTCTGGGTGAAGGAGATCCAATCTTATTCAAAGTCTTCACTTGAACAACAATTCTGATGGTGCAAAACCAGTGGATATGTGTGGTGTGCAACGATAAGCCATCAGAACTCGGGAAAGCTTCGTTTGTAATGACCCTTCGGTCTGTTTCCGCAGTCCTTACTTGAGCACTTGTACTGCTCGTTCGGCTGCACCATTCGTAGCAGGATGAAATGGAACGCAAAACTTAAGTTGGATTTCATTTCCCCTCAGAATTCTTCGAAAACTTCAGAATGGAAGGGTGGTCCATTGTCCGAGACAATAGTTAGCGGTAGTCCATGCTGCGCGAACAACTACTGCAACACTTCCACGACTTTCTCCGCAATTGTGCTCGACATTATTTCCACTTCTAGCCACTTAGGAAAGGTGTCGGTGACAACTAGAAACTTTGCCCCTAGGAACGGGTCAGCAAAATGGATGTGCAGTCTTTCCCAGGGTTGTTTGGGTGTCGGCCAGTGGAAATACTCTTGAGTTGGTTGGTTCCGAAATTTCTGACACAGAGAACACTCTTTGACTGTTCTGACAATGTCATTGTCGATGTTGGGCCACCAAGCATGCAGTCTTGTCAGACTCTTCATGCGCACAATTCCGTCATGTACCGCGTGAAGCTCGTGCAGTATACTCTTCCTCGGCATGCTTCTGGAATAACAACTCTTTGGCCCCACAATAAGCATTCTTCCTCCACCATAAGTCCCAACTTCCTCTTGAAGTATGCTTCCATATCTGGACTTACGTTCTCAGGCCATTTGGTCTGGGTGAATTTCAGTGCCTTGTTATACAGTTGGTCTTTCTCTCCTGTCTCCTGCAGAGTCTTCGTGTCTACTGGACACAGGTCCAGCTGTCCTAAGTAAAAACTTGTGGCATAGTCATTCACCTTTTCTCCTTGTCCATCAATTGGCAGGCGAGATAGGGCACCTGCGTTGAGACTGTCTTCTGATTTCTTGCAGACCATTGTATATTGATATGCTGACAGAAGCATTGCCTAACGTTGCAATCTTGCAGCTGCTATCATTGGAATGCCTTTCTTGGGTCCAAGGGTGGTTGCCAACGGCTTGTTGTTGGTTACCAAGATGAATTTATGTCCATATATGTAGTCGTGGAATCTCCTCACTCCAAAGACTATCGCTAG